GTATAATGCCTTCAAAGCAGTGATCGAAGCTGCAAATCGGGAAGAATACGAAGAAAAAATACAGTTTCTGGAGCATAATTGGTCCCAATTTTAGCCCGTTCTAGAGTTTGTTAGGAAGACATGGTTAGTGGTAGCGGACAAGTTTGTGCATGCATGGACCAACACTTATTTGCATCTTGGCAACACCACTACTTGTAGAGTGGAGAGCGCACACAAGTTGTTAAAGGAATGGCTCGGCACTGCAAATGCTTCTTTTGAAACGGTGTGGCACAGGGTTCACATGTTACTGGAGACACAGCTTACGCAAATAAGGTACTGGATTTTGATCCCTTTTTAGTTAATTTGTGTATTTAGGTTGTTTAATTAATTTGTTAGAATTCCTCCACAGGGAGAAATTGCAAGAATCAAGGCAGAAAATAGGGAGGCAACACAACAAGTACCCTTTCTACCAATTAAGATGCAATGTTTCACACTACTGCTTGGATCTATTGAACAATGAGTTGGAAAGGATGCAACAACTCGGAGATGATGTGTATTGGGAATGCAATCATTACCTGAAGCAAACTCATTCCCTCCCTTGTGCATGTATTAAGCGTATAATGGAGGCCAACGAGATTTTAACTCCAAAATACTTGCACCAATTTTGGAGCACACTTGACATCGGTGAGGTTACAGAGAAGGATGGTTCGGATGATATTCCCCCTCACAGATTGTTGTTCAGGCCGTTAGTGGAAGAATTGGACGCTGCTAAGGAGCCAATACATCTCGAGATCACCAGATTGATATACAACAAACTTCACCCGGGCCAAGCCGGATTAAATGAACCGTGGGTTGGAAAGAGAGGCAAAGGCAGGCCGAAGAAAAGGGGCATCTCAAAAAAAAAGCAAGACAAACCAAATGTGTGAGCATACAGGGACGGCAGTCAGGGTGGCACCAATACCAGCGGTTCCAGTAAAGCAGGTACGAGCCAAGATACCGGTAGAGGCCATACGTCGGGAGCTGAAGATCAGAGCAGAGGTCCGATATTACTTTCTCTTTTTAAATGTGAGAAATATTATTTTTTCAGTTTGAGACAAGCGATTTTGATACTGACCCATGCGAGAGCAGGTATATGGACTGGGCAAGGTGGGACGAACACCAGCAGTTCCAGTAGATGCCACACGTCGGGTTCTGAACCCCATGTCGGAGGTACGATTATAATTTATATTGTTCTTAAATACTGATATGTAATTCAGAAATAATGATATTATTTTACGTGGTAAAAGATATGATGCAGACAGACTTTTTCCAGTTTAGGCACAAGAATAAGATTCCGCAGGTACTCCACAATCATGTTTAGTCATATCTTGATGTCGATCCTGACGGCAATTGTGGTTTCCACGTCTTCGTGAGTTGCATGTTGGGAGGGCAGAATAATCATATTTTGTGCAGACAGATATGTTATGATGAGGTTATAAATAACTCTGGCCTGTACGGGAACCTTTACAGGTATGAAGCCAGTTTAATTTTGGTGAGCGGTTTTAATACACTTGCATCAATGTAGTTTTTTATTTAAAACCTTCATTTACTTGTCTTTGTAGGTGGGAAAAATTACTTGCAAGCCTAGAGCGTATACGGTGGACTGGTACCTCCGTAGGTCACTGGATGTCGATAGAGGACTTTTATCCCCTTGCAACATATTTCAATGCTGTTGTGTACTACTTCAGAACAAACGGGGATGTAAATCTAAACGACACCTGTTGGACTGTGCTACCAATGATCGCACGGGGCGGGGCAACAAGACCAGAGTTCCAGATAGTTATTTGCCACCTTGAGCCTTACCAGCACTTCATTCGACTCAATCTGCAGGGTGATTTTCCGATTCCCCCCATTCACCCCATTTGGCGGCATGATCGTGATAGTAGTGTTATTGGTTGGGAAGTACCTTTTGAACCCAGACTTCAGCTATGGTGTACTTTGGTACCTCCGATAAGACCCACACGGGAATTTAGTGATCTCGGGTGATATGTTGTGTATATATATATTTTTTTATGCAATTGGTGAAATTTTATGATCTCTTTACCTAAATATTCATATAAATGAAAACTTAAATTGAAAATCAACATAAGTACATACTGTTCAGAAAACAGAGTCGTTACATAATTGTTTAAAGGAAAAGGCACTGAGTAGAATGTCATGGGACCTGACTGTGCCGGAAGATGACATCATCCAGACGAGTATCCCACTCCTCACCAAGACCCAGATCGAGTTTCTTCAAATCGTCGATGCAACCTCGAGTCAACCTCTCTATCTCACGCATCCACTACAAATGTTAAATAAAACCATATTAAATGTAACTGCATGCCGATGTCCAGATCCCTCAAGAGGCGATATCCCATCCTACAAAAGTTTCAAATTTTACACGTAATTTAGATTAATTAGTTTAATATAATTTTATATTATTTAAATACCTAATTATAAAATTATCTACTATACATCTTAAGTGTACAATTTATTAAATCTACTAAGTACAATTAATAATATCTACATATTTATTTTTTCATTTTTTAACCAAAATTAAATAAATATATAATTTATTATTTAATTTTAACCACAATTGAATAAATATTTTTTATTAACCCTAATTATCTACTAACCCCTTATATTTCTTTTTAATTTGAACTTATTTATTTAATTTCCTATACTAAATATTTAATTTCTACGTTTGATATTTTTTTGAGGCTAATTACAATTAAACCGACTAATCTAATAAATATATTTTCTATAATTATATTAATTATAATAACTTTCATAATGATCCAAATTAATTTAAAAACCGTTAAACTCCCTAAAACTACAATTGAATTCCTAAAACTACAAAAGTATTATAACTAATTTATTTACTGAAGATTAAACATATACTTTTAATAATAGTGTTTCTTAAATAAATTAAACTAATAAAAATAACTAATAAATTTAACTAATAATAAATAATTAAACTAAATTTCATAAGATCTACAATTACTAATAGTAACAATTAAATTACAATTATTATACAATTTATAAATAACAATTAAATTTAAATATATAATATAACAAATTAACCAAAAAAAAAAAAACCTCGCCGCCTGGCGAGACTTTTCTCGCCAAAGTCGCCACCCCAGTGTCCGGCGGCGAAGAAAATGGCGCCACCACCGCCCCGGCCGGCGAGGGAGAACCGCGCCGGGGCGTGCAGAGCTGGCGCGTAGATCCGCGCCAGCTCTGTAAGGAGTGGTTTTTTTTTTAAAAAAATATTCCTACATAATTCTAATTCAAAAAAACAATCCAAATTTACGTACCTTCAGTTTCTGTAGCTCTTTATGTAACCGTTTCATTCGATCAGCCATTGAATCTAAGTTTTTAGGAGTTTGGATTGAGAGAATTTGAAATGAAAGATTGATTTAGGAATTGAAAGAATGAAATTGAAACTCTTAATTTATAAAATCATGTAACGGAAAAATGGTCATTTGGTATTTAATTAGGGCGCTCAAGGGAAATTTTTAAGGCGTTTAGTAGCCTCTCAGTTTATATTAGCTTAAATATTTTTTAATTGTTAAAATATTCCGTTTAAATTATTAAAGTATTATTAAAAATTAAAGGAAATAAAAAAAAATCATTTTTTCCTTTCTTCCTCCCCCACCCCACCCCACAAAAAATACCACTACCACCACCATTTTCATCGGCCAACATCACCTCCACCTAATACCACATATCACCTCTTTGATTTCTTTTTCTGCCCCTCCCACCAAAGAGCAGGATATTCCAATTGATATTTTCATGGTAAATTTTGCCGAATCGAAAAGGAGCAAAACAAGGCACCCACTAATTTCGCTAATTTGGCAAGGCAGCACATTTGTGTAGAAGAAAAATTGGAAAAACCTCACCTCTTTCACCAGTCTAGGAGCAAGAATTCGACAAAAGAATCTCAACCCGAAAAACCCACCTCTTTCACCCGTTCAATCTCCAACAACCTTCACAACAAAAATTAAATATTATCACTCTTCCTTTTCTCTTGGAAATTCGAAAAAAAGAATGTGTCTACCTCTGTTAAATCTGAGTTGCTCATATCTGAGTTGTTAATTTTGTAAGGAGTAGCTGTTAATTTGAATAAATCGGGATAAATCGGACTGTAGGGAAGAAGATGGTGGTGAATCGAGGTATAGGGAAGAAGACGGCAGTGGCTGTGTCGCTGGCGGCAGCAAGGTTATGTGTTAATTGAGTAACGACATAGAGGTGAAGGAGAACAAGAAAGAGAAATGAAGAGGAGAAAGAGAGAGAAATTATAAATATTTTTTAATTTTAATATTTTAATAATTTAAACTGAATATTTTAATAATTTAAAAATTTCTAAACTAATATAAATTGAAATTTAATGATAAGACAAAAATACTCCTGCTTGTGGTGGGGTCAGCTAGCAGCGAAACGGAAAAGATACTAGAACAGTGAAAAATGAGACCAAAAAATTATGGACAAAAATATTAGGGATCAATCTTTTAAAATATTAATATATGAGACGAAAATATTAATTGAACCAAATGTATAAGATTAATTCGAGGGTTTATCCTTTTTACTCTATTAAAGCAGAATACATGATGTTGATGTGGCAACTTTTTATTAAAAAATTTTAGCTCCAAATGCACCATATTGCATTAATCATTCTGCCACGTGTCATCTCTTTTTAAAAGAAAAAAGAATTCTTATCCGGAGAAACAAAAGCTACTTTACAAAAATAGTTACACAATTTTAACTCCTAACATTTATCATTTATCACCCAAATTAAGATAGAATTTAACTTTGCCCATAAACTTATCCTCTTTATTACTCCACATTCTTTTGTATGATTTCTGCATCGTTGTACTTTTCAATATTTTTTCTCCTTTTGCAGATGATTTTTTTATTTTTATTTTTATTTTTGGCTAGAAAAGGAAAAAAAAATAAATGTGTAACTATTTTATTTTTTCCAAATCAAGAATTCATTTATCTATTAATACAAAATTAAAGTAGAAGGGCGCCCGGGGAGCATCTAGTTCTTTTTATAGCATAAGAAGAAAGAAGATAGAACTGGTATCTCTGTCGAATCCCGTGTCGAATCCTAACCCACCACGTGGCTCGATTAGTGAATGACCATTGAACATATCATCAAAAAGCGCTATTCCCCCTATCCGTTTGCAAGGCTTCTCCTTTAGTCTTCTTCATCCTCTGTTTTTATTTCCGAAATTCTCAGCTGTCAGCACAGCATCGAGCTCAAAATCTTGAAAAATTGGCATCAAAAGGGAGACTTTTTCTGCACAAAATACTGACAAGGGGTGCCCCATTTCGACTTTTCTGCGGTTTCTACACATTCTTGTTCTTGGGTTCCTCAGATTTTTTTAAGCCTCAAAAGAAAAGCAAAAGAAATGACAGGGTTTCTCACATTGTAAGGAAAAAAAACTCACTGTGATAGAAATTGTATTAAAAAATGGAGTGTATCGGAGCTCAGAATGTTGCAACAATGATCGTCTCAAAATGCCCTGCTAAAGGGTCGTCTAGGAGGAGGAGGAAAAGTTGCAGTGGTAAAGATGTTCTTTTTCACCAAATTCGGATGTGTAGAAATAGTTCAATGGTCATGCAAGTGAGATGTGCCGGCACTAGTACAAGTAGTGAAAGCTGTGTGGCTGTTAAAGAAGGGTTTGCTGATCAAGAAGATTTTATTAAGGCTGGAGGGTCTGAGTTACTTTATGTTCAAATGCAACAGAACAAGGATATGGAAGAACAGTCTAAACTTTCTGATAAGGTCCACTACTTTTTCCCCCTCTAGTTCTTTTTTTTTTCCGTCACTTTTAATTTAGCATTTCTGAATTCGTCATAGTTAAAGAAGATATCTACTGTGCCGTAAGTGTAAGTTAGTGTCAACTGTCAAAGCCTTTGTTTTTTTTTTTTTTTTTTTGGAAAAGGCATAGTGAATTAGTGATTGCTTTGAAAAAAGTTATAATGGCTTGAATATAGAAATACACTTAGATTGTCCAAGTGCTCTCTCTGTGGCAAAATTATTGTCCTATTTAGATTTCGCCGTTAATACAATTTGTACTGGAAATGATAATCTAAAATGGACAATTAGTTCGGACCCGAGGGAGTACTATTTATCTGCGATTTCTTCATAGCTTGCTAAAATGAATAGACATTTCAAATAACAATGGAACATTAAACTTGTTGCTTCGATTAAATGCACACTGATAACTTGGTTACAGTTTTTTTATGGACATGTTTCTTTCATTTTAGCATAATTTAAATGACTTTCATTAGTGTACCGTGTCTCAAGTGAACTCATCTGAATCCTTGCAGCTACCTCAAATATCAGTGGGTGATAGCATTCTTGATTTGGTGGTAATTGGCTGTGGTCCTGCTGGTCTTGCCCTTGCTGCCGAGTCAGCTAGGCTAGGTTTGGCTGTGGGGCTAATCGGGCCAGACCTTCCTTTCACAAATAATTATGGTGTATGGGAAGATGAATTTAAAGGTACTGATAATCCTATATCTGATGAATTGGGTATTCTCTTCCTAATTGTTCATACACATCATCTCTTTGGTTCATTTAAGGTAGCTTTATCTATACATGAAAGACAAACAAGGTATGACAGTTATATATGGAGGGGAGGGGAATTGTGGAGGTGCTGAGGGAGGGGGGATTTTTCTTGTGAATTCAAGGTCCTGGGTTTGAATGTTGCAATCCAATAAAACTATACATACATGAAAGCAAGACTTCTTGCTTCAAACTTACTGAAGTTCGCGTGGCTAGTTTTTCTGCTGAGTTGAAGTTTTAGAAAACAGAATATGTTCTCATAGGAAACAGATTATAAATTAACCTTACTCCACCTTTTATATCCTTAAAGGAAGTAAGATACTAACCCTTTGAACCAGAGATGAAATTTGGAGACAGAATTTTGCATGGGTGGATTGTTTTCGGTTACAGTGATTATGTTACTTTGTTTAAAGACGTTAAATTTAGTCAACTGAACTGCAATTTAGGATCATATCAGCAATTGCCTACAGCATAGAAAATATGGTTAAAACTTCTAGTAGCATTCAATTTTCTTCCCCTGTGTATGATCTCTTATACAATTCCTGAATACAAGAGATGAACATTTATGCTTTGCCTTTTTATAGGGACAAAAGATTTTAGACTAACTTACCTGCAAACTACTTAAAGCAGACAAAAATAGATGAAGATTGAAAACCTGCTAAAATTTGGCTATGGAGAGGAGATGTCCATCTTTACTGTCACAGACATGTTTCTCTAGAAGAGGAGATATTGCAATCAATTTAAAAATTTGAACATTTGCCTTGAATATTTAATGATCGAGTTAGTGCTCAAAAATATTTAACAAATTCACGTTAAATCAAATTTTGTTTTAGATCTTGGGCTTGCTGGGTGCATAGAGCATGTTTGGAGGGACACCATTGTATATCTTGATGACAGCAATCCAATTTCCATTGGTCGAGCTTATGGACGAGTGAGCCGTCATCTGCTCCATGAAGAGCTACTGAAAAGGTGAATTTTAGCTCAACTAATGTTTTGTGAGTAATTTTGTCTGTATGCCTATGCTCATTTTATCTTCCTCCACTGTCAGCTAAGGAAAACTTATCAAACTTCATAGACTCTTTATTTATATTAATTTTCTAGGTGTGTCGGGTCAGGTGTTTCATATCTTAACTCAAAGGTGGAAAGAATTGTTGAAGCTGCTGATGGTCATAGGCTCGTAGAGTGTGAAGGCAACATTGTCATTCCCTGCCGGTAAAACAATATTACTTTTTAGAATATTGCCTTTTTAATTAGGATAATTTTTACTGTTTCCATGTAATAAGCTTGTATCATACGATATACATAGGCTTGCTACTGTTGCATCTGGGGCTGCTTCTGGGAAACTACTGCAGTATGAATTGGGAGGACCAAGAGTTTCTGTTCAAACAGCATATGGTGTCGAGGTTGAGGTAGGGATGGCAATCTACAAATTCAAGATACCATAGAAGTTAAAGTTCTTTACTTTTTCTTGTAGAAGACTTTTGTGCTGTTTCTAACAGAAAAGGCCAACACTTTTCTTTAATACCAGAGGTCATCGAATTAGATTTCCCCAATGGATTTAATCTAAGTAGTTTTCCTCATTGTGCTTCTCATGTTATGTTTCAGCTACTTCTTATTTCTAGTTCTAACTGGAGAGGTCTTGCTTTTTATTTTTATAATATTAGGCTTGTCCTACACGACATTATGATCCCAATTCTGCAATCTGTCCATTTCTCAATTTCTGCCTATTTCGATTTTTTAAAAGTTTAACTCAATCTTACACCAAGGAATATATGTTGACTTGCTATTTCCTACTTGCATATGTAATCTTTTCTTTGTCAAGTCCATTTTCTAATCTGTTTACTTGATCTGTAGAAGATGTACAAAGTTTCAAGTCAACTTTTTAGAAAACTCATATCTAATCTTTGGATCACAATATTTAGGTGGAAAACAACCCATACGATCCCAATGTGATGGTCTTCATGGATTATAGAGACTACATGAAAGGCAAAATTCAATCTTTGGAAGCAGAATTTCCAACATTTCTGTATGCAATGCCAATGTCACCAACTAGAGTTTTCTTTGAGGTTTGTCTCTTCTTATTTGATACATGCAAAATGTATACATAACAAACCTGATGAACTAAATGCTTCGCAGGAAACCTGTTTAGCTTCAAAAGATGCAATGCCATTTGAACTATTGAAGAGAAAACTGATGCTCAGATTAGATACATTGGGAGTTCGAATCATCAAAACATATGAAGAGGTACTGTCGTCTGCTGGATCTTGCAGTTACTGTGAAATTGTCTACTGTAATACGAAGGGCACAATATCTGAAACAATTTATGTAGGAATGGTCTTATATACCAGTAGGTGGATCCTTGCCAAACACAGAGCAAAAGAATCTGGCATTTGGTGCAGCTGCTAGTATGGTACATCCAGCCACCGGTAATCGAACAATTCTTTCCATTCATGAAATGGCAATTTCTATCACAGCTTTACTAAATCACAGTTCATTTCACTTAGGTTACTCGGTGGTCAGATCATTGTCAGAGGCTCCAAAATATGCTTCTGCAATAGCAAACATTCTCAAACAAGAACAAGCAAAGGACATGGTCACAGCAAATATCTCTGCCCAAGGTATAAAAAGCAGCGATTCTTCTTTTGGATACTTGGAAATGAAGTGATTGTCATATTCATAACATGTGTAATTATGAAAACAAGAGTCCTTTACAGTACTATTTGGCCTATGTCTCCTTGAGTGTGTGGCTAGTCTGTTTTGTGGTAAAATGTTCACACCTTAAGGAAAAGGGAGAGGAGAGCATAGTAGAGCACTTGCAATCATGAATCATGTTTCTATAATAAATCAGTTGGATAAACTATCAGCAATGTAAATGGCAAAAGGAAAGGTAAAGCCTCATGTTCTCTACTTTCAAGGTTTGACCCAGCAGTTTTCAAGTAACTCAATCTTTACTCCATGGGAGTATTCTTCAACATCTCAAAAACTTAATGGACTGCATATTCATTTTATACGGCTTGTTCTCATTTCAGCTTGGAATGCCCTGTGGCCTCCGGAGAGGAAACGCCAAAGAGCATTTTTCCTTTTTGGATTGGCACTTATATTGGAGCTGGATATCGAAGGCATAAGGACTTTCTTCGAGACATTTTTTCGCCTGCCAAACTGGTGAGTGCAAAATTTACCGAAAGATTTTAGTGAACCTGTTACGCTGTTGAATCTAAATACTTCCTTTAATCGCTTATCTTCTTGTACGAATTCCTGAAAAACATATAGTTGTTTCTTTGGTATTGAGATAGGAAAGTATTGTTAAGTATTGTTATACTTGCTATTGTGATGAACATTTTGCTTATCTTTACAGGATGACACAGGGATTTCTTGGCTCTAGTCTTTCCTCAACAGACCTCGTGTTGTTTGCATTTTATATGTTTGTCATAGCGCCAAATGATTTGAGAAAATGTCTTATAAAACATCTCTTATCTGATCCAACTGGTGCAACTATGGTAAGAACATATCTCAGCGTGTAGAGCCCTGTAAACTTCCTCTGGTGTGGAAATCTCCATTTCATCAGTTCTGTAGCTTCCCACGCCTAAAATTTTGTAAATAACTATGTTGTCAAAAACTCATCACAAATAATGGAAGTTTTGGTATCTGTTCTTGATTCTCGAGGTTTACAGCACTCAACTTCTGAGCATATTTTTCTGCCTTCTTACCATTTTTCCAGCATCAAACTGATAACTTTTGCATGACGCAACTATTAATTTCCCAGAACATAACCTCATATAGTAGTACTTCAGGATATGAGATATCTTCAAAAAAATAGCAGAGACGTTTGGATCCATTTGCTTTCTAAAATTGAATCCCCAAAACCCTCCAGTTGAGTTCACTGGATTTGAAAAGCAGCTTTCGACAGTGTAAATGAACTGAAACCAATTAAGTTGAATTCGGACAAAGATGATCTCTTTCACTTTTCTGGCTGCTATCCATTTTTCAAAGTTGGGCTTTTTATTAATGCTTTGAAGAATCGTTAACCACTTTCAGAATTCAGACTACAAACAAATGAAGTTCAAAAAGTATTCGTTTATTGCCACTTTTGATCAACTTGTGTTATCTGAGGCAGATTTAGCTGATGTAACTCTGTTTCATAAGAAATTTAACAACACAAAGTGTTATTCCTTCTGCCCAAAATGATCTACTCAATATATATATTTGGACAACTAAATAAGAAAGACTACTTGTAGTATATCAAGTATCCAAGTCATGGTGCCAAAGAGTTTATGAGTATACTTTCGCTATTGTCGCGAAAATTGAGAGTAGGCCTTGTTTGGACAATAGTTCATTTTATATTTTCACTCATTTTACTTCTTAAACACAAAACCTAATGAAAAAAAAATCATTCAAACAACTTTCTGATTTACATTTTAAATTCCAACTTGAAACACTTTTTGTTAGTAAAATGACCATTTTAGAACTACAAATAGTTCAGTAACAAATTTGGCAGGATTCCATTATTGAGTGATTGTTTTTTGAAAAGTTCTTTTTTGCAGTGACTATTATTGACAGTATTTAATTATTTAGTGATGACTTGTACTTAATATTTCAAAATGTAGTTCAAACTATTTTTTTCAAAACCAACATCCAAACAACATTTATATTTCCCATTTAGTTTTCAATTTGAAACACTTTTCACTTTTAAGTGGCAAAATAAAATGTAAGTTAATGTCCAAACAAGCAAGTAATCTTCTGCTTAAGATAAAGGTGGGACAATATTGGCCCAAAATATGACGCAGGACTCAAAACATTGTCCTGATAAAGTGATATTGGGCGCCAAGAAGCAAACATGCACTTTCAAAGGAATAATAATATCAAGCCGGTAGTTTACCTTTACCCAAGAAAAGAAAAAAGAAGAATATCAGGTCCACATACATGAGTTTCAAATTGTACTTCTTCCGTCCCATAATTATTGTCCAGTTTGAGTTTTAATTTTTAGTTCAAATTATACTAAAAATGAAATCTTAAACTGAACAATAATTTTAAGACAGAGAGTAATTCTTTTCTTCCCTCAGGGTAATCAAGCATGAGGGTTCAATCGGGTTGAGGTTAACAAACATATATGGAAACACATATAGTAGTAACACGATGCCACAGGCACCGATTATTCACTATTCTGTTTCATTATTACTATCTGTCGTGATCCCTCGCACCCCTACTAGAGGGTAAACCATCTTTAGAGTCAAAAGCAAGCTTCTTTCGTAATCATAGTTAGAAAAACCGTAAACAAGGTCACTAGTGAAATAGGCTGATGATGATGGCTAGGCTAAATAGGCACTAAGGCAAGGAATCATTAGCCACTGTATCCCATGCGTGCATGCTTTAGAATTTATATATATTTATATTCTTCCTTCGTCCTATAATTATTGTCCAGTCTGAGTGAGTTTTCATTTTTAGTTTAAATTGTATTAAGAGTGAAATCTCAAACTAGATAATAATTTTGGGACAGAGAGAGTAATTAATAGGATTACCTTAAACACAAGTTGATCATAGTGCTCAAGAATCTTTGACGAGGATAATGATGCATTATTAAATTCACAGGAGGAATGTCATAAAGGGCTGACTTCATTTTTTTACCAAAAGCAAATTAAAGTGTTGATGAATAATGATATCATGGTAAAAAAAGGAATGTAAAATTTAACTAATATTAGGAGGACATATATAGCTGGCTCTTGAAGTACAAACTAATTATCAGTATGAGTTTGGCAAATCGTTGATAGAGAAATTCATCACAGGAGAATCGAACCTGAGACTCCTGTCCAATATATGAACTTAACCACAACTATTAATAGTCAACACATTTTCGCAAACATATATACGATTGTTTATTACTGATAAAGAGGAACACATGCAAAACAGGAAGTAAGAAATTAACACGACTTGAAGGTGGGTCAAAAAATCTTGGGTGTCAAGTGTTTTAAGAGATTGTAGTAAAATTCGACAACAAACCAATCACAACTCGAAACATCACAGGATTCCCAGAGGCCCTAGCCTAGTGTTTATGCAGTTGAAGAATATTATTTGTGTTTTGCGAATTAAATTTTTTACTAGCAACCATTTTTGATAGGCTCAAGAGGGATTTTTAAAACTATATGATCCCCTGATAAGCGCATTAGACGGATTCCATTCGTGTTATTTAAACTCTTGTCTCTTTCTTTGTACTAGAAATAAATGAATATATTGACTAAAGCAACTAGTTAAAAGTTTAGCAACTTAAGAATGCATATTGTTGGCTTAGTCATGAAATCATCAGGATAAATTCTCTGTATTTTTTTTTTTACTTAATTATTGTGCCTGATCTATGAACTAGCATGCGTCACTTGCCTTTCCATTAATCAATATATATATATATATATATATATATATATATATCTTATTAGCCTTTGCCACTCACTGAAGAAAGTAGTAATGAGAAATTGTCATTCTTTAAACAGGTTTTTAAGTTCTGAGTATGTGTATAGAGAGAAAATTGTAGGAAGACAACATGTCTACCATGTTGGGACGTCATATATAAAAAATCAATACGAGTAAAGCATATATATATATATATATACATTATATTATTTATATATATGTGCTCATTTAAAACATTTTAAAATTCCATTTTATTAAAAATAAAAAACTCCTGGGAAGCATAAATATTGAGAATGAAAACCCACATTTATGCATGAATTTGTAACAAAACACTAGTCAAAATCCAATTTATTACTCCCCTCCATTTTGAAATATATGTCGTTTTGAGGTTTGTTAAATTTTTTAAATATATGTCGATTTCACAAATCGAAATACATTTGACTTTTTTACCAAAATTACTATTGCATTGGAGATGAAACAATATTTCTAGTAATAAATTTCTATTAGTTAGTGATGAGTTTTATCGACAATTAATGAAGGTATTTTTTATGTTTTAATTATATTAATTAATATTTTCTTGATTTCGATGAATTCTTTAGAAAGACATATAAAAAAATGAGAAGAGTAGCTTTGTTGGTGAAATTAAAGCCACCACTTTCTATCACAGGATGGATGTTCCGTTCCTATAAATCTTCAAGCACACACCCGGGCCACATTGTTTCATGCAAAGCAAAATTTGGCTTCATCTGCTTTTGAAGTCTATAAAAACACCCCTTGGAGTACGTAGTAGATACACCAGGCAACAAAATTACTATATCCTATTACTATCTTGCTTGATCTCTCTCTCTCTCTCTCTTCACAAATTACTATCTGCTGGAAATAAGAGCAGACAAAAGAAGCGTACATATATATGTACATGATGTATACGTGTATATGGATGTCTTAATGCACAGTTTTCGGCACACCACACATGTATTTCAGGTTTGATGTAATTACTTCTTCCGTTAAAAAATTATCTAGTTCGGATTTTCATTTTTAATTCAAATTGTACTGAAATTGAAATATGAAACTGAACAGTAATTCTGAAACAGAAAGAATATATTTTTCACATTTATTTATTTTATATAGAAGGGGAAGGCGGTTGGCGACAGAAGAGAGTGAGCACATATGGTAGTTTCAGGCATGAGATAGTTATTGCTTGAATCCCATGTGTGCTTACTCTCTGTCTGTCACCTCGCCCTTGGTGATCTGGTCCTCTTTTACCTTTTCCTAAGGAGTAATTAACAATTGCAAATAACTGTCTTCTTCTCTTTTTTTTTTTTTGGTTCCAGGATAAGAGTTCTCGTATCCTTCTTTGAAATTAATTGTGTTCGTCTTTTTTGGCATGACATGCATATATATTGACACACAAACTTCATCCTGTTAGTGTGCTGATTAAAACGATATTCTAGTTATGTAATGACGATCATTCCTGACGGTGATGTGTATTTTTAGATGATTTCCTCTTCTTTAAACTGAATCTGCTTTGTTTAGTAAGGGTTGAAAGGTTTGATTAGAGTTGGAGATCTGAGTTTCAAGTTAGGACAGCCGAATTTCATCTCCGCGATTCATTACTTAGCCATCCCAAAATAAGAGTACCTTTTGTGGAGTCATGACTGTTGCATTTTAGGATGGAGCGAGTACTATATTAAGATTCAGTCTAGCAAACTCTGTTTCAAACCATCCTAGCAGCATAATTCTATCCGGTTCCAGTTGCCAACTACTTCAGTTTGCTCCTGCATTTGATCACCAGGCACTAGCTGGAAGGGATATAGACCCAAAAAAAAACAAATAAAACACAAACCATCGAACCGCGGCGTTAGATAAGTACTCCCTCCTCTGCCCAGAGGAAAAAAAAAACACACACACACACACACATATACTACACACAAATAATCTACGTTATAATTTGTGATTTTGTACTAACGGGGGGGAGTAGCATATAAATATCATCAGACCAGATAAAGAAGGGCAGAATGAGTTAGTATGTGGGGAAATGGAGGGTGGTTTGGGAATTGGGAGAGAGAGAAATGGGAGAGGAAGGTAGTGAGGATTTGAGAGAGGAAGGAGAAACTCGATGAACTAAGTAAACGTCCCCGGTTTAATTATTTTGGGAATTTAAGGCGAATTGTAATAGCTCTATGTAAATCGCCGGTATATTTTTAGCTCTTTTCTTCATTAATGAAATGATTACCGATTCGTAAAAAGAAAAAAAAGTATATTCTATCCACTTGAAAAATCAGCGAGCTAGCAAAATCCAAAAAGTCGATTGGAGCTAGCAAAAATCCTTGGACTTGGGGGCAGTTGGTGTGGCAGTTTCTCTTTAACCTAAAAGGATGTTATTCGGCTTCTAACTTCGCTTCTGAAGATGCATGATAAGCTTCCATACCAAGGTTCTGCACTTTTGTAAGTGCATATTTTTGGAAACATACTAATTAGCCTGTAGGTAAGATCTCGTTATGTAATTTTGGTGACATAATGTCCCAAACTCTTCATCTGTACCACCCTCCCAAGCCATATATATATATATATATATATATATATATATATATATATATATACTTGACGAACATGTTCTAAGGATACTCGTCATTAGCTCACTTGGCTCTGGGGAGGGATTCAATGTCGATCAAGGTCTCATAGATAAAATTACATCTCATTTTGTCCTAAGCTTTTGCCAAAATATAATCCACATCATTAAAAATAAATCTATATATTAAGATTTATTTTGTGAAAATTATTAACCCTGGAATTTGCAGTATACTAAAAAAAAAATCAGCAAAGAAATCAATGAAACAAAAATCCAATATTTTTTTCTCATAGTTACAAAATAAAAATTATTAATAAACTAAAACATAATAGTTGTGAAAGCCAAAAATGTGAAAAAGAAAATTGGTTAAGAACCAAAAAAAAAAAAAACGTAGCGCTGACTGTGTCGTTGACTTTTGTAAACCGACGATGTGATCGACGAAACAGGACATTTGACGCTTTAATTTTGAAGGCGTGCGACTTCAGAAAAACGAAAAAACGGAAGGAAGAAAAAAAGAAAAGAAAAAGCCTGTAACATCCTCGTCGACTATATGGTCGAGATATATAAATCGACACAAAAGTCCACGGTTTCGGAAATTCAACTTTTTCTTTTTGTTTTTCATGAAGTCGACTAATGAAAAAGTCCACTGATGAAGTAATGATCCACATCCACACATAACACACATCGAAACAAAGCCAAAAATGCTCCTCTTCCGTATATCATAAATGAATGACAATAATTTTGGATACATTTCATCTATGAGATGATTCAGCTACCATTTGAAGCCGTGAATATATCTCGTTTCGTCTATGAAGCTTTGAATATTCTGCACGCTCATTTCGTCTGTCAATCATAAAAGAAATCATCCTGGCCGGTGGTTGGTTGTTCAATGGTAAATTCTGGCCTAGCTGCAGCATAGATACGGTAATCATCAAATTCCACAAGACTTTCACCACCTCTAATTACTTCTATTGAACTTAGACGATGATTCGGCTACCATTTGAAGCCTTGAATATCTCGACACTTTTTATCGGCCAAGAAGTACTGATTTCTGTTGAGAATTACTCTCTTCTTGGTAATTCACAATTTACACCCCCAAAAAAAAGAAGCTATATGTGACACTCTCCTATTCTTATTCTTTTTATTTTGTCTTGCATCGCAGATAATACAGGTCAAGTTGGGATCAGAAACATGTGATCGTGCTTTAGTGAGTGAGTGTTCAATTATTTATGGAACAAATCGGCAAGATTGATAGTGTTTTTGGAAAATAAGATTGATAGTGTTACTTTGTATTGACTCACTCTGTCCCTCATTATAAGATAAAAATTCCGCTTGTTTCAATCATTTTGATATAATGAACATAATTTTGTACTCTTTCTGTCTCAAAATTATTGTCCAACTTTTATTTTTAGTACAATTTGAATTAGAAATGAAAACTCAAATTGGACAATAATTATGGGACGAAGGGAGTATTAAGTATTAACAAGGAATAGAGTAATTATATAAAAGAGATTTTGTATCAATCACATTTGGAAATGATGGATATGCTCTGCAACAACCTCATCTATCCTCCTAATCTGAAGATCGAAAATATAGTAACAGTACGCATAAAAATATCAAGCAGGGTGTTTTGTGAAATATAGGAAAACCCGAAAAAAAGGCCCAAAACTGCAGAGAATATTCGGTAGTTGTTGACCAAACAGGACTCGTCTTTTGCCTTTAGCTGACAGACATAAATACTTTAGTTGACTTGTATACAAAAATAATTATTTAATCCCACATGGCAACACGATCAATCATCCTTGACCGTTGGATCTATAACTCCCTTGGAGTGGGACCGAATAAAAAGGAGAGAGAAATCTGGCCCGACGTGTCGCTTCATTCTGTTCGGAAACTTCCAAGCTGAAGCCATTACATAAACGCCCCGGCGACTCTGACTCAAGCTTTTAGCCTTCATTGGGTCTGCCATTTTTCTCAGAATCTTTTTTTTTTCTTTTTTTGGATAATCCGTTTCGGAGAAAAAAGAAGTGAAGCATTATTCCACGTGATTCAGCCATGAGTGGGAATTCTGACGGTGACGGCGCGGCGGCAGGCACGGTGGCGGTGGCGGTGAAGAGCTCCGCCGGGAGAGGAAGCCAGCGTGCTGTTCAGTGGGTGGCTGATAATTTGATGCAGAAAGCCGATGGGTTTGTGCTGGTTCATGTTATGCCTACTGTAACTACAGTCCCAACTCCGTGTAAATATCACTTGTCGAATTTCTTCCCCTGCTTCCACATTTCTCTTATTGTTACAGTGAATTTTCTTTTATTTGGTGTGTCTTACTGGAGTTTATAAACTTGTTTTGTTTCAGAAAAATGTGGTTAGAAAACTGAAATTTGTCATGTTTGAATTAGCTATCTCTTGAATTTGATGAAAATGTGATCAATTTTCAAGGAAATTCGAATACTACCACCTTGGATGATGTTAAACTAGGTTGTAAGATTCCACAAAGGACCATTTCTGAGGGAAAATTCAAACTGATAGAATGTTTATCCCCTTTGCCTCATCATGACAAAATCTAGTCGTAGGACACTTGTCGTATAGCTAGGTGTTTGGCTTATGCTAAGTAATTAATGTTAGGTTGTTCAACCAAGAATGTTGATAAAGGCGTCCAGTTTTTAACTTGCACCGTTATATTGACATTCGGCTAATGCAAAACCTGTTGTAGAACATACATGGTTGTCTTGAATAAAACTCTGGTTCGCATGAATTTAGTCCAGTGAAGTCATTGATGAAATTATTGTGTCAATAAATAAAATGTAAAAGACTCTGTATAGTGCTCAACTGACTTTTGTTATTTTATTTACCTTTTATCCAAGTGATTTTGTTAATGTGTTGTACCATTACGAACTGAAGTTAATAAAACTATGAGGGGCATTTTCAAAAAAAAAAAAAAAAAAACCTATGAGGCGAAAAAAGCAAAGAGGTGGGAATAGCACTAGATAACATTCATTAATTTCGGATATGCAGATGTTCTAGTGATGATCTCCATTCAGGCTAGACCGTCCTCAAATGATTCTAAGCAGATTGTAATATGACATTTCAGCATCGGTGTAAGGTGTAGATAAGCTTGAATAAGCTCCGATTGCTTTTCTCCATGTTATTCTAAATTTCCTCAAGAATTCTTATCCTTGAAATATTTCAGATGTATAGATTAGCACGCATTCTACCAGCTTTAAAGGTCTTTGTTCTATACGCAACTTTGTACTTAAATCTCTCTTTAATGTCAAAGATAAATCAATTAGCTAGCTCAATTCATTTTTGGTTGTCTTTTGAGTGACTTTAATGTTATCAATATATGTGTCCGACAGCAGGAGAGAGGATTTCCATTGAAGATCTTGATGCAAAGATAGTGAGACTATATGTACATGATGCAAAGGAAGAATGCAAAAAGAAATTTGTGCCATTTGCAAGGTTACTGAGAAAAAAAAAGGTGAGGTCATGTTTTTTCTATCTGCTGGTAATTCAGAAGTTAGTAAATGCTTAATATAACCAGGTTCACTGATTCCCTGTAGGTGGAAATATTAGTGCTTGAGGGGGATAGTCCTGCATCAGTTCTCCTAAGATACATTTCAGATTCAAGAATTTCAACTTTATTGGTTGGCTCCTGTTCTGCCAGTTACAGTTGCTTTAAGAGGTATACAACTTAATTTTGTCTCGCTTGTAGATATTTGTGCTTCTTAGCCAATTGGTATTTTCCTGAATGCATAATTTGATGCTTTCATCTGAACGTGACAAGAAGTTATTAGCAGTGTGACCACAATATTTGACCTATATTTCCTCTTGGTTTTGGGGGGCAGGAAGCCAAAAAGCTCGTTAGTGCCATCAATTGTCAGAAAAAATGCTCCCCTAGGTTGCCATGTTCTTGTTGTGTCCAGATATGGAGTTAGAGAAAATATGCCAAGACCCTCGTTAGGTACTAGTATTCTGAAATAGTAATTTTTCTCATGTGTTTACATTCTACTTCTGACACATCATTGATAACGTCACTGTACTTTCTTAGCTAATGGCTCTAAGGAGTTTCTGTTAACTAAAGAAGGCAAAGATTCTCAGATGATCAGCAAGGAATTACCTTTAACAGGTTCATTCTCAGTGGAGTCGAGAGTTGATAATAACTTCGAATTATCATCAACCTCTGATCTCAGCGGCCCAAAGTTTCATGCTTCTCTTCATCATCGTCAACATACAGGGGAGAACTTTTTAAATAGTGAAATAGTCAAGAGTAACTCTCAGAAATCTACAAACTCCAAAAAGGTAAATATTGTATTCGCATGTGCTCATCCTTCGCGAATCTTAAATGCACCAGCTTTTCTATTGAAGCTTCTCAATCTAGTTTTGATTTCCTGTTGTTGTTGCAGTCAAATATTGAGGCTGAAGTAGAACAGTTGCACCAAGAAATACAAAGCACCCTTTCCATGTATAACCAAACTTGTGAAGATCTAGTTTATGTCCAAAAGAAGGTGAGATCTTCATAGTCAATTCACTTGAGAATGTAATAATGTAATTAAAATTAAGAATAAGCAATAATCATTTTACTAGTACAGGATGGCAATGAACTTTAAGAACTATATGCTACAAGTTTTCTGATATTAATGTTGATGTTTTTATTGTCAAAATTTTTAAGGATCCTCGGAAATTCACACACAATTCAGACAAATATTATCTTAAAATGCATGAACTGGAAGTACTGAAAGATTCTAGGTTGTTCTGTACCTTACAGGTTAACTTGCTTTCTCTTGAATGCCTTGAGGAGGAAATGAGATTGGATGCTGCAAAAAGAAGACAAGAAAGTCTTCGGAAAGTTGCTGCTGAAGAAAAAGAGAAGCATTTGGAAGCCGTAAAGGAGATTGAAATGGCAAAAAATCAGTATGCTAAGGAAGCTAATGAGAGGCAGATAGCAGAGTCTATTGCCCTCAAGGAGTTCTCGGAGAAGCAGAAAATTATTGAGGCGCTATTTTCAGGTGACAAAAGGTATAGAAGGTACAGCGCAAAAGAAATTGAGGAGGCCACTGGTGTTTTCTCCGAGGAAAAAGTTATAGGTTCAGGGGCCTATGGGAAAGTTTACAATTGCCACCTTGACCATACTCCAGTAGCCATCAAAATTCTTCAATCTGATGCATCCAACAAAAAGGATGAGTTTCTGAAAGAGGTAGTGTCTTTTGTTTTGAAATCTTTCAAGTACCTCCTATCGACTTTTCAGAACTAACACTCAACTTGTTGCACATTCATGATCATCATGGTTGTAACATGTTATTGTAGTCAACAACTGGTTGAATGGAACAATAGTTGACTTGTTAAAGTGGAGTTGGCTTTCCCACTTAGGGCCAGAAATCAATTGTGAGACCCAGTCAACTTATATATAGAAAGGGAAATCTGAGGGATCATAGCTCTACCGACATTGATAGTCAAGTTTTGACTGATAACAAAATATAGTATCCAAAAATTGTTGTCCCAAAAGGAGTAGAGCAGAACTTGCACCATGGACAGGAGAATTACTGGGCAATAGAACGAACTAGATGAGAAAATAAAGAAGGAGCTGTTTGTTTTCTAGTATAATCTGCTTTCATTATGTGACCTGCAGCAATTTGTCATTTTAACTGGATTTTGCAACAGTTGAAACCTTCCTGATACAGTGTTATGCAGGTTGAAGTTCTTAGCCTGCTGCGTCATCCCCACATAGTTTTACTTCTTGGTGCCTGCCCAGAACTTGGTTGCTTGGTGTACGAATATATGGAAAATGGCAGCCTGGAAGACTATCTATTTCCAGAAAATAGCCGATCACCCCTTCCATGGGTGGTCCGCTTCCGGATAGTCTATGAAGTAGCCTGTGGTCTGGCATTTTTACATAACTCAGGACCAGAGCCAATTGTCCATCGAGATCTTAAGCCAGGAAACATACTGTTAAATAAAAACTACGTTGCCAAAATCGGTGATGTGGGATTGGCCAAAATCATTTCAGATGTGGTACCTGATAATGTAACAGAATACAGAAATTCTATGATTGCAGGTACCTTTTGCTACATGGATCCGGAATACCAAAGGACAGGCACTCTCAGACCGAAATCTGATGTTTATGCTTTAGGAGTTATAGCTCTTCAGTTATTGACAGCTACTCATCCTAATGGTATAATACATAAAGTTGAAAAGGCCATTAGAACTGGCTCATTCTATGATATACTTGATAAATCAGTTCCAAACTGGCCACTGGCTCAAGTGGAGGAACTTGCTCAAGTGGCTCTGAAATGTTGTAAGCTCAGGTGCAGAGACCGGCCTGATCTTGAGACAGAGGTGTTGCCAGTGTTGAAAAGACTTGCTGGATTTGCGGATGCCACCAGAAGAGGGGACACCAACAAATTTCCTGCACCAAGCCACTACTGCTGCCCGATTCTTCTGGTTTGTTATTGAAACCCTGTTGAACTATATATATTGCTGTTAAATTTTTGGAGAAAGTTTCTCACCTCTGCCACCTACTTTCAGGAATTAATGCAGGAGCCATACATTGCAGCTGATGGTTTCACGTATGAGCGACTTGCAATAGAAACATGGCTTTCTCGATGTGACATATCCCCAGTGACAAAGCGTAAAATGCCAAATAAAGTGCTCACACCGAACCACATACTGAGTTCTGCCATTCAAGACTGGAGGTCTCATGTCCCCGCCTGACTGAGCTAAGTATTAAATTAGTTAATTTTGTCTGTGTGCTGCTGAAGCAATTCTTTCGTAAATATTGTTCGGATGAAGGCATTCATTTGGTGTGTAAAAGTTTTGGGAACTAATGTTGCTGCATGCAAATGCATGGATGTAGTCCTGATTGTAGTAGTAGTCCATCATTAAAAAAAAAAAGAAAAAAAAAAGAAGTATAGAGATCCGAATAGGACGAGAATACGTACCTGAGTGATGTATGTACATTCTCAGAATTAGCAGATTCTATGTTTTCTGGTTGCAGAATGAAACCGTTTATGAACTTTGTAAGGTTGCATTGCATAATTCTGGACAACTGAGCCAATAGGTGCTTGGAGCACATTAGTTTTTTTTTGTGATTAATAGAGGTGTCTTAAACTTTCGAGAGAAGACTATCATTTGCTGATTTCCCCACCTACTTCTAAGAAAACTCTGTAACATACACAAATTTTAATTAGATAGGTACTGTATTTGTAAGCTTCACACTTGCTACTGGTATATCAATGTCCTAACTGTGTCGCAGGAACTGTTATCCCAAAAAGCCCGATATTGTATATTTTCTCATTGAGTTGAAATCCCCACATATGAGAAAAAAAAAAACTATAAGAATCATCACGGAGACGGGAACTATTAAGAATCAATGAAAGATTACTGTGATTTTTCAGTGACTGAATCAGTGATTTAACAAAACGGCTACGGGATTATTTTTCAGCATAGCGAGGATTGGTTATACCTCTTAAAATCAGAAGCTATTAAGCTCTAATCGCGGGTGGTGGGGAAATCCGATCACCAGGCATTATAAAACCGTCTTTCTATAAAATTCACAGTTCGAGAGTTCTACTTCTTAATTTGCGCGTTTCTAACTTCGTTCTAACTTCAGCGATCTGAAGACCAGAAATGATGGTTCCCGTTCTTTAGATAAAAGCCCATCGGATGTCTGTTTTAGAGGCAGCAAAGTTGAGGGTTCCCATTCTTAAATGTCGTATGGATAAAATGGGACTGGTCGCAGGGTTGGACGACAACAAGGTCCGGGGTTAACTATTAGTAGTTCTTTTCCTATAATTAGGATTTGCGATTACTTGCTTCTTTTTCATTGATCAATATGAATGACGACCATATTGATATAGCTTCCTCCTTACGAAACTTGTTAACATGTTATTTGGTCCAACCCTCTTACTCCTATTGATTAATCCAAGGTTTATCCGCTTCTTTCTTTTTTTAGTGTCCGAATTGAATTATGTCGACCCTTACGGGCTACGGGGTGATTATTACAGGGAAGAAATTGGCCATTGGAACAAGACTTGTCGGTTTGTATCTGAATATGGCACTGGAGATATACCAGACTGTTGATTCTGTTGAGAAAGCTGAATGGTTGGCCAGCAGAGCCATCTGCCGTGCTGAATATGTTATATGCTGAAGGCGCTGTTTACTCGACTGTGGTCTGTGTATCATTTAGGACCTGATGGTTGGGAGAAGTTGTATGATAGCAGCAGACCAGCTGAGCTAACTCAGAAATGATGAGAGGGAATCGACATGACCTAGATTTGTTTGGTGTGCAATCTGTAATGTGAAGATATACATTGTGATTTTTGCCTAGTTGAGAAGGCTGTAATGCAATCTAACTGTTTAATTTACTACTATGTTTGTTGTTTGGCTTAATTTCGATACATCATCATGATTAACTCCCAACTTTATAGATGAACTAATCGAAGTTAAGAGTAGCTTAATTAAGGTAGATAAAAACAAATTAGTGGAAGTGCAAAGGCTCGCTTATTATCAAACTTTATGTACTCTTACTTAATACATAAGATATATATAGTAGAATGTCAGTAAATTAATAATCGATAAATTAATAGCTTCTATCAATTAATAATTTCCTCTGTTACCAACTTGCAATCAGCAAAAAAAATGAAATAAATTAATAAAATGATAAGATAATATATTTCAGAAAATCTCCTATTATATCTACAGGTCCCGACAATATGTAAGTTAATATATACCCTAAATTGGAAAAAAAAAAAACTAAATAGCTAGGAAAATTAAAATACAAATTTATTGATTCTTATTTTTGTCATGAAATTTATATCAAACGAAATTTCATCCTTGATTCATCTTATTGTTCTTAGACTTTTGGTGTTGTATTCTCATATTCAGTAAAAAAAAAATCTGGTGTTGTATTGTCATATTGCAGTAAAAAAAAATCCCCGAGAGTTGTTGCTGATTTGAATAATTCATTCGTGTATAAACTAGTTTGAGTTTATTATTAAAAGAGTTTCAGTCCTTATTTATTTAAGATTGTAAAGATAGATTTATGGAAATTAACGTAGTATAAAGTAGGGTTTTTATACAGAAAATTCTATAAATCAATTATTTATTAATTTATTAAATATTTAATAATTCTCTAAATTAATAAAATTTGATGGTCCCAACACTATTATTTATAGATGTTTTACTGTATTCTATAAATATATCAGTAGTGATACAGACTTATGTGTACCAATTAATTAAGGGCAAAAGTACAGATTTTTATGAGAAATATATATTTTCTACAATAAAGTGGTAAAAAAAATAAGAGACCAAGTGAGTAACTGCATCTTTTCAAAAAGATAAATATATCTTTTCACTGTATATTCGTCAGTAACCTTATCATTTTAAAAAAATAAAATTCGAAGACTTGTGTAGTCCTACAAAAGTACAAATGAATAAATAAAGGAAAAATTTGGTTAAAGGGCGATAGAACAAATCAAATTAATAAAAGGGTACGACCAAAAAATATTTTTTAAGAATGGCAGTAAATTATTTGTCAAAAATCATAAACTAAAAATTATTTTGAATTGATAATACCATCCTTATAATTTTTTACACAAAATAATAATAATAATAATTAATAAAACAAAAGCCAAAATCTATCTTAGGGAGTAATGAATAAGAACCCTATTACCTTTTACAAGAACCCAAAACTCACGGTACCAAAATGTAACTTTCATCCTTTTATTACTTTTTTCTGTCTATTTGCGAATCGAAAATCAATAATAGGTAGAGATAGGATTTTGACATGAAACAAACAAAATTGTTTCCGAGTAAATGCATTGAATCATGAACAAAAGTGTTTTGAGGAAAACAATCGTTTGTTATTATCGTTTGCTATATACATATGGACAGCTTTTTCATATTTTAATTGTGCCCAGAAGAGAGAGTTTACTGCATCAAAAGAGATTTCCATTTTCCATAACGCAAGTGTCGTTAATGCACAAAAATGGAGATGCCACGTTTGGAGTGGAAATTAAAGTCACTTCTTCGGCATGCACCATTCCTACTCGCCTGCTTACTTCTCCACTTCCATGAATTTGCTATTTTTAGACATTTGAATTTGCAGAATATTTTGCCATAAAGAGTTATCATCTGAGTTTTACGTAAAGGGCCATTCGGAAGCAGTTCTACCAAAATACGAGACATGGATAGCTGCTATGGTGTTATAAAAAAATAAGGGTGATTATGACATTTAGAAAATTAAATTAATTTTGTATTTTTTATAAATAAATTACCGTCCTTGATAAAAAAATATTTTTTGGTCATATTCCTTTTATTAATTTAACATGTTTTACTGTCTTTTAACCAAATTTTCCTAATAAATAAAAAACCGGGGCGGTTACCGATTACATTTGGGAATTACCAGATTTCTATAGTCTGTGAGACTGGACCTCCTTCAATAAATAGAAAAATCAACGACGACAACTAGCCAACAACAAAGAAAAAGCTGACATTCATGGCTACCGGATCCAGTCGACCCGATCCATCTTTCAAGCCCTCCGGTCGATCACTCATCCCCGCGGCCAAGGATCTAAAAGCTATAGAAGCCGCTATCACTAGTTCGGAACCCCTTATTAAGAGAGTCGATTTCGATGACGAAGGCGACGACTTGAAATGCCCAGTTTTGGATTATTATCCCCACGTCGTTAATGGTGGGTTCGTCATGAATCCTAAATCCATCAAACCCTTTCCCCCCAGTTTCGAAGATGATAGCTTTCGGGAAGAGAAGGGACTCCCTGCTTTAGGTATTCATCACCGAGATGGGGTTTTGTTTGCTGTTAATCATGCCCAACCAGGTGTGTGTAAATGTTGTTTTAATATGCTCTAATTCCAGCTGTTTTTGCGTATTGTTCTGTTCGTCTATTACTTTATTAGGACCTGAGTTGCATCATCGTACATGAAGTTGGTCGAGTGTATAAATGCGCTGCAGATATTATAACGGATTATGAATCAGCATCATTGTTAAAAGAGGAACTATTTGGGAGAAAATTTTATATTAGGGAAAGTTGAGCCAGGAGCTGTAGCTGAAGGTTGCTAACTCTGTCTAGCTGTAGCTGAAGGTAGCTAACTCTGTCTTATCAAATTCCTTTATCAGATCTTTGTGACACAGCTGTTACTTATCCTCGTCTTGGTCTGGTTGCCACTATTTCTGGAGGAAAGGTGGATGACTGCTCACAGTTGCTTGGAGAACTGAAAACCAAGGTTTCCCCCTTTTTGAATCTATTGTTGTCTTAGTTCCCAAAAGGATGGATAGGAAAATGCTTGTTTTTTAGGCTTATTTACATTCTGTATGCTAGTGCGATAGAATCATGCATGAGAAGCCGGGAGATCTGAATTTTGCAAAGCTCAAAGAATTGATGACCCATACACTGTCTTCTCGCTTTGAGGTGGGACTGATCGCTGGTTGGGACTCCACAATGGTATCCTTACAAATATTCTTTTGCTTTGTGTGTGTAATTAGTTTATGCTGGTTTGCAAGTATTTTGGTTCAGCTTTCTAATGGTCTGACCCCTAGGAATCCCGCGGTTTCTTTTTCCTTGTAGGGTTTTCCTGCCCTGTATCGTGTGGACGGCATTGGTGGTCATATCAGAGCAGCTGGCATATTGGCCACTGGATCTGAATTTAGGCAACTGTACTCTTCTCTGGACCTGAATCATTTGAATTGGTTGAAAAGTAATTATCCTGATGGGAAATGTGAGCTGGACGAGGTTCTGGACCGCCCGTCTCACTACAGGTATGGTTTTTGTTACTCTTTTCCTCATTAAGGTTCACTATGTGATTTGTTAAGTAATATTTCTGCCGCACTTTAGTCATTTCGAATTGTTTTTGCAGAAACTATCTCAATTGGTTTACTTGGTCTACACATGAAGCTGCAAAGTTGGCCATAAGAAAGATATGCTGGACTGCAGCTAATGCTGAGCATGGTTTCGATTATGTAACTAGTATGTCTGTTGTTCTCCCCTGTTGCTCTTTTCATGTTTACTTTGGCCCGAGGATTTTTGGGGATTTTGTGATGATGAGTGGTGTTCTTTGTTATTTTAAGTGTTCTCTGTAGGAAGGGGTGGGGCGGAAGTCCTCTTTCCTGGCACACCAGTTGAAGAATATGTGCGGAACTGCTCGAGGCCTGCCAGACGTTTCAAGCATTTGTGGATTGACCCGCACCAAAAGAGGAAGTAAAGTTATTTCATATCAGTTATTGTAATAGGCGGATTGCGATTTTTTTAGACCTTGGATTTAAATTTATGCTTCGACTTTTATATTACGGTTTTGCATTTAGACATTGATTTGTATTGTCCCCTAAATTATACTCTTGACTTGAAAGAATTTCATGAGTATGATCACTAGCCTGGATATGTTAAAGGATGATGATTACTTTGTTTCTTTTTTAAGTGTAACCATTCTCTTCTGGGTAAACCAAACTGGGGAGGACAAGTAATAATATTCCTTTCTCAAAGGTAAAGGTCGATCCAAAACCTACTCATAAAGTCGCAAGTGAGATTTAATAGACAATAGACATCAAATGTTTTTACTACATAAAACCTTATGATAAATTCCTAAGCAAAGCATAATAACCTACGAAGACGTCTACTTAGTTATCACGTGTACTACCACTATGCTCATGGACGCAACCGGAAATCTGGCAAATAAAGGACGTGACCAGCTCCTCCATTTCAATTCATCAACAATCTGCAATTTCATTGGAGGGGCCATCCCCATTTTGTGCAGAACATCTTCGATTTGCAGGTTACCCTGGCTATGAACCAGCCCATGGCGTGCTACAAAGAACACACTAACCAGATCTCCAATATCAGCTTCAGGTGACAATCATTAGCATCAACATAGCATATGGCTGTCAGGGCCATCTTTTCGGCCTCATGAACAGACCAATTCAACAAGTGTTATACTTTTCGATCTGAGACTCATCGTCCAGAACGCCGTCCAACCAAGACTCAGGAGGCAAAGATCTTTTCGCATCAATCATATTATTCAAGTCCAGAAAACCATACAGTCTTCTAAATTGCGATCCGGTAATCAATATTTTCCCCATAATCAATCCGCCCATACTATCCACTCGATACCAGCCAATCTTCTACTAGTAGTATTAAATTTTAATATGTAACTTAAAATCTTAACTTTTTATTAATTTAATTCTTTTAATATTTATATTAAAATCTTTTATTCAATACAAAAAATTAAATAATGATTTTTTTTTTCAAAAATATTACTCCAAGTATACCCATGTTGACTTCATAAATGTATAAATAGTGTCAAAGAACAAAAACAAGTTACATCCTAAAATGTAAAGGACTATTTTATCTAAATATTAATGTAAAGGATCAAAATGTGTATTTGTCCCAACGTACATGACCATTTTCAGAATTTAATCTTATAAAATTTAGTTCTTTTTTGGTTGCAATGAAAGGAGGTATATGCTCAAATCTAAACTAGTACATTATCAGGATAGTACTGATTTTTTTTATTATTTTTTTTTTACAAAATTTAGTTCTTCCCGTACAACAAGAGTGCATATTTTATGTACACCCCCTTTCGTAAATCGCCTGATGAAAAGGAAATTCGTAAATAAAAATACAAATTATGGTCCGTGTGACTATGAGTACAAGTTTTGAGTAAAATATAGTTAGATGTACTACTGAGAACAATGTGCTTGATTGATTGAATGTTGGGTGTTTGATTGGATTAATGAAAACTTATCATTAACATGCGACTTAATTATTACTGCTGGTTTTCAAATCGTAAGTTCAACGTCTTAATGGGTAAATTATTGTTGGGAGAATTTTGCTCTTTTTTTTTCAAATACTATTACTATTACTACTTACTAGTGCTACATGTAAATTATCTAAATTATTGTTGGGAGAATTATTGTTGAGAGAATTATTGTTGAGATTAGGTTAGTCAAAGTATCCATCCGTCCCATAATTATTATTCACTTTAATTAAGATAGAAGATTTTATTTTTAGGTCAAATTTAATTATATTTTAACTTAAATAACTGGATATACCCCTATAAAAAGTAACTATTTACCGACAGGTTTTATGGATTTATAAACGCAAGCTCCTTCTCTTCTTCCTAATATTAGACCCGAAATTCAAAAGCCAAACTCCAATTCATATATTTAATCAAAATTCAAAAACAACAATTGAACAACTCAAATCTAATGCAATCTTTTCATTCTGCTTCTTCTTTGGGATTAATGAATTCCGGTATAATCAAGTCCATCATTGCCGGGAATTCTCCAATTATCACGACTACGTTGTCGAAAAGTCTGACTTTCACCGGCTCGGCTCCAACCTCTGGTCGGTGATTGGTTGTTCCGAACATCTACCAATTCGACTCAGTGGCGGCCAGCCCCAAAGTCAATGGTGCCGCCGATGGTGGCTGTGACGGCTCCGGCCAATTTCAACATTGGAGGAGTTGTTGGTCGAGAGAGAGGCGACGGCGGATTGGCAGCGTGCTTGTTGTATTTTAGCTGGTACGGTTGTTGATGGAGGAAGTCGACCAGAATTTCTATACTTTTTTAATAAAATTTAGCTGTTATTGAAATAAGATTGAAAAGTCACACATCGGAGGAGTGAAATGGTTCATATTGCTATTTAACTTCTATCAGCAGGATAAAATGGTTCTAGTGAAGGGCAAGTACGTAATCTAATCCATAAAAAGTCAAATTGGACAATAATTTTGAGACAAGTTTTTTTTAACAAAATGTACAATAATTATGGGACGGAGGGAGTATTTGTGTTGCGTCGCTGAACCAGTCAATGCTCTACTGGTATTCTGGTTCGGTAACGACTAAGGAGGAAGGCAAAAACAATAAGATGTGTTTCGCACCAATCTGTAACCTTGTAATAGTAGTAAATCATGTACTCCTACGTTAGTTTTCCAAGAAAAAAATGAGGAGGAAGGCTATTTAATTTACTGCACAAAAGGGAAGGACATCAACGAAGAAAGACACCGACGAAACAGATTGGTAGTTGAAAATATTTACTTCTCACATTAATTATGAAATATTGGCGCCATATCATAATCAATTGATCAGTCGTCCAATTTAAGGAGAAATTCAATTCATTAGTTTTATCTTGATGCTATCACATTCATACATATAGATTTGGAAACCCATTCGAATGTTTTTTGTTAGATGCCCAAAATGGGCTGTCAAGAAACACCTGTACGTTTCCTCTCTCGGGTTAATGCCCAAAAGGCTGTCAAGTATGCTGTGTATGTTCTTTAGTTACTTAATTCCTGTGGCCACAGTTGTTAAGTGTATTTGTTGTTTCAATTGGATACCTCTTATTTGGACTCGAACCTAGATTTGCCCCCAAGGCCTTTGGCAGTTTCTTGGCTATGATTCACTGTATCCTTATATTATATGTGCTTGATGGTCTCCTATGGCTTTCATTTGTTGATTAAATGCATGTTATTAGTTCTTTTATGAGTTTCCCTTTTCATGTCCATACACCCACAGTTGCACTTGCATGATCTCGGACCAGAGATGATAATATGGTCTGAATTAGACCTCACTAAGCGCAAGCTTATCCCTTCCCCTTTCCCCATCTACAGCTTCTGCAAGAAAAAGCTTTGGATTGGACTGCGTCACTGGGATCAGTGAGCTAGTAAACCTAGAAAAGCAATTAAAATCAATAGTAGTTCAAGCTTTAGTTGGTACCTGAGTAACAGGCTTCAATCTTTGTAAGTCTAGTTAGTAACAAAAGTTTTATGTTGCTGGATAAGTTACATCGTATGACCAAATGTCAAATTTTCTCATTTGTGCTGCTTATTCCTAAGCATGTATTAAAGAAATTGTTTGTAAATTTTAAATGTGAAATAGTATCATTCTGTTCATAACAATTTTACTCCAAAATGTAGATACAATATCTTAAATTTGTAGAGTCTTGGCTCGCACGTCTGACGAGATAACCGTATTGGATATGTGGTTTGGTTGGGGCATTAGGCTTTGATCCATTTGGTTATAAGGAATTGTTGTCTTAATTACTATAAAATAAATGTAGAACCGTATTGTGTCTAATGGAACATAGGAATAAGGTCTCCAGGAAGTAAATTAGAATGTGAGGACTTTTGGAACCTTTATAAGGTATAGAAGCTAACTTTTGGGTTTAAACTTTTCTTACGAAAAATTTATACCAGAGTGCGGTTGTAAAACAACATAATGGGGATGAAGTGACCTCTTGGGAAAGGCCTGCCCAAGAGTTGATTTTACTAATCTGTATTGTGCAGTTAAGCAACATATGGTGGAAAGGGTATAATCCTGTTAACAATAAACATCATTTGCTTGCTGTGCATGGTAGTTACAGATGATATTGTTGAGCTTGATACGGCATGGTTTGTTGCCATAAAACTGCATTGATGCTATCTTGATTTTTATATGCAAAGTTGTTGGTCACTGGACCTCTATTTGGATTATTTGCTTTTGTGGTTATGTGATTTGCTTTTATGGCAGGAGTATGTGTTTACTAATGCTGGCTGCGAATTTTTGGCTGCAAAATGATTGTTTTAAGTGGCTATATGTGTATGGCTCTATCCCTGACTAGTTTAGAGATAGTATATGATGATGTATTGAAATAAATTGCTTAATCCTGGTGTTGTTTAGAAACTTTCAATTACTGCTTCCTGTTTAACATTGCTCGAGTCCGACAGCTGCTTCTAGTTTATAACTGTAAAATGATAAGGATGTTAGCTTTTCTTTGTGGGAGTAACATAAATTAATTAGCATTATTTCCGCATGGGAAGGCTGCCTTACTCTTGATGAAATCATGTTGAAGTTGTAATTAGATTAAATGGGATTTCATGAAATCAGATCAAGTATATTGCTACCTTGAACTTATAATGAAGTTGGTTTAGTGAAAGTGGGTGCCATGTTGCATTACAAAAGAGAAGCACATAACCCTATCTTGCTCAGTTATTTCGGATTTGGTGTCTTGATTTGGTAGTTTTTTTGAAACGATGTATTGATTTGGTAGTTAAAATGAACCAAAAACATGGATCCATGACCTCTTTGCTTAACTTCCACCCGTTGTTTCCCAGCAGACTGCCTGCCGTTGCGATTAGATCTCAGTATTTCCGTCGTCACTGTTTGCATCATGAAGGTAAACTCTCTAAAAGTATTTCCCTTCGGAGAATTCTTGCATTAGGAAAAATTGTTGCCTAGTTGTGTTCTTCCTGTGAATGAAAATAGGTTAAATTAGAAATTAGCCGGGAACCCCAGTTGTGATTATTGCAAAAATTATGATGTAAAGTTAGGACTAATGTAAGTCCATATTAGTGAGGATTTGTGGCAATCGCAAAACTAGGGAGCGCCCATGTGTGCTCGTCGTTGTGATTTACTCAGTTTTAACTGCAGAGATCTTCTAAGCTTAAACGTCCAGTTCCAGATGACGTTCTAGATGACATTCCAGATTGCGCAATAGACGGAATTCAAAAAGCTGTAGCTCCTTTGCGCGGAACTTACCGTCAATTTTCTTTCCATCTCTGTCATCCGTACATGACCGGTGGAATACCTGATTCCAAGGCTTATTCCAGTTTTGGCGAATCATTTAGAACAGAAATCACCAAGGTTAGTTCCATTTTATATCCTTGAATACAATGTATGAATTTTATTTTTGTATCTTTGCTTATTTAATGTGTTTTTGTTTGTCTTGGATCAAGCAATCGGTTACCGGTCACCTAGCAGCCAGGTATTTTTACTATATATTCTATTGATGGATGCCTTGTTTATTTTATGTTTTTAGAACATTAATACATTTTTGTTTTTGTGATCACTGCAGTCTAAGTCAATTATAGCTCTAAATGCTGAAGAAAAATTAGATCTCAATGTATGTATTCCTTTTATTTTCTTTTTTTTTTTTTTGGGGGTTTGTGGGGCTTCCATGTTTGGGGAAATTTTTTTTCTCCTGTATGTGGATGTTTTAATAACTTTGTGTCATCGAGAGAACTTTTGGTTTCGTTAGTGAAGTGGGCTTTTTCTTTCTGCAGAAAAGGTTTCCAAATCTTACTCTGAAGGACTTAGATGTGCTCAAAAGCTTGTCTCATGCTGTCCGGACACGTGTTGAGGCGCTTAAGAAATATCAGGCATGTGATTGGATGTTTAGTTCTTGTTTTTCAAATTTGTCTAAGAGTAATATGATGGTATCTTTTTATCAATAGGAGGTGTAGAATTCTTGTTGAAATAGTTAAGAAGTCATTTGTACATTTCTATTGATAAAGAAAATACCATCTTCTATCAATTTTGAGTGTTTAAATTGTTAAAGGGTCATTGGTGAACTTAAAATTCTTGCTGAAATCATATTTGCAGTTCGAACATGATTGGTTACACGGAAAGTTTCTTAAGGAGAAGGCAGCACTTCAAGATTCCGACTACAATGCACTGTGTCGTCGAAAAAAGTTGCTCAAGCAGAAGGCAAGACTTGATGGGCCCGACTACAAGACACTGTGTCATCAGGTATGTCTTGCCTCTAATGAATATATATGCCTTTGAATTTTAGTTTCATCATCTATCCATTTTCCATTATCTGTCTGAATGCTTTTGATAAAAATTTTTACTCTCAGCTTGTTGGCACTTTTGCAGATATACGATGGCCCTTCTTGTAACCAGCTCACTCTTGACCTTAGTTTCCAGTAGACCTCTTCTTGCTTCAGTATTTCAAGTTCCTTTTTCATTTCCACCTCTTGTTCCCTGGAAAAATTTGGGTTAGCCTGTAGTATCTGCAGATTTTCACTATTCTGTATGATTTTCTTTCGCCGATCCCTGAATTTGTTTCTTACCTTGATATTAATGGCCTTCATTGAATTTCCGGCATTTACCTTAATCTGCTCCGCTATGTTACTGCGTCTTGCACTCCAGTTCTCCACTATATTGGCACTTTCAGCCACTTTTGTCCACAGTGCTTCGAATCTCCTTATTTTAATTCCTCTTTTATTTTGTCTATTAGTATCATTATCCCTCTTAAGGTCAATGTTTTAACGGCACATGATCAGAATGTCCTTGCTGCAAGATGAGCCAATGCTGACTTAGGGAACTTTTTGTGCCCACCACCGTATCCAATCTCTCCAATATTCTGTCGCACCCTTCATATTGTACCAAGTAAAGTTCAGACCTCTGAAACCCAGGTCATACAATGGTGCTGTCTCCACGGCTCTTTTAAAATTGTTGATTTGAGAACTGCTTCTTTCACGTCCTCCGAATTTCTTGTCATCAGTCAACAAGCTTTCTCTGAATTTTGCCTCTGGGTTGTTATGGGGTTTACGTAAAAGACAGTGACTTTCCATCTTTCCTCTCCTTTGTTACCATTCAATATGCCCCTTCAGAAAAGCTCCTAATCTCCAATCCACTCCCTCTTTCGATAAGAGGGCTAACCCACTGTGCTGTTCCTACCTTCCACCATAAAGCCATTAGGGAGAGCTGTCTTCCCTTTAAGTTTTCAGTGTCTGCATTCCTTAGTTTTGTTTTTGTCGAGAACACATGATCAGGATCTTCAACCCGTACGAGCTTGTCAAGAGATCGAGTTGCTCGGGGTTCCCCAAGCCCCAGCAATTTCATGCTATGTTTCTCATGGCTGATGCAGCCCCACTGTTGGTTCATTAAAACAGTAACTGAAATCCACAAATCATACCTTCCTTCCATCAGCCCCAATCCAAGCATGTCCATGTATTCCAATTGTTCAACACCCCTCCCCCAATCTTCCATTTCTTGCCGTAGTTGCCCTTGTCTGCTGCCATTCTTCTCCATTTTCCAAGATTTTTTTCATTTATTTTCCAGTTCAATCCGGTTAAAACCTTCAGAGGATCAGTAAAGTTTTTTATCTTGGTAAATCTCATCTGGACCCATACCATTTAAGTCACATACCTTCGGTCAGTCTTCACTTATGTTCTTTCCTTTGGTCCAACTTATCTCCTCTTTGCCTATCTGTATCAACTTGGGCCATCTTGAGCCTGATCCCATTTATCATATGAGATTAACGACCATTTTTCAAACTTCTAGACTCTACTCGAACCCCACTTTGCACAACTTCCAGACTTTCAAACTTCTAGAATCGTCGTTGAACCAACTTGACTTCTGGAATCGGTTTTACCTTTCTGAATTTTATTGAAGACCTACTGTAGACTTCTAATTTTTCACGAAATCATGTTTGCAGAGTAAATTGGATGAATTAGGAGAGGAGTTTATTGAGAAGAGAGCAGCACTTGTGGACAAGTACCATGATCTGTATCAGCCTCTTTATACAAAGGTTTGTCTTGCCTCTACTTGTTGTGTTCAATTGCCAAGTTATGTTCTCGTGATGTTGTGCGCAGTGAAATTGGGGTTGATGTTTTAATCTGAGCTTATGATAATTTGCAGCGGTATGATATTGTGAACGGGATTGTAGATGTTGAAGGCGCATTGAATGAAGCAAGTGATCGAACCAAAGAGGATGAGAGCTCTACAAAGGGTAAGTTTTGGTGTTAAAATTAGATATACTAGATTACTTATCCATGTGAGATTATAATTTGTCTACATCCTGTGCAGAGAAAGAAAGAGGAGTGCCTGATTTCTGGCTCACGGCATTCAAGAATAAAATGGTTATATTTGGAAACGTTAGTGCTCGAACATGTTTACCTCTTTAATTTGTTCCACTTTGATCAATTGGGTTTCAGCCTTTAGCTTCTTGGCTGTTCATGGATCCAGATATCTAAACATGATGAAGAAGCTCTCAAATATCTGAGAGATGTCAAGTACTCTAGGATTGATGATCCCAATGGTTTCAAGCTGGAGTTCATGTTTGCCACTAACCCATTCTTCAAGAATGAGGTTCTTACCAAAGTATATCACATTACTGATGAAGATAAACCCACGGAGGCAATTGGGTGAGTTAGGAATTAACTTTCAACAATCTGAGGCTTTATTATGAAATGTCCTTGTTGATTTCGTTAACTTTTTGTATTTTCACCTTAGGACGGAAATTGAATGGTACCCTGAAAATCGCTTGACTATGAAAATTGTTGAAAAGAAGTCTAAGATGGGTTCCAAAAAGACAAAAGCAAGCATTTCAGCTGAGCAATGTGAAAGCTTCTTCAACTATTTTAGTCCATCACAAGTCCCCAAAGATGATGATATTGTAAGCTCAATGTTATTCGGCCTTAAGGAATTTACTTTTGTGTTTATGACTCTATGTTAATCCTACTTTCTCCTTTCTTAAAATTCGGGGAACAGGCAGAGTTCCAGAACCTTATGGTAAAGGATTACAACATTGGGTGAGTTGCAAAGTTTTTGGCCAATATGTTTTCTAGTCTATGACCTTTGCTTCACAATTTTTGGCCAATATGTTTTCTAGTCTTTGACCTTTGTTTCACACCCTTTTCATGCAGTGTCATCATCCGCGATGAAATTATCCCTAGAGCTGTTTTGTGGTTCATTGTTAAAGGAGCAGACGAACTCACTGAAAATGATTTCAGTGATTTTGATGAAGCAGATGATGTTGATGTTGATGTTGATGATGATGATGATGATGGTGATGATGATGTTGGCGATGATGATGATGATGACGATAATGATTATGATGATGATTTTGATTATGGTTTACCCACAGACATCACAAAGGTATTACAATTAGAATTTCTTTTTATCCTATTTGAAGTGAATATTGGGATAGCCATGAAAATGTTTTCATCTGAAGTAGGACTCTTCTTTATTGCTCAATTGGCCCTTGGGAAGCATGCAAATTTTTGTTGCTATTTTCTTGTGACGTGTATTCTAATGATTATTTTGCTGTTAATTGCAGAAGAGTAGAAAAGGAGCTGCCAGAAAAAGAACTGCCAGAAAATGATCTGTAACTCAGTATATGGCTTGGTGTGAGCATCTTATTTGGGATTTCATGTTTTCTTACTGGGGATATGTCCCATCTTTGAAGCCATGTTTCTACCGTGATGTGCTTGTACGTGAAACCATATATCACTTCCTGCATTATTTCCTGAACATATGTTGTCGGAGTAGAAACTTTCTTGAGGGATTTAGCTACAAAATAGTTCAACAGGGTTCACAGGACGAACCAGAATACTTGGCAGTAGTAGCAGCTTGCTTGGGGGCAGAAAATTTGTGGTGCCGCCTCTTCTACTGGCATCTGCAAATCCAGCAAGTCTTTTTAACTCCCGCGGTACAAGTATAAAAGATTATGGCAGATAGTAAGAGTGAAACAGAAGAGTGAATGATCAATTTTGTGTCGATATCCTCATTCCTCATGGAATTTAGTTTAGAAAGCTGATCTTTGCATTTTTACTAAGGTACATCTATTTATCACTCTCATAATGCTGAAGGTGCTTATACGTTAGCAGTAACTTAAGAATCTTATAACTCGAAATGCTCCAGTTGCTAGACTGCTTGTGTGGTCTTTACTGGCTGAACAGCAGTTACAGAATACTACGGTCTAGTAAAACCTTCACAGTCGGAGTATGCATGAAAAACCAACGGGAAACGAAAGAAATAAATAACTATGTTAACTGAATTACATTCCATCCTGGATTTACCTTGTGGTGATTTTTCAATTAGGCATCTCGAAGTATTTACTAGATGTTCATACGAGAGGCTTTCAACGTTCTATATTCTGCATCTCAGTTTCCTCCATTCACAATAGAAATATGAAGACTCGTAACAATTTTGCGATAACTAATAGTATACCTGTGAACTCTTGGCACTAAGACTTAACTGTATTGGAAATACTGGATAGCCAAGAAGTCTATCTTATCTAGTTACCCGTTCTGCATAAATCTTACCATCTAATAGCTTATGTCTCACCAATCAGTGAGACTTTTGTATCAAGCCTAGAGTTTCTCTCATATATATATATATATATATATATATATATATATGTATATATATATGTATATATATCTTACTATATTGGAAACAAAAACCACACTTAAGAGAAAGTATCACCATTTGGCATTTGGCATTTCCACATCATATTTTTAAAATAAATTTTTATTTACACATCTCTTAGACTTAAAAAGCAAATACAGTCCAAATCCAACTCCACCTCCTATTTTCGGCCAAAAAAAAAAAACTACGGGTTCATAAAAAACCCAAATCCTCATCCACATCCTCATGACAATCAACTCCCTAATCAATCTCTTCTCTTCAATAAAAAAATACTCATTTCCTATTAGCATGTTCAATCTTTTCATTAGTAATGATCAACTACATCCTAATCAAATAAAATTTCAACTTCAAAAAATATTCTCTTTACCTCTCTATATAAACACAAAAGAAAAAAAAATTCTCATTGATCTTGCTTCGGCTATTGTGGTGGTACCATTACAGGTGTTAAAATTTAAATGATTTAATTTTCACAGATCATTTGTTTGGCTTTTATTATTTTTTATTTTTCCCGTTCAAGAATAGTGTTATTACTATTATTTTTATGCGTCCATCTGTTATAGCTACCGTAGCCGTTGTTAGGTAATATGATGTAATTTTTTATATGGTTAGTTAGCCTAGAATTTTTGGATGATTTTAGTTCTATTTGGATTGAATTGATTAATTGGATTTTTGTTACAAAGTGTTGTTTTTTAAAATTCTTTTTTATGTTTCATTCAATTAGAGTGATTTTCTTTTTTTAATTATGGAGTCTCAGTTTTTTTTCTTATATGGTCAGTTATGAAGTGTGTTTTTCCTTTGTCTAATTGCTTTTTATTTTATTTCATATTCGCAGTTGACTAATTATTATTATTATTTTATTTTATTTGCAAATGAAGTGTGTTTTTTTTTCTGTGTTCGGACTTTCAAGAATATACGTTTTTAGATTTGATTTTTGGACTTTTTTTTAGTTCCTCATCATATAAATAGTTTAGGTCGATTCTTCTAACTAATTTATGGGGAAGCCTTTTATGAATTTGAGGTGGAGAGGGAAGGAATGATGTTTCTACGTTTATTTGTGTTTTTATACATCATTTTTACTTACAGAAAAAAAATAAATTTTTTAATTTTTAATGGGCTATCTTTTACTTTCTTTTTTTTCTTATTTGCCATGGTGAGATGAGTTCTTTTTTGCTATAACTTGAAACCTGTGCAAGTTTACATTATTTTCATTCTCATATTTGTGATCAACCAATTTCAACAATTAACCAATTTCAAAATCATATTTTTGATATTTTACTACCTATAAACTTTTGGAAGAAATAGTTCCAACAATTAAGCGTATGCCCTTTGGAGGAAATTTACTACAAAGTTATTATAAATCTCCAAAACTAAGTATTGATTTGGCACAACCAATGGAGAATATCAATAAATCATCTTACTAATATTAAACTTATTAGGATACTTTAATATTTTGTCTAGCATTTACTTCAGGACATATATTTGATCAAGTTTATTTATATTTAAAAAGTAACACTTATAAAATATTTCTAAAATCTTCAAACATTTCTAAAACATACTGGGCCAAATATAATTTCTTTCTATGCCAAATACGAACATTTTTATGATCACACATATAAAAAATTTCTAAATTCTTCAAATATTTCTAAAATATATCGGGCTAAATACAAAATATTTTTTTTTCAGATACAAACATTTCTAAAATCTACAAATATATTGGGCTAATGCGCGACCAGACATCACTAGTAAAAAAATAGCTTATGTCTCTCAAAAACCCACAAAAAATATCCTATACATTTGGTCAAAAAATCATTTTCGCCCCCCACAAAATAAAAAGTATCTTTGTCCAAATTTAACTTAGTTTCGGTCAATCTCCAAAGAGATATCAAGATAATCAATTCATTTCCACCGTCGAGTATTTGTACTTCAAAACCAAAAAAGCAACTTTGGTTTGACTAAGAAAAGGAAAAGAACTCTCCGACTTTTTACTGATACCTCTGGGCTCATCTCGAACCAATTGAAAAGCAGTATATTCTTTGGAGGCACATCACAAAACATCAGATAGGCCATAGTTAACTGTTTGGGATACCATGAGGACGGTCTTCCAGTTAAATATTTGGGGGTACCATTGACATCCAAGTCTTTATCTGTTTCGGACTATCAACAACTAGTGGAGAAGGTAATTGAAAGAATTAGAAGTTGAACTATAAGATTTTTGTCATATGCTGGAAGACTTGTCCTAATTAAATCTGTGTTGCAAAGCTTACATAATTATTGGAGTCGGATATTTGTTCTCCCTAAGAAAGTAATCAAGAATGTTGATAGTTTGTGCATATCATTCCTTTGGGCAGGTACCACATGCAGTAGGAAAGCACTTGTAGCTCGGCATGATGTTTGCAAACCCATAAGTTCAAGAGGACTTGGTCTGAAAAACTCAGTACTGTGAGTGCACAGATTAAATGAGTGCATGAATACTATATCAAAGGAGAATTCTTTTGGACTCTTCAAGTGAAACAGAACACTTCATGGACAATGAAGAAGTTGTGTAACTTAAGATATATAGCACTTCTCTGTGTTGATGTCTCAGATCAAGGCTTGGTTTGGATGAGTGAAGGATTGGCTTTCTCTACAGCCGGCACTAACAAATCTCTGACACTAACAAATCTCTGACTCAACATGTAAGAATGCCTCAATATCTTCTCTCCTGGGATAAATTTATAATTCCAGAATTTAGTTTCATTTCCTGGTTAGCTTGCTTAGATCGTCTTAATACAAGGGAAATGATTGCAAAATATGATCCAAATATGGACAGAAGGTGCCCGTTGTGTTTGATGACTGATAAAACTATTGAAGATCTCTTTTTTAAATGCCTTTTCTCAGTCCGGATAATTACCAAAGCCATGACCCTTATTGGATGTGTCCCTCCATGTTTCCAGTGGTCAGATTTTAAGGAGATATTATTGTTGAACTATGGGTCAAGTTCGGTTAGAGATGGCATTAGTAGGGGAGTAGTAGCATCTGCTATATATCATATCTGAGAAGCTAGAAACCGAGCAATCTTTAATCCTGGCAGCCTAGCAGAGCATAAAATCATGAGCAGTATTGTCTATTATTTGAAGATAAAGTTGTTTACCATTAAACAAATCAAAGAAACCTCAAAAAATAGAGTTTGGTGTGCTAAAATGATGATCTCCCCAAAGTTTATTTGAAGATTCCACTTACTTATCGTATATTTTGTTGTTTTACCTTATAACATTGGTAGAATCTTTTGTAAAGCTCGAATCATGAGATTGGGAGATGATTTACTATGTTTCACATAAAATGGAAAATATCAATTTTCATCCAAAAAAAAAAAGAAAAGGAAAAAAAAAGAGCAGCTTTTGCATCCCAATGAACTCATTGGACGTCCAAATTATACTGAGCACCACGCACTTGCTCACTGCTCTTTTTTTCTCTTCTCTTTTTTCTTTTTGATTTTAATTTTATATTTTAGTTTTTTAACCTTATAATTTTTTTTTGTGTAGTTTCAACTCCATTTTACACACCTAATTAATAAGTTACGTTTTAGTGTGTGATTTAACATGAATTACTTATAAATTTTTTTAATTCAGTTAGGCTAGGGTCTCGTTTAGCCTAATTGAATTAAAACGAATATAAACTAAATAGATAACATAGTGTATTTAGGGTTTAGGGTTTAGGAGGGTTTAAGTATTTTAATTAGGTTAGAGTCTAGTAATTAGTATTTAGAATTTAGGAGGGTTTAAACATTTCAATTAGATTAGGGTCTAATGATTATGATTTAGGGTTTAGGAGGGTTTAAATATTTTAATTTGGTTAGGCTCTAGTGCGTGATGTAACATGATTAACTTATAATTTTTCTAATTTAATTAGGGTAAAGTTGAATTAAAAAAAATTAAACCGAACAAAAAAGATAATATGTTTAGTGTTTAAGGTTTAAGGAGAGTTAAATATTTTAATTAGTTCAGTATTTAAAAATAATAAAAAAATAAAATTAAGAAATAGCAAAAAGGGGTGAACGCGCGCCGAGGTAACACCGGGTGCCCAGCATAAGAACGGCATTGGACGTTAGAAATAGTTGATGGATAAGTCTCAGGACTGCCGAAAGAGCTTGCAGGTTATAAAATTACGTTTAACTTTATGGTTTTCATTTAAAATAATCAAACATTTTATACTGCATTCTTGTCCAAAAATGGTAGTGGGCAAGAAGCTTGAATGAATCTAGACTGCAAAAGTTATTGGTTTGATGCTGGAACAAAGAAACAAGGTAGAAGAATATGCACTGAAGTTAAGAGTGCTGATACTTTCATCATTTTAACTTCGACCAATTAGATCAACCATGAGTTCCTGGAGAACAGACACATAAACACACTTATAGCTGCGGGATGTCACGGAACTGATTAGACAATGGACTCGACAAAGGAAAGATTACATATGCAACTAGCAAGTAAACATCTTGGTGTAAGATTAATTTAAACTTTTACAAAGAGAGTGGCCGGCAATCCTAATATTCCCTCTGTCCCCAAAAAAATAGTTTTGAGATTTGTACGTACTTTTCAACCCAAACCTCAAAATTTAATGTGGACTTCAGGACAAAGGGAAAGTATTATAGAAACATAATTTCAACTGTTAGAACTAGAAAAAACAGGATTAGCTTAACGAAAACCTAAAGAAGCACATTGGGGGGGGGAGGGAAGGGAATGTGGATTATATCTATTGGGGAAATCTAATCGGATGACCTGTGGTATGAAAGAAAAGTATTAGCCTTTTTCAGTCAGAAATTTGTAGATTACCATCCCTACCTCAACCTCGAAACCATACACCATTTGAGCAAAAATTCTTAGTCCTACCAATTCAAACTGCAGCAGTTTCGCAGGAGCTGCCCCGGCCAGATGCAGAAGAATGTCTCATTTATATTCTTCTTAATTCAAAAAAAAAAGAGTTAATTAATCTTGAAACATATAAAACCTCAGCCAACTCCCCATCTGCCACCCCTATATCTAGACGTCATCTATATTAGTAGCATACAATTATTCCACACAATATATCATACCTGATTATAAGAAATCAGATCTTAAAACATTCAACATCATCGCCTTCAGGGGCTTGAAGGAAAAAAATAAAAAAATTACATCGGGAAACCATTAACAGACAAAAAGAAATTGAACAAAATATTATCTCACATATTATCGTTTGTCCCATATTATCTCACAAGCTGGGGATGTTTTAGATATTAAACAAAATATTGGGTGTGTTTTTTATATTAACCAAAAAATAAAAGATGAAAACAGAATGCCATTGGGAAAATAATCAAATATCTTCTTCTCATATCTCTCTTTGTGTATATATATATAATATATATATATATATATATATATATATATATATATACACTAGTGATGTCTGGTCGCGCAATGCGCGACCCTGGCCCAGTCTATCTGTAGATCTTAGAAATGTTTATATTTGAAAAAAATAAAATTTTGTATTTGGAGCGATATATTTTAGAAATGTTTGAAGGATTTAGAAATATTTTATAAGTGTGATCATAGAAATATTTGTATTTTGCAAAAAAAAAAATAAATTGTATTTCGCCATGTATGTTTTAGAAATGTTTTATAAGTGTTACTTATTAAATATAAATAGCTTAATCGCATATATGTGTTGAAGTAAATGTTAGATAAAATATAAAAGCATCCTAATAAATTTAAATATTAGTAAGATGATTTATTGATGTTCTTCATTGGTCGTGCCAAATCAATACTTAGTTTTGGAGATTTTTAATAGCTTTGTAATAAGCTTCATCCAAAGGGTATACGCTTAAAACAAAATTGACACTTTGTAATAAAAAACCTAATTGATCAATTCAATTTAAAAAACCACTCTAGTTGAATGAAACATAAAGAAAAAATTGAAAAAAAAACGTGTAACGTAAAGTGCAAAGGGGAGATTTAGTAATTTAGTTATGATTAGACAAAAGGGCAATTTAGTATTTTCTACATGCCACGTGGCAATCATATGAGGTGTTTGAAAGGGAAGTTTTTGTTTCTAATATAGTAGGATATAGACCAGAGAGATAGGAGATAAATTCATAAAAAGGATCTGTACTAGATTTCTATTCTCTGAGACCACCTTACAAAAAATCAACCCCCAAAAAAATTCCACGTATTCATGCCTACCGGGTCCAGTCAAGCCGGTCGATATCGCAAGGCCTCCGGTCAATCTAGCAAGGCCTCCAGTCGGGCTCGCAAGATTTCCGGTCGATCTCGCATCCCCACTGCCAAAAATTTACGGTCCAATGATGGTGAAAGCGAGGAGTTGGAATGCCCAGTTTGGGATTATCAGCCCCACCTCGTTTCACGTGGGATGGTCATGAATCCTCATAAAATCAAACCCTTTACCCGCGAGCTCAACGATTTTAGCTTTTGGGAAGACAAGGGACTCCCTGCTTTGGGTATTCGTCTCCGAGAAGGGATTTTGTTTGCTGTTAATCATGCCCAACCAGGTTTGTATAATGTTTATTTTTAAAAAATATACTCTGATAGCTTTTTTTGCGGATTATTTCTGTTAGTCTGTTACTTTAGTAGTATCTGAGTTACATGAAGTTAGTCGAGTGGATTAATTGCGCTGCAGATTTTTATAACCGATTATAAATAGCATCATTGTTAAAAGGTGTAGTCTTTTGGGGGTGTCTGAGTATATGATGTTAACCCAGGAGCAGTGCTGAAGGTATCTAACTCTGTTTTATCAAATTTCTTTGTCAGATGTTTGTGACACAGTTATTTTTCCTAATCGTGATCTTGCTGCCACTATTTCTGGAGGAAAAGTCGAGGACTGCGCACAGTTGCTGAGAGATCTGAAAGAACAGGTTTTTTTTCCTTTATCTTTTGTGCGTGAATCTTTTGTTATCTCAGTTCCCAAAAGGGTAGGAAATGATTGTTTGTTTTTATGATTTTGTGGCTTGGTGACTGATTATCCACATTCTGTATGCTAGTGCGATGCAGTCATGCCAGAACACATGGATTTCAAAATGCTGTTACAGTTGATGACCCAAACACTATCTTGTCGCCTTGAAGTGGGACTGGTCGCTGGTTGGGACTCTGCATCGGTACCTTACTATTACTCTTTGGCTATCTGTGTAATTAGATTATGCTTGGTTGCAAGTATTTCGGTTCAGCATTCTTACCCCATCTGTTTCTTTTCCCCTATAGGATGGTCCTGCCTTGTATCGTGTGGATGGCATGGGCGGTTATATTAGAGGTGAAATATTGGCCACTGGATCTGGATTTAGGTTACTGTACTCTTCTATGAACATAGAATTTCAGATTAGTTCGAAAATATCTTTTCCTGATAGGAAGTTTGAGCTAGCCGAGGTTCTGGACCGCCCTTCTGAGTATGAGTATGTGTTTTGTTATTCTCTTCCTGATTCAGGTTCACTATGTGATTTTATTAACTAATATGTCTGCCACATTTAAATCACCTTGATTTGTTGTTTTTGTAGAAAATATTGGAATTGGTCTGCTTGGTCTCCTCATGAAGCTGCAAAATGGGCCATAAGAAATATATGCTGGACTGCAGCTAATGCTGAGCATGGTTTCGATTATGTAACTAGTATGTTTGCTGTTCTCACCTGTTACTCTCTTCATGTTACTATGATTTGGTCATTTTCATTTTCTGATGGTGTGTTTTGCTCTTTGTTGTTTTCAGTGTACTTTTTAGGACGTGGTACCGTGACAACCCTCTTTCCTGGCAAACCAGTTGAAGAATTTGTGAAGAACTGCGTGATGCCTGCTAGGCGTTTCAAGGGTTTGTGGAATGACCCGCACAGAAAGCGAAAGTAAAGTTATCTCATGCCAGTTGTAATAGGTGGATTGTTAAGTAGACTTCGGATTAAAATTTATGCTTCTGACGATGACAAGGTTTTGCATTTATGTTGGATTTGTACTGTCTCCTGAATTAAATTCTCGTGGTTTTGGGAGAAAGGTTCTGAATCGCTCTTAGGAGTTTTTCCTAGTGTTGTTTCTCCACACTGATAATTGAACTCTTGTTGTATGTGTTGTTCCGCAAGAGAGGACTTTTGTTTGGAGTAGGCGTGAATTTACCCAACAAAAATAATTCCAAAATACTCTCCCCCAAAAAAAAAAAAAAGAGAAATGTAAAATCGATTAAAAATGCAAATTTGTCTCTGTACAGCCATTTTGATATTTCTTATAAGATAGCTGAAGTAGCTGAGGTGATAATTCCGGAAGTAACATCTGGTTGCCTGGTGGCAATTATACAGATATATGCAGTCATCTACATGTATCACGACATTTACAATAATAATACTAGCACCGATATTATTAGAGTGCTTACAGAAAATTCTAGTGTCGATAATATTAAGCCCTGCACGCTGTGTAGCCATTTTAAGATGTAGCCAATTTTAAGGCAGGAAGTCAATGGCTACATCTTAAAATTGGTTGCTGTAGGAGCCCCTGTGGCTGTCATCACGATGGTTCGTAACTCCTGTAGAAAGACAAATCGATCCTGACATGAATACAGCAGTGGTGACTGATCCCTAATACCACCACAAGTCCTGAAAGGTTCCAACAGCAACGACGAGACTACGACCTATTATATTCTATTTAAGCTCGACATCAACATTGTCACAAAAGTGTTTGTTAATTGGGGGTTTTGGGGGTGTGGAGATGAATAAAGTGATTTGTAAGCAACATCATGATTTAGTCGTACCAGCACAATCAAGTTATAGTGTGGGCAGAAGCATTGTGGACAACATCGTCATTTCATTCTACAAGCAGTAACAAAGGGAAAACAGGGTGGATGGCAATTAATTTTTGGCAAAAGCTTAGGAAAATATCAGCTGTGATTTTATCCAATAGAACCTTGATCAAAGCTGAGATCCCCATAGAACTGAGTGGCTGATTATGAGTGTCCTTAGCACGTATTGCTAGGGAGGGTCGTACAAGTGAGAAGAGTTTGGGACATTATGTCACAAAATTACATACCGAGATCTTACCTACAAGCTATTATGTTTCGAATATATATATATTTACAGGGTGCAGAACCTCAAGCTATTCTTTGTGTTGTATCTCCATTGAAGGTAGAGATGTTGAGAACACATCAGCCCTAAACTTGTGTAAACTCCAGTGCATTAGCATCTGGATCACGTGTGAAAATTGCTGGACGTCCTGATTTGCTGAGGGTGTATGGAATGCCTGAAATTTGTTGATGAGCAAGCAGTATGAGATAGGCATACATTGAGGCCGTTAAAATAAAAACCAAAACGAATGTTCAGTTATGAAAGTCACGATGGAAGAAGCAAAAAAGTAAGTGAAAACGATACCAGCTTCATCAAGAATTTCTTTCAGCTTTGACACATCCTGAATTGCTATACAGGTATGCCGATCTCGGCCCCCATGTTCCGGTCGACCTGTTAGCGGGTCGGGATTAGGGAGCTCCATTAAATGTATCATCTCAGAACCCACCCACAACCAAGCACCTCGGTATGGAAGCTTATCATGGGGCCGCGCTTCATTTATTTCCAGACCTGATCTTCAGAAGCAAAGTTAGAGGCCGAATGACCACCTTTTAGGTAAAAAAGAACTGTCACACCAACTTTGGAGCCAAAAAAATTGATATTTACCAAGAATATTCTGGTAAAAGTCCAGCGACCTTTCGAGGTTCTCGCACAAAATTCCAACATGGTGCATACTCACAACTCCAAAATCTACACAACAGCACATATTTTGAATTAATCAAACAAGAAGGAAGATCTTCAAACTCACTAGAACTTGCTCTTTCCAAATTATAGCAGGACCACAATGACTCAATTGAATCAGGATTAATGACTCGAATCAAGATTAAATGACAAGCTCAAGAAGTGCCACTCTTTGTCCTACATAGAACATATCTAGATAGCATCATCAAAGAATTTCTATAATCTTTTAGATAGTTCTGATGTTAGTTGATATAGTTTAAATTGGACAGACCTACTTAAAATCCTCCACATTCATAGCCCACAAAAACAGTGTCCAGCACGGAAGTGAAACAACAATCAGTAGTCACACAAAGATTTGACTCCCTAGAGTTCATGACACCCTATTCTGCTATCAATCTTAAAAAAGACAGTCCACTGCGAAAAAAGATACAGGAAAAGGAGTTTTACCCCTCTTGTCATTAACTTCAACACTGATGGAATCTTTTGCAAGAATGTCGGCTTCTGCAGATGATTTAGCTTTCATCACCAAATTATGCCTTTGAGTTACATCAGTTCTAAGCAGAAAGTTTTTATTATATAGTCCCCTTGTTGCCGTGGCTCCACCAAACCCAACAAGGACCTGAAAAATATTTACAATATACCGAGAGAAGAACCTTAAGATAGGAAAATACGAACGAAGAAAAATAGACAGAAACATGATATCATCCTAGTCATTCCACATAACAAGAGGATCCAAAATTCAGAATGGAAGGAGCAAGACTCCAGAAGCCAAAGTTCTTTACGTGCATCAATAATACGATTGCTTTCTCTCAACTTCTAAAACCCGCAACCTCAGTTAGTGTATCCAGAAATAACACTCTACGGTTTCAAATAATCGGGCGGTTCATCTTGCATTATCTTGCAAGAGATCAATACATTTTATCTATCTTTGTGTTTATTTCAAAAGATCAACCCTTGAGTCTATGTCTTCCTAATACGTCTTCAGGTTGAAGAATTACCAAACAGAAGCCAAAAAAACTATACCTCACAACCTTAAAAGGCAATATCCCAACCAAGCCAGCCCAAAGATAAGCATAATTATTTAGAAGAAAAAGAAAAACCGACGAAAATAACATTAGGCCAGAGAAAAGACATTGCAACATAGTCCAACTAAAAGAGAAAGAATCATGATGATCTCACTCACGCTATCAAATGTTTGCAAAAACTTTCCAAACCCGTTTACCATTTAGTTTATAGGACAATTGAAGCAATATAGTTTCGATTTTTCTGTCATCATTACAAATCAATTAGAATTCTGAACATGAACTCCGATAACTGATTGGAAAAAAGGAAAAAAAAAAAAAAAACATCGGCCTAATTCCCCCAATATGTGATCTTGGGAGAAACTAAGCTGAACCCGTCATTTCAAATTCAAAGAATATTCGACGTGGACATCTTAAACTCCCCAGCTCATCAACACAGCAATCATTAAGAATGAAAAAAAATTAAAAATTTAAAAATAAAATTCAGCCACTTTCATCATACAACCAGAACCTAAAATAAAATTTAATATTTTTTTACCTGGTTGCGGTGAAAAGTGAGAGGCGGGTTCAGTACAGAAGCCATTGGAAGAGCAAGAGCAGCTCGTAATTACTCCTCAGGGCTGTATCCACTACTAAATGGTCACTTGAAAACTTGAAGTGTTCATTCAAACAAAGGGGAAAAAGCTATTCAACAGTTTTCTCCAGTATACGTGCGGTTCAGGATTTCCGGGCAACAAGAGTCACTAAAAACAGTAAAAAGGAAAAAAAAAAAAATGATTCCGGGCCATAAAATGTAGCCCAACGGAAGTGGACCGATAAGAATGTGTGTGGAAAATTTTGCTGCAACTCGCAAAAGATTTTTACGGCCCAAACACGTGTGTGCTAAAGACCAAGACTATCGAGAAGGCTTTATCCCATTTTTTTATGATATGATTTTTTTTCCCCCACATTCTTAATTCAAAAGATGCTGAATTATACTCTCTCCGTCCTATAATTATTATCCAGTTTAGATTTTCATTTCTAGTTCAAATTATACTAAAAGTAAAATCTTAAACTAAACAATAATTATAGGACAGAGAGAGTAATTTAAAAGTAGAAAACTATACGTAGGGGTAGTTAAGCTAATTAAGCTAAATAAAATCCGTAGTTAGAAGATAAAATTATCTAATAAATATCCACTTATCGATAACTATAATGTGTTGGCTATATATTTCCACTAAAAACATTATCAAATATATATTCATATATATACATGATGGTGACTGACATGATAATTAATTACTCTCTTTGTCTCAAAATTATTGTCTAATTTGATATTTCACTTTTAGTATAATTTAAACTATAAATAAAAATTTAAACTGGACAATAATTATGGGACGGAAGGGATACTAATTGTTGGAGTATTTTGAAGTGGATTGATTTTCACCGTGGAGCGGATATCTTTACTCGTAATTTTTGAAATTTTGTAGTCACATGATACTAGCCTAGGTGTTTATCTACGTAACAAGACTATTTATGGGATAAGTTATGCCACGAAACTAACAACCATGCCCCATGATTGACTCCCCCCAACAAGACAATTGTTACTTTTCCAACAAGATAGTCTTCAATGGCCCAACTGGCCATAACAGCCAATTACCGTGTAATAACACGAAATGGCTGATTAGTCAAATTACTTTGAAGAAGATTAAAAATATCATAGCATGACCTAAGACCTATCCAGTGAGGTAACAAGTGACGTGTACTTGTTATTATTGTGATTTTTTATTTTTATTTTTCATCTTCGGAATTACTACTACTACTACATATGTGTGCTGACCTATCTAGTGAGGTGAACTGCGACGCCGTAGTCTATGAAGTAGTACGATAGTATCATTTGTGTATGTTTTTTCTTATTAGTCCCAGTCCACTCTTAAGTCTCTAAACGGATAAAAATGGTTTTATTTTTGCACTTTCTACAACTTAACAGTTAACACTAGCATTTTCTAGCAACAAAACAAATTAGCGTTATTTGTTTTTTTATATTCTATCCCTCTTCAAAAAGAACTACTCTCTCGATCTGTTAAAAAAAAAGAAGAGTCCACTTTGAATTTTGAAATTTTTATATTAAAACAAATACAGATCTCAAAACTCAATATAGATTATTTTTCTAGGACATTGTGCATATCTTATTTGACGTAATTTAGGGATACATGGGATGAGAGTGCCACTATTATTTATATTTTCTCAGAGGTTTTACATTTTGAAATAATAATTTTCTTTCTCGTAAATGGAGGATATGGAGCTTTATGTCGTAGGGGAAAAAATGTAAAATATGTAACCAAAAGAATTAATACCGTAACAACTCTCACAATCAGCAACTATGCATGTAATGTTTGTTTTTCAGTAATGAAGACTTTATCTTTCAAAAAAGAAAAGGGAACTATATGTAATCTAAAACTAGGTGCACATCAGTGCATACTACATATCCACACGGTATGGTTGAACTTGAAAATTGTCAACTTTCATTCAACATTTTGACTCATCTCTCTGGTTCCCTCAACTAAAATATTTTTATTCTGTTTGAAGCATACTAATAATATTCGGCAATCCGTACTTTATTGACTGCCATACCGTTTTATTTCATAAAATTTGACTAAGCTAAAAATAGTTGTTCTCCTCCCATAATATCATATTTTCATCTTTACACGTTAATCTTCTTTCCATGTACTATTATCGTTTCCTCTTATACCAATCATTATAAATAATTAAAATGAATGTCCAGTTTGATTCCAAGTATAACTAGTATTGAAAGTAAGAATCCAAATTAAAAAAAAAAAAAAACACACACACACACACACATTTTGGGACAAAATGAGTAATTTTGTTTTTTTTTTTTTGGGAAAAAAAACTTTGAAAAATGACTTTGATTATATAGTTCTTGAATGTAGTTACAAATGTGAGTTTTCATGTATTTTTTAACATAAAAATTACGAATACTCTTCCCGATCCTTATTATAAAGCATTTGGATTTGCCCTAAATTTCATTCAGTATGTTCTTTAGTTGAAATTAAAATCTTAAAAATGCATTTTTATGTACTCCCAATTATTATAAGTTAGCTTTAAAATATAATTTTTAATTAAAATAACATACTAAATGAAATTTAGGACAAATTAAAATATATTATAATAAAGATCGGAAGGAATATATTTTGGATAAATTTAGAAATATAAGCTGAGTCTTTGGAACATCTAACGAATTAAAAGGAAAATAACAACGACGTTTGCTTAAATTTCAAAAGCATAGCAACAACCATCAAGAAGAGTTAATTGATTATTTATCTCGAGGTAAAACATTTAACCATGTTGTGTTAATTGGGTAGAAAATGATTCTTTCCCATACTTAAGTTGGACTTTCCAATTTGGGAAACTCTACTTTTACATTGAGAAACGTTAGAGGTTAGTTAATTAATTCGTACTCCCAAAAAGCGTAAAAACTAAAAAGAAACTGTTTGGACGAAGAAATTTTCGCTGTACCTTTCAAGAAACTTCCACGTAAGACAACGCAAATATTTGTAGTAGTTTATACGTTCCACAAACGTGCCTTAATTCATCCTGGCAATGGACACAAAAAAATTAAAAAAGCAAACAAACCATCCAGATCCCAACCGCGTAAACTTCCCAACTTTTCCTTTAAAAAAAAGGACAAAAGAGTACTAGTACTAAAGTACTATTATTAATTAACCCCCCAAAAGAACTGTGTGATTGTATTCAGACATTAAGAGAAATTGTATAATGCTCCCTCAATTTTTATTATTTTGCATTTATTTCTAAAATTTGCGATTGTAGCCTCATTGGATGATTGAAGTGGAGTTTTGTATTTGTATTTCTCTTGTGATGAATGGACTAGTAGTACGTATGTCTGCGAAAGTAAATAATGCGTCTCAAAAAATAATTTAAATTATAATTTGTAGATTGTAATATGTAGTGAAAATGATACTACAAATTAGCTAGTACTCCCTCCGTCCCATAATTATTGTTCAGTTTTACTAAAATGAAAGATTTTATTTTTGGTCAAATTTAACTATATTTTACCTTAAACAACCGGATATACCCTACATAAGTAATTATTTAACCACTAAGATTTTATGAATAATGTTTTTTACTAAGGACAAATGTGTAACTTGATCCATAAAAAGTCAAATTGGACAATAATTTTGGGACAAAATTTTTTTGGCAAAATGGACAATAATTATGGGACGGAGGGAATACTTCTTTAACCTTCAAGCATGTTCTTATATTTGATAAAAGTATCAAATCTTACATTGCTTAGTATTATTATAAATATATATTGATGAATTTGATCCTCATAATGAAAAGATAAAAATATTATATATAGATTTCAGTACTGTGCAGATAATTTTATTCACAATTATTAAATGTAAATTATATAGCTAATAAGATGTGAACTTATATAACATGGAAGAACACCATAAACAAACAAATTTAAAAATAAGAAACCAAAATAGATGGAAGATGTCAAATGAGGAAAAAGTAAGAGACTTCAAATAAATTTGTCCAACAATGATAGAAGATTAGAAGTAACAAAAAGCTACGGTGACTTTGGGGTCAAATTACTCATTTTCCAAATTTTGAAGGAAAAAAAATTTATTTCCCTATCGGAATAATATAATTCACAATGTACTTAAGGGATTATACTATCTCCGTCCCAAAATAATAGTCCACATTGAGTTTTCAAATTTTTGTGGGACAGAGGGATTATTATTTTTGGGGACACATAGGGTAGGAGTTTACCATGTTTAAGTCTATACTTTTTCACTATATTTTGTGCGTTACCATGTTCATGATGGTGGTTAAAAATTGGAAGCACACAAAAAATAGTAAAAATCAAGTACGACCATGTCCGAGTTTCCTCACAAAACAGTAAAACTCGAGGGGATTATTTTTTACAAATTCTTACTAATCATTTTATGGCCTATACTAATAATCTAACACTATTCTTTTTCCTTCGTTCCGTACGATACAAATCCCGGCGGTCTTAGTCACCGTCAAAACGCCCCCAAACGCCCCAACCAGAATCTTCCCTGACCGCGTTCACACACACCTCACTCCTGACATCATCAGCTCACACGCTTCCTTCTCTATCTTCTCTTCCCAATTTCATCCCCAATCCCTTCTTCCTCATCACTTCATAAAACCCACAGTAATAAAATAAGTATTTCCTTCCAAAACCGTGTCCATCAAATTCATTATGTATAAAATCTTCTTCTTCCCATTCTTTTCCCCCAAGCATTTTTTGCATTAACCCTCAATATCCTTTGTTCAAACTTCCATCATCTACCCATTAAGTTTTTGTGTTCACATCTGCTTTCATCCTTCTAAAGAACCAATCTTTTTAATTGCTTTCAAACGCAAACCCATGGAAATCTCTGCTTTCTCACCTTACAGTGACGATTACCTTTCAGCAGTTCCCTCTTCTTCTAACAACTTATTTAGCTTCTTTCAAGAATTCGATTCCATTAGTGTTCCCACCCTTAATCATAGTACTACTACTTCTCCTCCTCCTATTAAGCGGAAAAGACTTGATAACGAGCCTAATTATCTTACTACCACAACAACAGATTTTGATACCTCCACCTCTAATTCACCATTTCAGGACATTCTCAACACCTTCTGGAATTTCGAGACCGAGAAGCTGCAACAACAGGAAGAAGAGTTTGTGGGTTTCCCTTCTCTGGTTTCTTCTTATTCTCAATCTTCCACCCCAAGTCCAATGAGGAATATTCAACCGGAAATGATGAAACAGGAAGTTAGTACTTCGGCCGCCGCCGCCGCCCCTGAACCCAAGAGGGCCCGTCGGGGTTCCCCTGATTCGGAAGGAACAGAGGCGGCAGGAGGGAGCAGTTCTGTGAGGAGGTTATGGGTCAAGAATCGGTCTAATGCCTGGTGGGAGCAATGCAACAGTCCTGATTTTCCGGATGAAGAATTCAAGAAAGCGTTTAGGATGAGCAAAGCGACTTTTGATATGATTTGTGATGAATTGGAATCGGTTGTGACGAAGAAGGATACAATGTTGCGTTTGGCAATCCCTGTACGGCAAAGGGTTGCTGTTTGTATATGGCGGTTGGCTACAGGGGAGCCTCTCCGCGAGGTTTCGAAGCGATTTGGGTTGGGAATTTCAACTTGTCACAAGCTTGTTCTGGAGGTTTGTGCTGCCATAAGGAATGTGTTGATGCCTAAGTTCTTGCAGTGGCCTAATGACGAGAAAATGCGGGAAATCAAGAGAGGATTTGAAGGGATTTCTGGGATAAACGATGTTGGGGGTGCAATTTACACGACCCATGTTCCAATCATTGCTCCGAAACAAAGTGTTGCCTCGTATTTCAATAAGAGGCATACAGAGAGGAATCAGAAGACTTCTTATTCAATCACTGTTCAAGGAGTTGTTGATCCTAGAGGTATCTTCACTGACATTTGTGTAGGTTGGCCCGGTTCCATGACTGATGACAAAGTTTTGGAACAATCTGCTCTGTATCAGAGAGCTAATAGGGGACTTATGAGGGATGTTTGGATGGTTGGGAACTCTGGCTTCCCTCTGATGGATTGGCTATTGGTTCCCTACACTAAACAGAATGTTACTTGGACTCAGCATGCTCTTAATGAGAAGGTTGGAGCTGTTCAGGGCATTGTCAAAGAAGCATTCATGCGTTTGAAAGCCAGATGGAGCTGCTTGCAGAAGAGAACAGAAGTTAAACTTCAGGACTTGCCAATTGTTCTTGGGGCCTGCTGTGTTTTGCATAACATCTGTGAGATGAGGGGTGAAGAATTGAGCCCTGATCTTAGGTTTGATTTGTTTGACGATGAAGTTGTTCCAGAGAATCCCGTTAGGTCGATGAATGCGGCACAGGCTAGAGATCAGCTTGCTCACAAGCTCTTGCACCATAACCTGGCAGGCACAACTTTCCTATAGTTTAAAGGATTCTGAATCTTTTTTGTTTTAGTGTTTCTGTAATCAATTTTGGAATTCTTTCATGGCTTGTTCTAGTCATGCCATAGAATAATTAGAGTTTGAACTCTTTGTGAATTTGACATACAATTTGTTATAGCCCCCTTGTAGTTGATAGAGTTCTTCATTGGAACTGTAATACACACAGATTTTGTTTGAATTAGCTTGCAATTATGCAGGATTCCTAGTTGCTTTGGTTTCTTTCTGTCACTGTTCTATATTTGACTACTTTTCTAAATCCTTATGAGCCTATAATATTATAGTTTTTCCTTCCCCCTAAAAGGCATCAAAATACTCCTGACTTCTGAGTCAAAATAACCAAAGGAAGGAATCCCATGTTAGGAAAATGTCAATATCCGTGGACTACTGTTTTGGGAGTCAATGATGAGTTGTTGGTATTTTGGTTGATTTTGGTGAATACTACGGGCGACGAGTAAGGTTGATAAGTTTCAAACATCTGGCATGGCTCATTTCAAGAATTGCATATGAGGATGCTGCAGTAGGTTGACTTGGTTTTTTAAGACAGATAAGTGGCTCCCATGGTAGGTAGGAAAATACATGTAGAAAGTTGTCCTTGTCACATGATCTTACTTTTTATACTATGTTCATTCACATTCGATACTTCATAGATTCGCTTGTTCATTCAGGTTTTGATGTGATTGAAGACAGTTTACTTTGCTGATTTCTGTAGCCAATGTGTATACCCTGATCTGCTGCATATGTGAATTGAAGATTTGACTGTCGAAACAAATGCACATTAATCTTGTTGAATATTTTGCCAAAACTCATTTCTCGACTTTTTGTTAGAAACATTAGGAGTCATATGCTAATCTCTTTGTTCCGAAATAAGAGTATATTAGATTATTTTGCACGGACTAGGAAAATAGTTACTTGTACATAACTATTTTTGTACAACAAATAGCAATTCAACCGATTCAAGTGAAATTGTCTGTTTTATGTTCTGTATTCATACATTAAATTATGTCACTATAATGATATGTGTAAGTGTAAGTGTAATAATATCGAACATTTTTCAAATGACATAGTTTGAACCGTGATGCTTAAAGGTAATAAGAAAAGTATGAGATATTATGATTCATTTACTCATGTTGTGTCCATTGGTGCGGTGTGGTATATTTTTTCTATCCGTCTCAAGACAATTGATAACGAAAACAAATTTTTTTTTTTTTTGAGATAGAAAGAATACAATTTAATGGGTCTTACAACTTTAATTAATATGATTTGTGTATCAATCTTGCTGAGAATGAAAATGTGATTGCCATTTGCACGTGAATTTTGGTCCTTTCAAAGTTCGGTAATGACCATACATAACTTCGACAACCCAAAAAGGAAGGGGGGAGGAATGCAATCAATTCTAGTAGGAGTACCTCATAATTTGAAAATAAATACACCAACGTCCTGTAAACATGAGAAATTTTTTCTTGTTTTATGTTTAGCTCAATGAGAAACGCGGGCCCTCCAATTTGGCGCGCGGGAACCTGTCCAGTTGCCAAGCGCCACGTAACTAATAGCCGGAGAAAGCGGAAAAAACCAAGCCAAACGATTCATTACATTACACACCTCCCCTTCTTCTTCCCCCTTCTTCAATTCATTTGTTCTGATTGTCGTAATCTGCTCTTCTCCATTCCTACATTTTCCCCTGCTTCCGATCGCTGTCTCAATCTTCACCGCCGCGCCCACACACACACACACACACGTAGTCACATACGTCGGTGTGTGTGTGTTTCGTTTTTCCGGCGGGGGACATCGATTCGCGGTCGCAATTAACATATTTACAGGTTTTCGGAATATATACGTACGATTTTTTCGTTATCTGTATATAGGACGTAAATATATATATTGAGAGGCATATGGAGGCGCAGGTCGGGAAAGTGGTGGAGGAGTTGATACCGGAGGGAGAGGAGGAGGAAGAATCGGACGACCACCTTATGTCTACCTTGACATTGGAACGAGTCGCTGCCGCAAAGAAATACATTGAGGATCACTATAAATCGCACATGAAACTCATTCAACAACGTAAAGAAAGGTGAATTTTCTGTACGAAATGAATTTCTTATTGAACATTCGATGAGGTTATGTGATGAATGGTATAATTGAGAAAACATTGCTCCAAATTTGGGCATCTACGCAGGCTTAAGTTGTGAGCGATAAACTTTTAGCAGTCTCATGCATAATAGGAGCTCCATTTGTAAGAATTTGATTATCTGATGGTTTTGACGAAAATATTTATCATTTAGTGGGCAATTGGGAAAAAACTGGGAAGCTTTTTTCTCTGATTGTTGTGGTTGATGATTGTTCGGTTGATCCGAAGGTTTTTCTTGTAAGTTTTATCCCTGTAAAACAGATTTAGTCTTTGGTGTAATATGAGGCCTTGTTGAGTTGGTGATTCTAGTTGACCGTTTGTAGTTCTAGAGAATTTCTTTCTACCTGTGGAGTTCTTAATTTTCATCTGAAGAGAAACTCTTACGGTGTCTGTTGCAAACACATTACAGGCGTTCGGCACTTGAAATAAAATTAGCAAGCTCAGGTGTAACAGAAGAGCAGCAAATTAATCTTTTGAAAGATTTGGAGCGTACAGAGACAGAGTATATGCGGCTCAAAAGACATAAACTTACTGTTGCTGATTTTGAGTTATTAGAAATTATTGGAAGAGGAGCATTTGGAGAGGTTTGAGATGTCTAAATCTATAATGATCTCTTGTGTTTTTTGTCCACGAAACTGATTCCTCTTTCAAGTCTTCTGTCCAACTGACTCTTTTGGTACTGGATTTTTTATGCATGTATTCTTTATGATTGTAATTAGATTTTGAAATTCTTGCCGCTGTTCTGGTTTTGGCTCTAGTACCATTCACCTTGCATTTTTATTGTTTGCTTGTTTTACCATCGGCGAGGAAGTGTATTATGCCTCTAAATGGTTAAGGCAGGAGATTATGCCTGTATGCTTATACATTGTCAAGTTGTAACCACCATTATATGGTGATCGTTATCTAGCTCTTTAGTTCTTTGTGCTAATATGGCAGCTGATACTTCTCAATATTTTTGTTCCTGGCTTCTTTAAGTAGCAGAAAAAGATTGGTTTAGTGGTTGATTACTCAATATTACAGATTCATCTTAGACCAGGTAACAACATGCTCGGCTAGAATACACTCCTGAAATTTAAGGATGAGCTACTGAATAAAATATAGGGCACAAATGGAATAAATGTTTGTTTCAAACTGAAAAGATATATAGACTGCTCTTGCAACCATGAACTGTTGCAGTTTGACCTGCCTGACATTTACCTGTTATCTTGGCCCCTCCACCTCCATTTTGCTCTATCTTTGTGTTATTTTATGTTCTGTTGGAGAACTCTTGCCAGTTGCATTGGAAGTTGAACATATCGATGTATTCTCTTAACTATCAACTTGTTAATGATATAAATTCAAATTTACAGGTGAGGCTCTGTCGGGAAAAGAAATCAGGTGATATATATGCAATGAAAAAGTTGAAGAAATCAGATATGCTTATCCGAGGACAGGTGCAATTTATTATTTAAAGCTATAGTGTTTTATAATTTCTAATTAGTCCTTCTAATCTCTTCAAGCTACTTACACAAGCTGCTGAAAATTGATTTGTTTTTCATTTAATCATACTAATCATGATCTATTTGTTTGCCACTGAATAATGCAGACTCTTGCAATGTCTCACTCCTTTCTTAATTTCTCAATGTTACCAATCAATGATAGAGCTATACAGATTGTCCTGTTCACTAAGCTAACTTACGGGATAATCTCTGGATTCATTGGTTATTGCCCTTCTTAGGACCAATTAGGTATGTCTTGGGAATAATGAGATTGGCGTGAAAGACATTGGGCCATGAGATCTCTCCTTGACCTAGTTTACCGAGCATTAAACTAAAGTGCTTAGCTAGGGGTTTTGAGAGACACATTATCAGACTTTACTTGCAGAATAGGTCACTGCTCTACGTGTTGATTAACTGCAGTTGAAAAAAAATGTAATTGCAAATTGTTGTCGGACATCAGCAAAGACCTGTTAGTGAATTTGCTTAACTAGTTGTTTTCCCTTTAGTCTAATGTGTAAAAGAACCCCACATAGCCAATTTAGGGTGTAGGGTTTAGGGTTTAAGGTTTAATTACAAATTATTGGAATTTGTTCATGTGACTTGTGCAGTAACACAGTTTTATAAGTTGTTTTCATCTCGAGCCATCCTTGGTTTCCTGGATGTTGTATTGCTCTTAGTAATGCTGTCATACTTTTCATCTTGTTGCAATTCTACTTTCCAGATGTAGCTCTATATTTCCAGATGTACAACAACAAACGAACTGTGGAGTGAAATTCATCTAAATTAATGTTCATAATCTCACCAAAGTAATAAAAAACATGTGATACAATATTTTAATTTATCAAACGGGAATGTTCCTTTCTCTTGATTTTTTCTGCATCGTTCTGTTTTTCTTTTTTCTTTTAGCTCAGTTAATGTATCATGCGTTACCAAGAATAACGTTCACGCCGTCATTGCTTCTAAATTGTAGGTTGAACACGTTAGAGCTGAAAGAAATCTACTTGCTGAAGTTGGCAGCTATTGCATCGTAAAGCTTTATTACTCTTTTCAAGATGAAGACTACTTGTATCTTGTAATGGAATACCTTCCTGGAGGGGATATGATGACTTTGCTGATGAGAGAGGAAACATTAACTGAAACTGTTGCAAAATTCTACATTGCTCAAAGTGTCCTGGCTATAGAGTCAATCCATAAGCATCACTATATCCATAGGTTGGTGTTACGCTCTAGGTAACACAGTGATGATTAGTCACTCTCTCCATGTACTCATTTACGTTTGAATTGCAGAGATATTAAACCTGATAACCTGCTATTGGACAAGAATGGTCACCTGAAGCTTTCGGACTTCGGGCTTTGCAAGCCTCTTGATTGCTCAGACTTAACTGCCATAAATGAAAATGAAGTGATGGATGATGCAAATACGAAGGGATCAGTTGATGGCAGTGGATGCTTTCCTGATAAGGGAAACGGAAGCTTCTGGAATAGCTCCTCTGAGCAATTGCAGCATTGGCAAATCAACAGAAGGAAATTAGTAAGCCAACAAAGAACTTATCAATTTACTTTGTGAATAGTGAGTGTGCCAATATGAATTTTTTTTTTTTTTAAAGTCTTTTCATGAAATTTCTTCCTTTCATTTCTCCATATAAGCTATCCGAAACTACTTATTGCACATTGTTTGTGATTGTACTTATCTGAATGAATGGTGTCAAATGGGTACAACAGCTGCACTTGGTAACAGGGCAAGAGATGAACGTGATTTTGTCTTGTTAAACATCAGAACACTGTTTTAGATTATGAATGTGCTTGTGTATTTAAAAAAATCGATGCTCATATGAAGTCCGGTTATTATTTCTCCTTCTATCTGCCAACTGTAAGCATTAACTTCATGTGACAGACAACTGTTTCCATTTTTGGCAAGGACTTAGAATGAAGTTCTAGACAATTCTTTTGCATGGGATGAGCAGCTTTGAGCTTGTATTTCATGGGCAATTAGTGTGTCTTTGTTTCTCTTGATCTAAGTTACAAAATTTCTGATTTATTTTGGTTCTGACAAATTTTGATCTTGAACAATTATGGGTGATCATCTTCACTTGAAAGTTTCAGTCACATAGGGTTTCTCCACTCCTTTTTTTTTTCTTTTTCTTTTTAATCTATATTTATAACTTTGAGTGAATGAATAACACTAAATCTCTGTAGCAGTATGTCTTTCTTGTTTAATAGGAGTGGAATTCTAATCTGTTAGAGCTAAGAAGTGCCTCTTCTGTCCCTTGAGACTATTAAAGAATTTTGAATTCAGTTCCAGCTTTTTTATTTTTTTAGAAAAATTTATTATTAATTTTTATTTTTCTTTTCAATATTTTCGAATGTTAGTAACTGGTTACGCTTACAATTGTTTTCTAACGACAGGCTTTTTCTACTGTGGGCACACCGGACTATATTGCTCCAGAAGTGTTATTAAAAAGAGGATACGGGATGGAGTGTGATTGGTAAGTTTCCTCAGTAAATGGTAGCTTTGCTTCTTTAATCTGGAAATTCGTTTTCCTCAACATGAAAGCACTTCAAACAAAGAATCCATTATTGTTTTGTTTTCAAAATAAGGAAGGTCATGTTTTACTTTGTGTTTATTCAACTATAGAATTCTTCTGATTTTACAATTTTAAATCGTTTTATGATTTTAAATCTACCCTTGTATGTCCATTTCACTCTGTAATCCAAACAACCTTAACCTGGTAAAGATTCCTGAAAACAAGTAGGCAAACAGTGTTATGAATTAGTACTGTTCTTGCCATTACAAATCTTCAGCATTCAGGTTTTTGGTTAGGGTTTTGGTTTGAAACTCATTCTCTTGCTTATTTTTTGGTGATTTGGTTTTGAAATTCTATTGTGCCTCTTTGCTTTTTATCCACACTTACTTATTGTCTTTGTCTGCTTGAACCATTAATCACATAGGTGGTCACTCGGTGCTATAATGTATGAAATGCTTGTCGGCTACCCTCCATTTTATTCCGATGATCCAATAACCACTTGCAGAAAGGTATGTGCACATATGTTATATGTTTCCTTTTCTTTTCTTTGGGGTTTAATTATGTTTTTGTTTTCACCTCAATAAGCTATGCTTTTATCTTTCTTTCTTTACCTGTTACTTTTTAACTTTCATTTTACTGAAAAGAACATAAACAAATAAGGTACCAGATTCAGGTGCTCACTGAAAGCTGTCTACCCTCTTTTGGGAAATAAAATATGTTCTTTATATGTATCATTCTAATCAGTTCATGTAAGATGGAACAAATTATGCTCCTAGTTCTTTGGTGTGGATGATCTTATGATTTGTTCTTTCATAATTTTTTCCCCCTCCTTTTGATAGATTGTTCACTGGAAGCATCACTTGAAATTTCCAGATGAAGCAAGGCTGTCCCCTGAAGCCAAAGACCTTATGTGTGGGCTGCTTTGTGATGTTCAAAATAGGCTAGGTTCTGGAGGTGCAGAGCAAATAAAGGTGACTGGTCGTTCATTTCCTCATGTAGAATTTCTTTGGGCTTCTTTGTGATCTATTCATCTGATTGATAGCTTAAAGTGCCTTATCTTTGGACCCTTATTATTGTCAGTCACATTCCTGGTTCAAAGACATTACATGGGATAAGCTCTATAGCATGGAAGCTGCATACAAACCCGAGTTCAATGGAGAACTGGATACCCAGAATTTTATGAAATTTGATGAGGTAGCACGAAATAATAATTAAGTTTGATTGTGTTTGAAGTGATTGTGTGCATGATTCTGGTTTTGAGTCAGCTGGTGACTTATTTTTAGCGAAGAAACACATGTTTCCATAACAAAGCTTTTGATTCTTGGTAACACTAGTACGCTAATCTATTTGAAGCTCTGTTGAATTTATTTTGATACTTATTAGAACTAAAATTCTACAGTTTCAGATATTTATTCTTAGAAATTCGTCTATCTCATCAGAAAAAGTGCAAAATTTAATGAATCTGGAACGGTATTAAAACAGGCAAAGTATATATTTTACTGTAAAGTAGTTTTCTCATCAGTGGGGAAATAAGCTGCTTGTATCATGAGTCGTTACTTACTGCACGTGCGCATGGAATGGAGACCCGCTTCGCGGATTCTCACAATGTTAGAAGAGATAGAGAATGACAGTGAAGGTTCTCTCAATAGATTATTAGTTGATGTCATGATGCTTTGATTTGTTGTCTAACATTTTGTTCTGCCTTCTTTACCTTATTGTTGCTCCTTGTTTTGAGTCAAATAAACTCCAAAATTCCTTATCAATAATGTTGTGAAAATGTCATAGGTGGATCCTCCGCAGGCAAAAACTGGTTCTGGACAGTTGAGGAAGGTACTCTATTTTTTTGTTTTCTAAAACCTCTGGAAAAGTTTCCTTGGCTTGCTTTTTACAGCATCTGCGTGGCTGGTATTTTGGTAATTCTGTGAGTATTTGGCATGAACCATCTCCAGTCAAGTTCTTACCAACGTGTGAAATTTTGGATTTTAATATCCTCACTAAATATGGTAGAACAAAAATGGTTTGTGTCAGAATTGTGACAATTTCCTTCCGACGACGATCAAGAGTTTTTGAACAGTTGTAAAAACATGTTTCAAATTTCCTTTCACATTTCAATTAAGAAGAACTGACATTTTCATGGACCGTCATAAGTATAGACAAAAGGCTATCACCCCATTTGCAATTTCTGTGGACTCTTCATTATTTCCTTTACTCCCTCTGAATCTTCAGTATCTTGCTTATATGTGACTTTGAGTTTAATTCATTAACAAATATAAATTATGTTGTATGCTTCCTTGTGTTCCCACCTCTTTACAGGATTGTTCTACTTATGGGAATAGTTTCTTGCAGATGCATTTAACTTCTAAGGATTTGAGTTTTGTTGGGTACACTTACAAGAACTTTGAGGCTGTCAAAGGACTAAGGAAATCTTGTGGTATGTGATGTTTTATGGCTCAATAATTCTTTCTTTCTTTATATCTTCATGTTTCTTTATTAATACTTATTTTGTTGCAAGACACTCCGTTCTTCCAAAATAGGACGATGTCAATACTTCTGCATTTGTGCCTTTAATACCAGGATCTTCACCTTCTACTTTTTATTACTATGATTTTATGTGGTTCACAATTAACGTGGACGTGTTTAAGTGGAAGAAACATAAGAAATTGCTCATCTAATGCGGTGTTGTATAAAATAAAAAGTTGTACCTTGTCAAAACAGAACTACTTTCAGACATGCTGGAAGCTTCAGACATCTTATATTCACGAGAGAACAATGACAATGCTACTGAATCATCTTTGTAGGTAATCCTGTCACGGTACAACTTCTTTCTCCAGTAGTTTACCCTGTCTAGTAAAGTGGTCTATAGGATACTCCACTCTGTACCACTGTAGAACAAAGTTGGGTTGTCTCCTTGCCCTTGCTATTCTTTTTGAAAGGAAACTCCTATTTTAACGCATAGCATTTTTTCCCTTTGATTTCGGACAAAAATCAGGTAGTGAACTGTTGGAAACTACGGTCTAGGATCTAGGCTTTTCAGGTATCAGGATGGGAATAAGAAAATTTGAATTACGCAGGACCCGTTCACTTCATCATGTATAATTCCGCAGATCCTGCTGTTAAAGTTGAGTCTCTTTTAGGTTGTTTAATGCTGTGACAAGGTGAGAGGAATTCAACACCAGTTCTTGCCCATTCAATGTGCACGGGGTTCATTCAGTATAGCTTTTAAGTACTTCCGTTACAGATAAAAATACGCTTGACCCAAGGCTTAGTTTCCAATACAAGTTCTTCTCCTGATAATCACACCGGTTTATTGTAATTCAGAAATAGCATGCTTCTTCAGTCAAGTAGTTTTAGGACGTTCAACTTTGGAAATAATTTATATTTTAAGAAATATGTTTCCATACTCCAAACATGGGATTGCAACGTCTGGACATTCTCTTATACTCTCGCTTAACTTTCAGGAGATATTCATGCCCTCTCCATACATCGTCAGATATCTTTGTTTTTATAAAGTGATATGCTCATTTTTCTGAACATCTTTTGCGGGTTTGCGCTTGGGGTTTAGATTTCTGTCCTCTTTTGATTTGTGTATATGCTTGTTCAGAAAAAGCTAATCATTTTCTCCTTGACTATACATTGGTGTGGACTGTGGGAGCTCACATTGTTGCCATCTGTTCTGCAGCTGTAGATAGTAAAAGCAGCACATCACCGGGGTTTTTACATGCTCCTATCTGCGGTAATATTCTTATCTCTATGGTTTTCCTTTCAAATGTTAACTCATGGGTCTTCACTCGGTTGTTCGCTGGAGTTGTCTTTTTCTTTTGGTCCTCTATTGAATGAATTGAGTCAAGCTGCTAACTTTCTGATGAAACCCCCAAGTCTCATTGCTAAGCTATAACATTTTGCGTTAACAGACGGGGATGTTTAAGAACTTTTGGAATCAAATGCCTGTATTTGTTGTCCAGCTGTGTTTCGTGAAATTGTGTATATTGATTGTCAAGATATTTTCAGGTGAATCAAAAATGGAGTACTCTTACACAACTGAAGATGCAGAAGTACTGGTGCATGTTACATCGGCTGATGTTTCTTCATAGCACTGACAAATTGAGACCTTTTTGTAAAGAACTACCAAGTTTAACAACCAGCCCTTTTATAGATATATGTACATTGTCACTTGAAATGCACTTTCTGGGACAACCGAGTTTTGAGTTCGATGACCACTTACCCTGCAGAACGATCAGACTGTATACTGTATAGTACTAACCACTTCCTTGATGCCCATCGACTAATTCTGTATCAGTCTGATATAGTAACAGGATTGCCAAGAGTTTTGTATACTAATAATGCTAGGCTTCATTTTGATTTGCTTAGTTCATGCATACAGAGCTGTACATATATTATTTAGTAGTGGCTGTTTTATTTTATCCATCTTTTTTCGTATTATCATACCTTCTCTTTTCCTATTCAAGAATTTATTGCTGATTAAATCAATTACATTTTTTATTTTTTGGCAAAAACTAAAAAAAAAAATCATCGTTGAGGACTTCAGAAATCATCAAGTCTTTTTTTTTTTTTTTTTTCCAAATGGTGGCATCCGTCAAGTCAGATTGCTGCGAAGTTTAGAAGAAATTGGATATTAATGCATCATAAGCTAGTGATTAGATTAATTATTGTGATAAACGTGAACATCCGGCATATATATTTAAAAAATAGTATACATTAATCTGTAAACTCATCTTTCAAAGTGACAAAACAAATCTTAATATAAAAAGCTGTATTCTATCTATCAATATCAACTGTCTAAATTATACGGCTATGACCATTAGGAGAATTTCTAAGAAAAGGGAGTAAAAAATCAATTCAATATGTCTACTACTTTGTTTCACTAATTTTATTAAAAAAAAAAAGTTGTCTCTCAAATCGAAATTTTCTTCTAACTTTGATCTTCTATAAAGTGTATGCTTTGTCCTGGAATTGTCTTCATGATTCATAAATTGAAGTTTGTCCAATGTTTCTGAAATGCATGTTTGGTCAATGTCTTGAATTAGATAAATTAACTTTCCTATTTGGTCACCATGGAAAGTGAACAAAGAAAATGCTATTTTTCCTTTTTTTTTTTTTTTTTAAAAAAAATCATGCTAGTTCAATTTTAAGAAGTTTATGAAAGTTAAAAAATCATAATATCAAGGAAAAGAAGACAAATTTTCATAATTCTTGTTACCCATCTCAAGGTTGGTGTTCTTTCTCCTTGTTCACATATTTTAATTATTGAATAAGTTTATTCTATTTAATTCTTTCTATAACCATTTTTTCCCTCCCTATTGTCTTTTTTCCACGATTCCTATTACCCATCTCAAGATTTTTTTCTATTTTTTTTTTTTTGCCGACTGCATTTAGAATTACTTTTTTTCATGATATAGGAGATATACTTATTCAAATAGGTGAATTTTTTTATAATATTCTCTTATATTTACTATAATTCTTAATTTTAAGAGATTGAAATCACAATGAGATTAATAGAAAAGGAAATTATAAGACAATGGTTTGCTTTAGATTGGATAAATGGTTTAGTTTGTAACATTAGTGAAGAAAATCTAAAATTTGAAGTAGAAATTATCATCTTTAAAAACACGTTAAGAGTACTGGTAATAAAATAATTATCATTCATTCCTTAATTCATTAATAAAAATTTAAAATATCAGAATTCTCATAATAACAATCTTAATTGTATCCAAACAAAAGAAAGTAAACTATTTCACTTTACTTTCCTTAGATTTAAAATTCAAGGAATGTTAACTTTATTTTGCCTCATTTTCCTAACAACTAAATAGGCCTTAATTGTCTAACTCTTCCTCCCAGGCATTATTAGTATGTAATTTAAGCGTAATGCTTTCTGGGTATATATAAATATATATATATATATATTATAAAAAATTGAAGCTTGTCCTGGATTATATTTATTTTCTTTCCAAAGAATATCATAAAATTCTTTTAAAAATAGTTTTACTAAATGAAAATGGAATGCATCCTCATTATCATTATTTTGGGCTAGAGAAAAAGCCCAAAATGTCCCCAAGTGGATTCTATCTTTCAATAATAGACAGTTGTTTATTTTACTCATCATCACAAAGGTCCAGGTTGGATTACGAGTTTGGGGCTCCATCAACTCGCGGGCTGAAATCCGGTGAATAGTCCACGTTATTTCTCGACCGACTCTTCCCCCCTTCTTCCTCCTCCTCCTCCTCCTCGACGACCCACCGATCAGCGACTTTCTCGACGTCCGATTACGTTTCTCTCTCTTGTCATTCTCTCTCCGTCTTACAGGTACTGCTTCTTGTATTCAAGAATTGGAATAATTCGGAGAAAATATTAATTTTTCTTCTATCTAGGCTGTACTCTTTGTTTATGAAATTTGCTTTTTGTTTTTGTTGAGGTATATGATTGGTATTGCCTTTTGATACTTTTTCTTTCCTAATTTCAGCTTTCTCAAAACCCTAATTGAACCCTTAGTTCATCAATTTCGACGTCAGCTAAATCAATATTGATTTCAGAAATCTTGGAATCAGGAGGTGCTCTGGATCATTCCTTGGGATTTTCTTTTTTAATTTAATATTTACAGCTAAGCAAGTAAGTTTATTTCACTCATGTATTTGTACTCATTATATTTTTCTGATTTTGAATTTGGCTACTTGCGTCGAATTTTGTTTGCATTTTTTTGATTTTTCATTGTTCATTTGCGTGAGGTGTGAAATTCATGATTATTTGAGTAGGTGATGGCTTTTGAGCTTCATCAATAATATTTTTTTGAACATGAGTTATTCTCTGGATGGATCAGCTACTAGCTCATTGCAAATGAGGTTGAATCTCGGGATTTTTTTTATATCTTTTATTTTAATTTTTATATTAAGCTGGACAATTAGGCTGCAATGACTTGCTAAAAGCAGTAAGTTGGATCACTTTGCTGTTATTATAAGCTAGTTAATTAAATGTTGTGTTGGTTAAGTATTCGTGATCCTGAATGAGAGGCAGCTATAATCTTGTTGCGGGATGTAATGCTAAATTAGGAAGTTCAACTGAGCGACTTTTGCTGCATTATGATTTATGATTGCATGGGTATAAAATTCCAATTCTAGAAGGGTAATTGCCGCATACATGAACCGGGAAATGGGTTCCTTGACATTTTGAGTAGGTGTCTTGCATTTAATTTTACAAGATTTTGCCTATCGTTTTCTTGCATCACCAATGCAAGAAACTTAGATGGTTTTGATATTATTGATGATGCTCTATTTGGTAAGCAGTCGTGACATTCCATAGATGATATAAGTATAGGGTTTCCATTTGAGGTAAAATTGATGATCTTGATCGTCTTTAATGGCAATGTACATGATTCTAGTTTGACTTCCTTTGAACGTTCAGTAGTAATTCTCTCGTCTTCAATCTTATTCAGGTGTTTTATCTCCTATCTTCTGCATTTATCCAAATTTACACTGGATTTCATGCTTTTCGGCTGTACAATATTGCCATGCGCAACTGTGTAAAAGGGGTCGGCTACAAAGATTGTGTGTGGAAACTGATGCGATGTCGGCATCTAGCAAATTTGATACATCTACTGGTAGCCCAGATAAGTCGATATTCCCCACTGGGCAGCGTGGATCTTATTCGACAACTTTATTGGAAAAATCTGGTAGCTTTAGAGAAAGCACGGAGAGCCCGACCTTACCAGCCATTCCAAACTTGGCTAGAGGCAGTGCCTCTTCCGCGCAAGATGTTGTAAATTTCTTTCAGTGCTTACGTTTTGACCCAAAATCAATGATTTCAGACCATAAACTTAATCGACCTGTAGATTTTAGACGGCTTGCTAGTGTTTCTCTGGGGATTCCAGTGGATGATTCCCCATCAGTGGCTTCTAAAGGGAAACCTTCATCATCTCATTCACCTGAAGAGTTCAGGCGGCTAAAAGCTTCTGCTCGTGAGAGCTTGAATAAGGCTAGGTAGTTGATCGTTCTGCATTTAATGTTTTTCTCTTTGTTTATGCATGGATCTGCAATGATGACCTTTTTTTGTGGAACTATCAATATAAATTTCAGAGAACGTCGAAAGGCATTCAATGACTCTTTGTCTTTGATGGATAAGTGGTTTCCAACGATTCCGTCAAGGAAGAGATCCCGGTCTGATGGCCTATCTAGTGAGCGGGCCAATGCCTTATATTCTGCTGATCGAGCAGTTATTGCCAAGATGGGGGCCCCGAATCATGTCTCTGCAAATGGTTTCGAGGTAGAGCAAAAATCAGAAGAAAGGATGAAAAGTTCTGTACCTAACAAGCGTACTAGAACATCTATGACAGATCCCAGGGTGTGTGGCTTAGTATTATCATCTTGAATTTCATATTATCTTCTTGCACATGTAATTATTATTGCATCTACTTTTTTTTTATATTGTTCACTTGTGCTATTTGTATTTTTTTAATAGCTGGATCTCTCTTGATTGTGCACTATTATCTTCTCATATATTTAGCGGAAGACTGTTTCCATGTCAAAATTATGCTCAAAACTGGTGGTTTTTTTAAATCTAATGTGATGCTATGAGAAATCTTTTCAGGGCCTTTTCTTTTTTGCTTTCGTTAGCACTCTTAGTCATTGTTTGTAACTTCAGTCTTCGAATAATTTATTATTGTTTAGATCAAGCTTTGAAAATCAACTGAACTTACTCCTTTTGGTTTGATTTAGACGGATGCAAGGGCTAGTACTCCAGCGAGGCCGGGTACTCCTGCAAGGCCTGGTACTCCGGCAAGGCCCAGTACTCCTGCCAGGCTTTCTTCAGCCGCAGATAGAGAGAGGGAAATTTTAAAGATTCCAAATGGTATTGGTGTTCAGGTTGAGGATCGAACTTTGCCTGTTACTGTTGAAGGTTGGGAGAAGTCTAAGATGAAGAAAAGGCGATCTGGGATAAAGCCAGATCTTGCTGCAAGCACAGCAGCAGCGAAATCTGTTGATGGCTCTAGAGATTCTAAACAAGGAATGCAACCGCGGCTTCTTAATGAAGCTAGATCTAGGCTGGCTGATGCCCATGGGTTCAGGTTCTACTTTTACTCAGCTTAATGTCATGCATGATTGATTGTTGCTGTAAAATTGTGTTCGTTGATGATATTTTTTATATTTAATTGCTCGTCTTTCATATTTAAGCTTAGTAAACTTGTGAAAATTGTAGAAGGTAGGGTGAATTAAGTAGTTCCTTTGTTTTGGAGTTTGTCTTTTTTATATGTGCGTTAGGTCTGAATGTTGTGTACTTGCAGCCATAGCTGCTTGATGCAGGCCTTTCTGACACTGTTTAAAATCTCTTTCTATGCTGTGAATGACATTTCCGCTAATTATGTGTTATATGCTCATGTAGACCTGGGGTTTCTAATGGAGGTGTGTCTAAAGTTGATGGTGGACAACAGATTGGTTCAGGCATGCGTACACCAATTCCCCGGCCTGAGCAGGACAGTATCCCCAATCTCCATGAGAAAAGAGATCGTTCTACAGAGAAAGAAAGAGTGAATCTGAAAGCTATCAACAAGTATGGGTAGTATTTGATTGCATTATATTACATACATGCACACTAAATGTGAGGCTGGCATTCAAGACATGATCTAGGCCTGATTGTCTTGTTCTGAATAATATTCGAACATAATAGGCGTTATTTTAATATAGGATCTTAAGTGCTCATTCAAATATAATTCTGATGCTGCTAAGAGATAATGGTATACATGCATGCTTTCGGCTGCTTATCAAGAGGAGGCTTTTCAGTTTTGTTAATTTTCTCTTTCATTCCTAGTGTAATAAATTTTCTGATTCTTATCACTCTGGTTGCTCTTCATTTTTAGATGATCTTAACTTTATTGTCTTGGACAAGCCTTTTCTTGCCTATTAATTGTGTATGATTTTTTAAATTGATTTCAAGTTAAATGAATTCACACTCTTGTGTGTTACTTTCCTCTGTATGAGCAGGTCAAGTGCTCGAGAAGATTTTAGTTCAGGCAGCCCAACGTCAAGCACAAAATTGAATTCAAGTGTTCGAGCTCCGCGGTCGGGTTCAGGTGTTGGACCAAAACTATCTCCAGTGGTTTCTAGGCCAAGTACTTCTAATGATTGGGAGGTTTCTCAGTGTACGAACAAAATACCTGCATCAGGAGGTGTGAACAGCCGGAAACGTACACCTTCAATGAGGTCATCATCACCTCCTGTGGCCCAATGGGCCAGTCAGAGGCCCCAGAAAATCTCTCGAACAGCAAGAAGGACGAATTTGGTGCCGATAGTTCATAACAATGATGAATCCTCTACTTTTGACATAGCATCTATTGTTATTGGAAATGAAAGACGCTTATCTGGAAATTCTCCTCAACATGTTAAATTAAAAAATGATCACTTATTGTCAGCTGGTTTGTCAGAAAGTGAGGAATCAGGAGCTGCTGAAATGAAGTTCAAAGATAAAGCCAAGAAGCCTGATGACCTGGGTGAAAAATCTGGGCAGAATGTTCAAAAGATGTCAAATTTGATGCTACCACCCAAAAAGAATAAGGTCATGGGTGGGGAAGATCAGCAAGATGGTGTTCGGAGGCAAGGCAGGACAGGCCGCGGCTTTTCTGCAACGAGGACCCTCCTGTCTTCCTCCGGTGAGAAGCTTGGAAATGTAGGAACTGCAAAGCAGCTCCGAAGTACCAGACTTGGTTTTGATAAGGCTGAAAGGTAATCCATATAATGCCACTCTTGATCTTGTTGCTCCTTTGTTGGTTTTAGCTCCCTTTATCTGGTAACATCTTTACTTTGCATTTCTAATGATTATGTAAATTCCATGTCCAGTAAAGCTGGTCGTCCTCCAACTCGAAAGCTCTCAGATCGCAAGGCTTACACTCGTAAGCATACTACAGTGAATGCACCGGCCGATTTTCTTGGTAAATGTGTTTCAGATACTTTTCTAGTATTTCTGTGCTGTTATCTTTTGCTTTAAGTTTGATTACTTCTTTTTATCTGGTTTTTTGGTTCAGATGATGGGCATGAGGAGCTACTTGCTGCTGCAAAAGCTGTTACTAATCCAGGTAGTTTGTAAGAATCTCTTATATCTAGAACATAGAAGAATGCTGTTATCAGTTAAAATTTCTGAATAGATTTTGTTCTAAAGCAAAAATCTATCGTTGAAATAATTGATCTGCTTTGTATTGCAGCTCAAGCGTTAAGTAGCTCATTTTGGAAGCAGATGGAATCACTTTTCCGTTTTTTATCTGATACAGATTTATCCTTTTTATCACAGCAGGTTGTGGTCTTTCTATTTCCCTATCACTTGCAATGCATTTTAAGGGATTTGCTATCGTAGATGTAAAGCTTTGGGATTGACTTTTTGGATTGATCCTTATTTGATTTTGGCTTTGATTCACTTTTATCCAGTCCATAGAAATTCATATTTATGTTCGTTAATCAGTTATGTCGCAATATTTTAACATAAATTTTATATAACACTTGGCAATTGGAGAAAATATCACTTTACTGCTCTGGCTTTTTCCCCTTGGGATTGAATGTGCTGCCAAAGCATTATAACCTTTTGTCAGGCCTTTTACTGTGCACATTGAACGTGCCTCTATGTCCATGTTGTTAGTAAGAGAATTAGATGTTTGTTACATGACAGTGTGGTATTCCTTCTATACGTGACGTCCTTGGTTGAACCTGTGCTATTTTACTTCATAATGACATTAACAAACCATCTTGGCTTTTTTTTTTGTCAAGCAATAAATAGTGTTTGGCTCTTGTATTGCCTTGATTATGAATCTGAGAACCAATCATTGCTGGGAAGAAGTATCACTGATTTATGTACATTTTGTTGACCAGTACTACAGTGTTTGTCCTCCCCCCCCCACCCCCCACCCCAACACGCGCACACACACACCCAAATTGCCTGTTGGATTTGATTATCCCTTGTGGTGTGAAGCTCCAATTGAATATTATTTGGAGCATTTGTGTCTATGTCCTTGAAGTCTTATATGCAATTGTCCTTTCTTTACTCTTTTTGCCTTTGTTTTAGTAAGAAGGTTTATGTTCGTTACCAGTTAAATGTTGTGGTTACATGATATGTATAAGCAAGTCTCAAAAAGAGAGAGACACAAAATAGTTTATATTGACATAGAATAAGTAATAGAATATACACCTTCTATCGTCTGTGGTAGGATTTCTACACTTTATAACACCAGATGAGAATTTTTATGCATGCTTTGATTAAATTTTTTTGGTTGATTACAAGGGTCATTATTGAGATGCCAGAATGATTTGCATGTTTTAGACATGTATTTCTTACATTCTGAAGGACTTCTCTCTCCCTGTCTTTTAGTTTTTGATTCTAATGATTTCTTTTTGTTTTACTTGATTTGACCGACAGATTGATGCTGAACCAACTGTAGTATCACCTGTACCTGCATCTCTAGGAAGCGAGAATGTCAATTTGATGGCTGTTGGTTTTAATAATGATGGAGTTGGAAGTCTAGCTAAAACTTCAAGCGCCGAACACAGCCAGGATCAGTTAGCCCCAGGGACAAAACCTGTTCATCCCGTGCCCCTTCTCCAGAGACTGATTTCAGCTTTAATTCCTGAAGAAGATGAAGAATTTTCTTGTAGTGGTAATCAAGATCTCAGCATTGATGGTTATGAATCTGGGTTTGAGCAGGATATCAGTGTGAAATCAGAAATTAACCATCCTCGGTTCTTACAAGGCTTTGATTCATGTGGACATCCAGCTTCTAATGGCTATAAAGTAAATGCCAGCAGGGGGTCCTTTAATGATCTTGAATATATTACGCAGCATGATAACAGCCTGTCCATTCCAGATGCAGTTATCCCGGGCTATGATGGCTCACAAAATGGTTTTGTATCAGACCAGGCTATTATACCTGCCAATTGTACTGAAGCTCAGTACAATAGGATGTCAATAAATGAAAGACTGCTACTGGAGATTCATTGTATTGGGATCTTCCCTGAGCTTGCGGTAGGTGTTTACTCTGTGCTACTGTCGAAGGTATATGTTGTAGTTACCATAATTTCTTGCAATAATTCTTAATCCTCATTCCTCAGCCTGATGCTACACATTCCGGGGATGAAGAGGTCTCTGCAGAAATTAATAAACTGAACGACATGTACCATCAACAGGTATGGTCGTTGCACTGTAGAAATCTCTCTCTCTCTCTCTCTCTCTCTCTCTCTCTCTCTCTCTCTCTCTCTCTCTCTCTGACACACACACGCACACACACACACATTGACAAACACACCCACACACAACGTGGGATTTGAGCAGCCTTTTAAAGATTTGTTGTCATTCCTGACTTGGTATTGCACCCAGCATTTGTTTTTAAAAATCAAAGATGTTATGATATTATTCAATTCAGTCTGTTTGTTTTCTTTTATTTTGTTCTGGAGAACCCTTTTTCTGTTGCAATGCTTCCCATCAAGGAAAGGTTTCCAGTTTTATAATTTTCAGAGACTTTATTGATCTGTATATTCTCCAGGAATTCTCGCACAGATTTATTATAAATTGATGAGAAATAGGATATCGACAACCTTTTTTTTTATTACTCGTATTATTTATTTATTATTATTCTTTTATGTTTTAGGTTTTAAAAAGGAAGGGCATTCTTAGCCGATTATTTGTGTCCGCTAATGAGACGAGAGAAGTTCAGAACAAGTAAGGAATTTCTTCCCCATGTTGAGACTTCTAAAGTCTCTTTTGATTGACTTAGTATGTTGGCTTCTCACGGTAAACTTACAAGGTTTCTTTATGTTATTGTAGGGAGTTTGAACAGCATGCTCTCGATAAACTTGTAATAATGGCTTATGAGAAATACATGGTAATCAAAAGCACTTTTTGCATTTTCTCCCATTAGAATATACTCCCTCTGTCCCTAAATGATTGTGCTGTTTGGATTTTTTCTCTAGTACAATTTGGACTAAAAATTAAAAAGATCCAAACTGGACAATCATTTCGGTATGTTGGGAGTAACAGTGAAGTTTAGCATGTACTGTAGTGCTCATTGTTTATTTAACTGATGATAGGTGAAGTACATACCAAATATTTCTAATTGTGTAGTTAACATCGTGGATCATGAAATATGAAGCTCGGTATTTGGTGTGTTTTGGCAGGCTTGTTGGGGTCCTAATGCTCATGGAATGAAGAGTGCCAGTGGTAAAATGGCAAAACAAGCTGCCCTAGCTTTTGTCAAGAGGACATTGGAGCATTGCCAAGAGTTTCAGGAGACAGGAAAGAGTTGCTTTGATGAATCCATGTTCAGGGACATCTTTCTTGCTGGATGCTCTTGGCTTGGTGAACAAGCAGCAGAATCTGTTGGCGATGCTGAATGTGGCAAGCATGAAGTCAGGCCTTCAGGTAATTATTTGTTGATTGTGAAGCACGCGAAACTGCTAATGAATGGAAGGTTTCAGACTTAATGGAGCTTGTTCTTGCTTTGCTGCACATTGCAGTAACGGACCTTGGCATGCTTCTGAATTTTAAACTTAATTGGTTATTTTTCTTGCTGATGTATCCCATGCTGTTTGTTTTCTATTTTCTCCAGCTTCCTTGGGTGCACAGCGAAGCCCTTCATTACCCAATCAAGAAACATATTCCGCTGATAATCTACCCCCTGCAAATTTGTCTTCAGAGCAGGAAGAGAGCTGGTCTAATAGAGTGAAAAAGAAGGAACTATTACTTGATGATGTTGGTGGTGGTGCGATTGGGACACCTTTAGGTATCATGCCAGGTACTGGGAATCCATTTTCAAGCAGTGCAAAAGGGAAGAGGAGTGAGAGAGAGAGAGAAGGAAAAGGGATTATATCTCGAAGTGGAACAACTAAGACCGGGCGGCCTACAGCCAATGTTAAGGGTGAAAGGAAGAATAAAACAAAACCTAAGCAAAAAACTACCCAATTATCTGCTTCGGTCAATGGCCTTCTTGGAAAGATGTCTGAGAAGCCTAAAGGTTTGTCCTCAACTCAAAAGGCAAGCAATGCAAGCTCAAGTAGTACTGGCAAGGATAACAATGATTTAGGCTTGGATGGTTTGGAAGACGCTATTGACTTATCTGAGCTGCAAATCCCTGAAATGGACTTTGGTGGTCCTGATGATTTTACGGGTCCGGCGCAGGACATAGGATCGTGGTTGAACATAGATGATGATGGGCTGCAGGATGACATTTTAATGGGTCTTGATATTCCAATGGATGATATATCAGACTTAAAGATGATGGTCTGAAGTTGCTGTTGTTGTACATTCATGTTCACTTAAATCACAAAGAACAGATCCTTGATACAGAAAAAGGACCGCTCACGTGGTGATTGTGTTATGGTTAACTTGAAATTAGGCTATATATTCTTTCAGATACTAGTATACCAGTTGATTTTTGTGTGAACCCATCCATCGTTTTTTATTAGCTACTATTTAAGTTTGATGACTTCCTGTAAAAATCTTTTTGTTCTACCTTATAGCTAGCATGTAGTCATAGAGTTTCCCAACACTGTATTTTGTTTGTAGTGATGATTACAGAAACAGAAGAAAGCCTTTGTACATAGAAATTATCTTTCTAATAAAATCTTAAGTTCTTCACGTAATCAATGTTCGGAAAATTTGGATTTGTATGTTTGAAAATGTTTTGATTAGTATTGGTTCTTGGCATGATTTCTTTACTAACCGGTACATCTCACAGTTTGTGAGTTGTCAGTTCTGTTGATACCTGAAAAAGCAGTTCTACAAGATTGTAATGTTGCTTGTCCTTGGAGGTGTAAGTGATTTCTCGGACGGTAAAACCTGTAAGTCTTGTTGTAACTTTTCTCTCTATAAACTTGCATTATATAGTTAGACTTGCTATTCATTAAATGTCCTGTTCTTTTGGTATTGCTAGTCATTAGTGAAAATATATATACTGTTCTGTGAATGTATGTATATATTCTGTGAATGTTGCTAGTCATCCGCTGTGGTGGTATATCAGAAAAGTCTATTCTTAGGCCTGAACAGGCCCTTTGATCACCTAGAGGTGCATCTGTTCTCTTTTGATGAACCTTCTCTCCACAAAGTATTTTAATATGAGCTCTGAAATTAAGAAATATATATAGAGTGGAAATCCCCAGTAGGTTGTCACAGTGACAAGACAAGCAAATGGCCAAAAATAATTGTGCTTCCATTGATTGTATTCTTAGTGGCCTGTCATAGACTCCGGAAATGTAACCATTCAATGAAAGATTTTCTGCTCCTCCACCGCTAATCATTCTTTGTTGCATTTGTTGCATATTTGTTGGAACAGATGTGTAAGCATTTTGTTGTCCTATTTCCCTTTCAAATTCCAATGGTAAGGACTACTGACAACTGTGAGGTTTGATATTAGAGTTTTCTTGGAGCTATTTTTTCAATATTCTGATTGAACCTTTAGTTTGTATTATTTTCCCTATTGTAACTATGTTGAGGTAGTGGGGCATAACTTCAGCGGCACCCAATACCGAGACGTCGTTTATCCTCTATTACTTTCTGTGGGTTAAATTGACTTGAAGTTTTATCCCTCTCTCTTTCTGGTTATGTTATCCATTTGTCGTTTAAATTCAACCCTGTGTTACTAGAATACCTTGACGGTTGGCAAACCAATCGCACCGTGTTTACAGTTCCTTGATTTTAATGATGCAGCTAAGTTGCCTGTGCTGGGAGAGGGGGGTCCACAGCAGCCAGCTAACTCAATGAGAATAACAAAGCCAATGTGAAATTTTCATATATTTGCTGATTGAGGAACTACGTATCCTTGCTGTCTCAGAAGAGATAAGTTTCTTTTCTTGGATATGGAGATGAAATCACAAGAACTTACGTTATCATTTGTTCAATCTGTTCCTTACCGTCCCAAAATATGAGTTCAATTTGTTTAGTTAAACATATAAAGATTCTTATTTTGATACGAAGGGAGTAGTATCTTTTAATAGCATTTTATTCTAGCTAGATTCAATACTACTCAGCAATTTGATCAAATATTTTATCATCACTAAATCAGCTACAAACTATTTAGCTGAGCTTTGTATGGAGCATCTTGCAGTTGGTTCTGTAATACATGGAGAAGCCAGGATGGCTGGTTAGTTTCTTTCTGAGTTTTGTATCAGACTTGAGTGGTGGGTCTGTTTCCTTTCTAAATTCTAAGATCTCTGGTCTTTGGATAGTCTTCGCACTGCAGATTCATGAGAATGTACCATTCATCTACTTGATTTGTGCTGATCTTCCAATCGCATTCCCCTTCTTGTCAAAGTGTCAATTTGGGAACAGAATTGTAACTGACGGGTAAATCTGTTTGGCGAAATGGAGTGGAATAGCAGAGCGGGAAGATCCGCAAATGGTTGGTCTTCCTCTCCCAAGAAACTGCACATTTATGAGTAGATTCTATGTTGTTTACCTTCACTCTAATTGTTGAAGTTTAGGAAGTGTTCAGCGTTCTCAGGGCTTTCCAGCTTGTAAGGATAGTGAGGCAACAAAAGCGATTTCCAGTCACATTTTTCAGCTAGGTATGTGCTGGTTCTACAAATACTACCTCTTGTCCAAAAATGATTGTTCGATTTAGATTTTCACTTTTAACACAAATTAAAAATAAAAATTCGAGCAGGACAGTCATTTTAAGATAGTCGTCCCATGAAAAATTATGCCGTGCCAACTGAGTGGTTATTTTCCAACGAAACAAGTTTAATCATGGCACTATTACTATAGAATTTCTTTGAATTGAAATTAAAAAAAAAAATCCATCGAAATTTTTTTTCTTAAAATGTCTACGGCAGTAGAACTTACCCTTGGTTATTTATTCTGTGCATCGTTAAAAAAGATGCTTTTCCTTTCCCAAACTTTTCTTCAAAAATTGATTCAAATGTAACTTTAGAAGAATTTAATTCAGATTTAATAATTTAAAAAACGTATTAATTTGGGCAAAAATAGCAATCAATCGAAGTAGTAGTATTGCACAAACCCTTGACGTTTTTTTTTTTTTTTTTTTTTTTTTTGCCTCTTTTGAAGCCAACTGATCAAAATGAGTGCATTCTTTTCCAAAACCAAAAAAGCTACACATTAGAATTCGACACATTAGTCTGTGTCTTGGTGGTATTACTTTTCGAAATAATTATATTCCCATCAATTATCAACATGGGTTTGGTTTGCCTTAAACATTTGAGTTTCGTCCAAGACCGAAACGTGTGTTTTCTTCGGATGCAAAATTAGACACCATCATCGGTTGATTATCATTTCAGACAAAGAATACAATAAAAGATACATTGGCTTAATTAAACGGAGATCATTTAACTTTTAAAATTGTGTTAAATTATAATTCCATTAAATCTTTTTTTCTGATTTTAATCTGTTTGGTTCGTTTTTTATTGGTTTTTTCAGAATAATCAAATAATTATCGTATCCCAATATACATTTTTACATTTCCAATACATTTTTTTACATTTCTAATAAAAAAAACACATAAAAATACACACTAAAAGAACGATCCAAACATATTATCATAGTAATAACGATAAAATCGACAAGACTACGGTATTTTTCATATTATTTTCATTATTATTGAACAATTTCTTGGGAAAAAGCAATAAAAGTTGTGTAGGGCTTTCCTTCTTGTCTGTCAACCTTTTTGGTCATTTTTTTAGTTAAAAATCAATTTTAAATTGTAACAAAATCTTTCCATGTGTCGTATGAATGATGGGCAATTGGGTTGGTTCACGTACCAGCTATAGAAACTCCTACACATCATCATATCCGTCCGGATTTCCATGAATCACAAGAAAAACTGTTCTTTATTTATTATTAAAACATTGTGATTCAACGCCAAAAGGACAATTTTATTTTAAATAAACATATATTGAATTTATGAAGAGTGGGGAAAAAATTCAAAAATAAATATCTTTGTTGTAGCGTGGCACTTCTAGAGTAGCTCTGCTTCAGCATGGACCCCATGGGTTTAGAAAAGCAAGAAAACTAAAGCATTATTGGTTTCCAAGGAACCCCCTTCATGTTTATTGCTAAGGCAAAATATTCCCCGAAAGATTGGTTATAGCAAACCATCTATATTTGTTTTCAACTTGTAGCGTCATCAATTAAGTATTCAAAATAGTAAATGAAAATCAGATTTTTAATGGTTTAAACTTGTATATAGGCAAAAATTATCCTACATAATATGAATTATGATCTTCAGTGAATGTATAACTAACTATGAAACTTTTACCGTAATTATCAATTTAAAATCACACCATAAAAGATAGAGGAAATTAAGTTGCACTTTCCAAATAAGCCAGATCATTAAACAAGAGACAGATAAAATAAATTTCAAAAAGAATGAAAATAATGTCAATGATGCAGACTTTTTTTAGTAAATCTTTTGAATGTATTAAAGTTTGGAGGGAAAAAAATAAATGTAAAAAAAATTTGCCAAAAAGTTTCAATCGATAAACACCTATCATATTAATCTGACACGTTAACAATAATATTTGTCACAAATCATCACAAAGACATATTTAATTAGAACAAATACTCTAAGTCTCTAATCATACAGGAAGCTTGACATAGATTATGGTCTCAAGAAAAATGATGGGATGAAAATGTCGGGCCATTGTGCTAAATTAGAAACGTAAAGCTAAGGTTGCGCATTATTCGGGTATACCCGACGAACCGCCCGACCCGACGTCATTTTGGCCATTTCGGGTCGGCTAATCGGTTTAATCGGAGGAATTTGGGTTCCACCCGATTAACCGATTAGATAATGGGGTTCGGGGTAGGTATTCGTAGGTATTATTCGGGGATACCCGATTTACCCGATTAATTAATTATTTTATTATTTTATTTATTAAATATATATAGCCATCCTTATATTTTTTTTTCCAGATTTTTTATTTTCTCCTTCTTTCTTCCTCCGTTGTTCTCTCCACCTTCTTCTTCAACCATACGCCGCCGTCGACTTTGACCATACGCCGCCGGCATTTACACCACAAACCCACCTCCACATTCACCTCCACGACTCTTCCTCTCATTTCCTACCTCCTAAGCCCATTTAATAAACCAAATCCACCACCAATCTAACCTAAAACGAGATCTAAGGTTTTAGTTCAGAGTTGTCAAATTGATGCTTTTTTTTTTTGGTCGATTGATTCGATCATTCAATTTATCCACCTCCACGACTCCTCCTCTCATTTCTCACCTCCACAAACCACAATCCTGATAATCGACCTCGACCGATTCTAACCAAAATCAGATGGTCCAGATCTAGGGTTTCACTGCTTCCAAGTTCTCATTTCTCAAATTGGAGGGGGGGGGGGGGTTTGTTGCTGCTGAGCTGCTCTGTGAATTCTGATTCGAAGTGACCTCACCCTCCACTTCTAGTTTCCCCAAATCGTCAAGGCTCTAGGTAAAAAATGAAGAACGTTCTTTCAAATTTTTTTTGAGTGTTTGAGTGTTTTCCTTCAACTGTTAGTCTGTTAGGTTGTTACTGATCTACTGATAGTATTAGTTTTGGTTGTGTTTTCTTCAAATGCAGGAGCAGGAGTCAGGAGATTGGTTTGTGTTTGAGTGTTTCTGTTTTAAGGTACTTCTTTAAGTTCTTTTATTGTTTTATCTTTTATGAGCAAATTTCATTAGACTTGGTTAATTGGTTACTCAGGCCACTTATGATTTATGAATGATTGTTTATGTTTTATTCAGGATTAGGAATTGAAGTTTCAAGCTGTTACTATCTTCAAGGTAATACTAATACCTTTTTTTATGGTTATCTTTGTTGATCAAATTGATCTTTCTAGTTTCTGTTAAGTGTTGACTGTTTATTGGCAAATATGCATGATACGACGTATACTGTAGTAGTGTTACGAGTGTAGTACAATGTGAGTGGTAACTGATGATTGCATGTGAGTGATTGAGTTTAGAGTTGTGAGTTGTAGTTGTTGATGTTTCTGATCGAGTTCACTGTATGTATCAAATACCATGTATTGTTGGTTATCAAGTTATGTAGTCAGTACAATGTGAGTGGTGACTGATTATTGAATGTTGTTTTGTTTTCTATAAGTGCAGGATTGTTGAAGCTTGATATTGCTTCTGTATTTAAGGTAAGAACACGATAAAAAAGAACTGAATGTTGAATGTTGAGTATTGTTTATGTTTGTTTAGAATTTGAAGCCTGATATTGCTTCTGTTTTTGTTTTCTTTTAATGCAGGCCTGAGAATTGAAGTGTAAGACTGTTAAGCTATCTTCAAGGTAAGCTTTTGTTGACAATTTCTGTATTTTTGGCTTCCTGTTTCAGTGATTTTAAACTTGAAAGTGTTGTTCAGTTGTGTGTTCTGTAATCTGTTTTGAGGTTTCTGCAATCTGTTTTGAGGTTTTTGCAATCTGTTTCAGTGTTTTATGTCAAGTTTGGCTTGAGTTTACGTGTAACATGCTTGTAGCTGCCTGCAGTAGGTAACTTAAATGCCTTTTTTCCATCCTTTTTTCTGTATAGATGTCAGAAGTAGAGTCTGATTTTAAGGAGATTGAGGAGATTGAAGTCGAGAAAGGTTCTAGTTCACTGCCTCCTCCTCTGCTAGATTTGCACAATGATGATGGAATGATGATAGATGTAGAGATTGAGGATTGGGGGACTGAAGCGCAAGCTGCTATTGTTCTGAAGAAGCGCAGGGTAACTCGTAAACGCTCTCTGGTATGGATTCACTTCACAACTCATACAGATGTTGTTGGTGTGTTATGGGCTGATTGTAAATACTGTGGTAATTCTTATTTGGCTGATAGTAAAAAGTATGGTACAAGTAGTCTTCAAGCACATTTGCGTTTTTGTAAAAAGTACTTATCTCTGAATAATGATCCTGGTCAGAGTAAGTTAGTAATTGAAACTGGGAAGGGAAAACCTAGTGCAGGTACTTGGAGGTATAATGAAAAAGAAATAATTAGGGCAATGATTTGTATGATAATTGTTGATGAATTGCCGTTTAGGTTTGTTGACAAGAAAGGATTTAGGTATTTTCTTAGGAAGTTGCAGCCACAGTTTGTGCCTAAGGGTAGAAAATCAGTGGCTGATGAATGTTATAAACTGTATTTATCTGAGAGGAAAAAATTGAAAGTTGAGCTAAAAGAAAATGTTAGTAGAATCTGCTTCACAACCGATACTTGAACTTCTTTGCAGCAAATTAATTATATGTGTTTGACTGGGCATTATATGGATAATAATTGGACTTTGAAAAAGAAAATTTTAAGTTTCATGCCTATTACAAGTCATAAGGGTTTAGATATCGGGGCTGCAATTGAGAATTGTTTGATGGATTGGGAAATCCCTTTTGAAAAAGTGTTTTGCATAACTTTTGATAATGCTTCTTCTAATGATTCTGCCATGGAGTATTTGAAAGAGCAATTTTCTCATTGAGAAAACTGTGTGTCGGGTGCTAAGTGATTGCATGTTCGTTGTATGGCTCATGTGATGAATCTGGTTGTTAAAGATGGTTTGGCATATATAGGCAAGTCTGTTGATAGGATTAGGGCAGCAATTAAGTATATTAGGCAGTCTCCTAAAAGATTGGCAAGTTTTAAAAAATGTGTTGAAATTGAGCAGTGTGGTAGCTCTAAGAATCTAGTATTGGATGTTTGTACTAGGTGGAATAGTACATACTTAATGCTAGAAACTGCTTAAGTGTATGAAAGAGGTTTTAGGAGATATGAAACTGGAAATCAGCACTATAAAGACACTTTGAGGTTTGATCCCGAAGTGCCAAATTCTGGGCCTGGACTACCTACTTCAATAGATTGGATAGAAGTTAGGAGTATGCTGGTATTCTTCAGCATTTTTACGAGATAACCTTGAAGGTTTCTCGTACAAAATCTGTCTCTTCGAGTGCTTTCTTCACTGATCTTCTTTGCATTGATATGTTGTTGAAGAAAATCATTAATGAAACTGATGATAATGGTCAAAAAATGATAGCTGAAAAGATGAAGGATAAGTTTGATAAATACTATGGTCATATTGCATCGATTAATCTTGTTGCGATGATGGTATGTGTTTTTGATCCAAGGAATAAGTTGAAATACATTGAAGTTGTATTTCAACAGGCCTATGGGTTAGTGGATGGAAAAAATAAATATGATTTTGTTAAAATCGCCATTTATGAGTTGTTTGCGGATTATGTTAGAATCCATGTCCCTAAACCTAGTTCTAGTAGTACGCCTTCCAATTCTGATTCCAGTTCATCTCAATCCACTTTATTGGGGAAACGACCTTCCCCGATTGATATCATGCCTTCAAAGCTGCTTAGAGATCAGTTTAGGATGGAGTTGGCGAAAAAGAAAGTTGAAGAAGCTGGTGGGGCTTTACACAGAAATGAAAAATCAGAATTGGACAAGTATTTGAACGAGAATGATGAACCAGATTGTCCAGATTTTGATCTGTTGAACTGGTGGAAGGTGAACAGCTCTAGGTTTCCTATCCTTTCTCTGATGGTTCGTGATCTTTTTGCCATTCCGGTCTCAACTGTGGCTTCAGAATCATGTTTTAGCACTAGTGGCAGAGTGTTAGATGCATTTAAGAGTTCTTTAACTCCGAAGACTGCTCAGTGCTTGATTTGCACTCAGGATTGCCTTCGGGGGGAAGTTGAAGAAGAAAGTGTTGAAGAGAGTTGGGAAGACCTCATTCGCATGGAAGAAGGTTACATTTGTTACAGTTTCAGTTGTTTATTTACACTTTTAAAGTTTCAGCTTGCAAGTTTTAACTTGATTGTGTGTTTCTAGTTTTTCAGCTGCTGAAAAGGGGAACAAAACTGTGGTGAACTAGGGTTTGCAGTTTGCTGTGATCTTTGCTGAAAAGGTATATTTTCTTTCGACTTTCATGATTGTTATTGTTTTTTTTTTATGGCGATTACAACCTGAAACTTGATTGCATGAGTTGGTTTATTTCTGATTTTCTGACTTGAGTGTAAAATTTCAGCTTACTGTCTGTTGAATTGTTAAGTGTTGAAGCCTGAAATGAAGCCAATGTATGCTGTCAGAATTGGACAAGTTGAAGACTGAATATTGAGTAGTGAAGACTGATGACTGAAGACTGAACTGAAGTTCTCAATTTCCTGCTTTTTCAATTTTCAGTTTTGCTGTTGATGTTGAAACAGAATTATTTCTTTTCTCAGTTTCTGAAACTTGGAAATTTGTTAACTTTGTTATCTTGTATTCATGTTGTGTAAGCCTTAACACTAGTAGACTTTTAGTATGTGGATTGTGGCCTATGAACTTTGTAATTTCAGTCTAAGTTGAAGTTTAGAATGTGGATTTCAGTTGAAATTTACAGTAAGCCAGGAACTATATTCAAGAATCAAGGATTTGAAAATTAAAATCCTGTCAAAATTGGCCCTATTTTTTTTTGGCCATTTTTGTTCGGTTTAATTGGCTCCGAACCGATCCCCCCGACTGTTTAATCGGTCGGTTCGGTTCGGAGAATTTAAAATGTCGGTTCGGTTTTGAACAGGTGAAGGAAAATGAAAAAACCGAATTACCCGAACTGAATTCACCTGAACCGAGCCGAACTGACCGAATTATCAGCCATACGTAAAGCATAATAATGTAGTACAATTCGATTTTACGAGGCAGATACTAAACAATACATGATATATAAGGGGGTTACATAAGAAATTAATAATCTGTATTATTTTTTTTTTCAGCGTTAAAAGAAATCGGCTGATTGATTAGTTCACCGAAAGAAAACAGGGAAGAGAGGTCAAGCGAATGAAGAAGAGCCACCTGTTAGGACACATGTCCGCTGTTTCGGGACCTACATGACATAAATTAAGGGGAAAGCTGTTTGTTTCAGAGAACCAGAAAAAGGCTTCACTGTGTGACTGTGTGAAAATGACATGGGAGTTCCCCTTAGGATGGACACATGTTTGATGATAGGTATACTCCTAATACTAAAAGTAGTTTTCTTCTTTTCTTTTTATTTTTAGTTTTTACTTCAAACTTTTTTTTTTCTTTCTTCCTTGGAGGACTAATCCTTCTTTCTTTCTATGTGTCAGAACTCTAGTTTAGTTGTACTTCACAGTTTCCGAACGGTAAGCAACCTACCTACCTTCCCTTTGCTTTCCTTTGGCTTCCAATCCATGATTGACTAATTTTTTAGTATTTTCCCATCTTACTATTCTAATCCTAAAAGATCTTTCCTGGGATTTTCAAATTTTGCGGGTTTGGATTGTACAATTGATACGTGTCCCCTCTTCTTTTTTTTAGAATCATTTGACTCATGATTGACTTGAAGGGTATATTGGAGGTTGTGAGTTTTTTTGGGAGCTCAACTAATACAAGTTCTCCGTGCTTATATGTATTGTTCTATGTTGTTTCAAGTCTGGATTTTTTTCCTTCTTCTTCTTCTTCATTCTGGTGACCGGAGGAAAGAGGGTTGCTAAATTTCTGGAGAAAGAAGAAAAGGGTCGTGGTCATAATTAAATTCAGGTGTGTCTTTCTTTGGTTTCACTAAGTTCCTGAGTTGATTTGATTCCTGGGAATTGGTTTTTTTTTCCCTTTCTTGTTTGATTCTTTATTCTTTTTGAGTTTTGCTTCACGTTAACAAGCTCAGTAGTTCTTTAATTGTTTTGTTTCATGTTTAACCAAGTGGCTACAATTTAACTTGGTTTTAGACTCCTGGAGGTGGGAAAAGTGTTTCCTTGATTGGGGCATCAGTGATTGCTAGATTTTCTGATTACGTATATGTGATATTTTGGAGAATATAGGGAAGAGAGAAAATTAGCTGAGCAGTGTGTGTAGGAAGCTTGTATGTGCCTTGTCTTCTGGATGTGATTCTTTGATTCCTATTCTCTTGCATCATCAAATTGTAGCCCTTTTCAAGACCCCTTGTTTCTGCCGTTCAGGAATTTCACGGTTTTAAACCACGTTGAGGTTGCCCTTGAAATCCTAGTTGTTGGAAGTAACTGGGAGATACCTTAGAAAGGCGTGTTTTTGTGTGATCTCTGTTTCTAGGGTTCTAATTCTAAGAAGTTGGTTTGTTGTAGAAGGAAGGATTCCATTTTCTGCCATGCCATATAACTTGGGAAATCTCATTTATGATGAGTCTGTGATAACGAACTGCGTCGAGATCAGCGGGCTTGATCTGATAGCAAACACATCAAGCTTGTTATCAGAACCTGCAATAACCAAGTTCCCTAAGAGGCCTTTTCCTCTTGAAAATAAAAGTTACAGTACGTATAGAGCTCCTCTAAATGGGACTGGTATTTTGACCCAAAATGATAAGTTGAAGAGAGGCGAACCCAATCTCTTGCCTGGGGTAACTGAAAACGGTGATGTGAAGTGCCAGGAAGTAAAGGCACATGATCCGAAATCAATTTCAATAGCAGTTTCCAGTTCTCACAGTGTCTCAAATGATTCCAGCTGTTCTGGGAGCGGGCAGCGAACATCTTTGAACGGAGATTCTGGTACCCTTCTTTTAACCGTGGATAAGATCAATGGTACTCATCATAGCATCACAAAATCGTACTCATGGGATCCTGCCATTGCAGCTGAGATTGTGGAAGATCTGGTCTCTGGGGAAACACAAAATGAAGTTGTCCTCATTAAAGAGTCACCAGTGCCACCTTCCCTCCTTGAGGTTTCGCAGAAAATGAAAGCAGATAGACACAATGTCAGTGGTCTAAATACTGTGCCTTTATGGGGGTTCTCCTCTATTCGGGGTCGAAGGCCAGAAATGGAGGATGCTGTGACCACTTTGCCACGGTTCTTGAAAGTTCCTCGTGAGATGCTCGTGGATGTCCCAGTGTCAAACTCAATTAATCAACATTTATCAGCAGACTTTTATGGAGTTTATGATGGACATGGAGGCAGCCAAGTAAGTTTAGCATTTCCTTCAATTCTCTTTTCTTATACGGTGCATATCTTTACCCTCCTATATGTTAATCTTCCTATAGTTGTCAATGATTGTACATTCCTCTTTTCTTTTTTTTTTTTGGAAATAGTACATTCCTCTAATTAACATCTATGTTTGGCAAATTCCCCTGGCACAGGTTGCTAACTATTGCCGTGATCGTGTGCACTTGGCTTTATTGGAAGAGATGAATGTCAAGGACTCCCATACTAGATATGCTGAGTGTAGTAGGAAGGAGCAATGGGAGAGAACTTTTATGAACTGTTTTCATAAAGTTGATAACGAGGTGGGAGGAACAAGTTCTGCAAGTCTTCCTCCTTTGGCTCCTGAAGCCGTTGGGTCTACAGCTGTAGTTGCCATTGTTTGTCCCTCTCATATAATTGTGGCCAATTGTGGCGATTCTAGGGCAGTTTTGTGCCGAGGAAAAGTTGCTTTGCCCTTGTCTGTAGACCATAAAGTAAGGCTTAGTTTTTTGTTTTTTTTTTCTGGGTTTTCTTTTGACCTTCCTTTATAGTCTTTTATTGATTTCATAAGTTCTTGATATTAACTTGCAGCCAAACAGAGAAGATGAGTATACACGGATTGAATCTGCAGGAGGCAAGGTTATTGATTGGGGAGGTTATCGTGTCTCTGGTGTGCTTGGAATGTCAAGGTCCATAGGTATGATTCTCCTAGTGCTACATCTTAGTTTCCTCTGTTTCAACGATCCAAACTGAGCTGATTTCCGAGCTCTTGTCTGATGAAACATTTTACCTTGATCTGACCATTATTATTTCTAGAATGTACACAAAACATCACAAATATTATGGATCACAATGACAGCCAAAAATTTGATGCAACGATGCTGGATTTTTTCCCTTTTACTTATTGATGAGGTCTTGACATTTCTATTTTCCCTCAGTTAGTAGAGTTTAGACAACTTTGGTAAAGAAATGAACATTGAACTTTTATAATGGTTAATCCAAAACCGATTGTGGTATACCTGATGAAGGATTTCCTTACTTTGCATTGAGCTTCCTGAGGATTTTCACTCTGTTATAAAGGTTACTCAGTCTTTGTTTTTGGCACTACAGGTGACAGATATCTGAGGCCATTTGTAATTCCAGACCCAGAAACGATGTTTGTCCCTAGACAGAAAGAGGATGATTGCCTCATATTGGCTACGGATGGCCTATGGGATGTTATGACTAATGAAGAGGTCTGTGAAGTGGCTCGAAGGCGAATCCTTTTCTGGCACAAAAAGAACGGTGTTGCCCTTTCTAAAGAAAGAGGTGAGACTGTTGATCCCGCGGCTCAAGATGCGGCAGATTACCTCTCACGACTTGCTCTTCAAAGGGGAAGCAAGGACAACATCTCTATTGTTGTCATAGATTTGAAAGCCGTAAGAAAGTTCAAGAAGAAAACTTAGTAAACCATATCAGTAATCTTTTTTCTGGTAACTAATATAATACAGCAGGTTTAGTCTAATTGACAACCTCAGCATAGACGCTTAAAAGTAGCAATCTTCTAATATGGTGGACATTTTTTGTTACCACTTAGCCCTAAAAGACTTGTGTGCCCCCAAAAGCAGCTGGACACAGATGGCAACTGCCATAAACTGGTGAAAAGTGACTTAACTTTTGAACAATGGCAAGCAGATTGTCCGGGATCCAACACAATCAAGTTTGCTGCATCAACAATAAATCCATGTCCACATGATCCTTAAAGACTGCTTGTTTCACATCAATAGCAGTAACATAGGCTGTGGATATCAGTAAATCAAAACCTGTCTTGATGCGGTTCCAAATCTAGGAACTATAAAAAATTATTTCAAAGCGAATGCCATGTAAATTCTTAATAGTTTTCAACTCACTTGTGAACCATGAGTGAGTGCGAGTCTGTACATTCATTGGTCCACCAATGTATCATGCCCTTAAGTTGCAATATCTCTTAAATTTCAGAGCGTGAATTCTCCGACCAATGAGTAGATGGCATGGCTCTGAAAGGGACCAGCCCCTATTGGAGACCACCTTACTGAAACAGTTGCAATTTCTATCAGAACTAGTTCTCAAGATCTCTGGATTAAGCAGGATTTAAAAGCAGTGGGAACATAAATCTCGCAAGCACTGTCAAGTAACCAGTTGCAGGAATTATGTCGCCTATATGACAAACGATCTAAACACATGAACACATAAGATACTTATATAACATCAGACCATGACATGTAGGTACAGTACTCTTAAACTGGCTCACATCAAATGAATAATGGATGGAGCCAGCTTCACTCTACTAAAGACTCAGAACTAGGCGAAGGCCATGGCAGCAACTGTGTAAATGTGAGAGTATCTAAAATTGCTAACAAGAATGTTGATGTATTGAATCATCTGTATAGGAGAACACCGAAGGATGGGGCACAGACGATGCCCCAATTGCATCAATTTGGACTACATAGAATCAATGACATTGCAAAGGTCTGAGAATAACTAGATATACAAAGTATCACTTTTCCAGGCAGAAAGTGGTGGTATTCAAGTGATCTCAAAAACCATTGTGATAAAAATATCAATGCTCACAACAATGACAGGGCACTTCGCTCAGCAAAACTGTAATACTCACAACAGTTGCGCTCTTTCTGTCCCTAAGTTACTAGAAGCTAACTACGTACATAATCATTTCCAGGATAAACTGGGGTTCAAAAGAAAGAGAATGCACACTTTTTGTTTGGTCTCTAATATGTCCCAGCCTTTAGCATGCCAAAAAAGTTTAGAATGTTGCAAGGGGAGGACCAGCGCTGGTGAAGTAAGCGGCAAGGTCGATATCCAGATCGTCAAATTTACTGAGGAAAGGATGCATCTGGAAGACACAAATTTGGACACTTAAGTCACCATGCTAGAAGAATAACAGTCTAAACTAGAAATTCAAATATAATCCATACCATGAGCTCATTGGCTGACAGTCTATCCTTTGGTTCTTTCTGTATGCTGGCAGGAAAAAAAGCAAGGCTTGTTACAAACATAGTGCGTGAATGTTACAAGTATATTTCAGAAGCATTCGAAGTGGAAATGGCAGAATATCATGCATAGATATCTTAAACATGCAGATTTGAGAAAGCCAAGCAAAGCACGATGGCTGTTGGGACTGACGAGGCGATCATTTAGGTTTTCTAGGGAAATTAGTCAAGGTGCTTATTTCCTATTTAACAGCTCCTTAGATTCTTCACATAAAAAGGGATTGATTGTAAGAGCAGTTCAAAAGCACAACACCAAAATCAAATTAAGCTTAGGAATGATCTCTAGGGAAATCAGTGAATGAATTGAACCACTTTCAGATAGATCATCACCAACCAAATTGTCTAGGAAAGCTTGATTAACAAGAAGAGATGATTACCATGAAGAGATAAATGAACAGAATTCTGGAGAAAACAGATCTGAAGGGGCACGAGGCGCAGGTTTGTCAACAATGGTTTCCATCAGCTCATACACGTTAGTCCATCCTTCCCCTGGCTGTGGGGGTGAATAAGGAAATTGACCGGTTGCACACTCAAGCAGAACCAAACCCAAGCTCCAGATGTCACTTCTGTAACCGTAGTTGCCTCCAATAATCCTCTCTGGCTATAGCAGATAATAAATATATAAATTATAGGTGCATCTGCTACCATGTTCTGAATTAGCATATTTTAGTTGAATCTACTCAAAAGTTAATCAAATGCAAAAAAGAAAAATCCAAAGACAGAAAGAAATCAAAATTTACTTTTTTAGCATGTGGTCTCTACTAACAACATGCTCTTAATTATTAAAACCAAGTGGCAATCAATCAACAATATACTTAGCCGAAAAGGGCCAAAACTCACAGACATATAGTTGTATGTGCCAACAAAGGTATTAGCAAGTCCTGAAGTGCTTGCTAGTATTGCACTGACGCCAAAATCAGTTATCTTCACTTCACCTCTGTGGTTTATTAGCAAATTTGAAGGCTTTAAGTCCCTGTGGATGATATGCTTTTCATGATGCAGATACCACAAGCCTTTGAGTACCTACATTGGTGAGCAACGGTATTTGAATCAAGCTAAATGTGGAAATCTTTCAGATTTAAAATTTGAGCCAAACTCGCTACCTGCTTGCAGATGGCAGCAAGATATGGCTCTGGTATAGTTCTGACTTTCTTTAGGAAATCTGCAAGTGATCCCCCATCCATGTACTCCAGGATTATGGATATGGCACCATTATCATAAAAAGACTGGTACGACACAACAACAAAGGGACATTGCGAGGACTGGTTGATTTTCAGTTCCTGAGCAATGTTTTTCCGAGCTGACTCTTCAATATTCATTTGAATAACCTACACGTAGATATTCTTATAAAGCTAAATCTTGGAAAAAATAACAAGTACAACTGAATAAGATAAAGTGCATGGAAATGGGTCATCATATCAATCTAAAGATTTGACACAGGTGTTTCACGGCTGGTTTAAGAGCACTACAGAAAATTAGCCATACATCATGGTAAGTTGGAACCCCTGAAGGAGACTTTTGAGAAAGTGAAGACATGGTTCCTTAACCTATTTTGCAATTCATGCAGTTCAGTTTTAGTTATTTGTCCGCATCTACAGACACATGTAAAAATGAATGTGAAAAGTATCAACAAAGAATGACTTGTACGGTACCTTTAAAGCAAAGAACTGTCCTGTCCACTTATGTTGTACCAGGCGCACGACACCTCCATTTCCCTTCCCTATAACTTTGATTGCGTCAAAGTCCGCCAAGCTTAACTGGTTATCTGATGGCTGTATAAGGGATGGCTGGGCAAGAAAATAGCAAACGCATGAAGCCAATGACAAGGGAAAAAGAAGAGACACTGATTTGTTTAAAACACAAACGTGCCACTGAGAACTCTACTTATTGAAGCTTGAAGCTATTAACTTATGGCCATGGTGAATGGCAATAGCAGACATTAACAAGTCTACATAAATAGGTTGCAAGTTACTCAGAATAACAACATGAGGTAGGACAAGCCGGAGTAATAATATCGGAAGGAGCCTGGTATATAACTTAGTATAAACTGTAAAATTGCATTTCAACATCTCATTCTCAACACCCCTGTTACTGGTGACAAGATTAGAATCCTAATTAGTACACTCGACTTCATTCACCCTCTTTTCTTGGAAAACGAACACATGCCATTTAGTAGGTCTTCAACATTCAGAAAGATTGGGTCTGCTACTGCTCCATACATTGCAGCCATATTCAAGAACCAAACTTTTCTTAAAATTTGAAAGTATAAATGCAGCAGATCTTAGTCATCTAAGTTAGCTCCTAACCAAAATCACGTCCCAGAAACTAAAAAAAGAAAAGAAATTAAAGCCTTTAGTTTAAAGAAGTATTACCGCTGCAACTTCATTCTGAGGAACAATTCGAACCCCATCTCTGTTGACTAGCAGATCACCATCCTTAAACGTACCCGATTCAGTCCTACAAGAATCAAGCCCATTGACATCAGCCCACCATTCAAAAAATGATCTTTCACCCAAATAAAATACAAAAATTGAGGCTTACAAGAACTTAGAAAGAGACTCTTCATCCGGAGGAGGGAGGTTAAGCTTGAGGTTAGGGGCCAAAATGCCCTTCTTCATACTTGGATAGCAAAGCTGAGAGAAATTAGGTGACTGAAGAAGTCCCAATAGCAAACTCCACCAGTATTTGATTATTTATTCTCTGTAAGAATGATGATTATGGTTCAATGACTCCTTTGGGGGGTCACATACTCACATTGAGTGGAGCAGTAAATTGAAAAGAAATGGGAACATGAAAGGAAACCGCCAGTCTTTGGAAGGCGAGTTTTGTCCTTTTTAACTGTACTAATTATGTTCTTTAAAGGAACAGTACTATTTTATGAAAATATTTTTTAAAAAAATGTAATCCTGTCATTGAGTTCATAATTGATATAGAAGTATATTTATATGAACTATAATCAATCTCGGCTCGAATCCGAATTAATCACATTTGAACACCGAATCAAAATATATCAAAAAATAGTGATTCACATAATAATCATTTTGGAACCGAAAATAACTTCTTTCTTTAATTTTTTACTTGGATTGTTGCTTCCATGAATGAAAAATCAGTTAGAAAAATTTTCATTTCAAACAAAGTCTGTGATATGGAAACGCGCTATTCTGGGAAATAAGTATGGCACGCGAGACAAAAGAGCTTAAACGAATGCTGGTCTCTACTTTGTCATTCTTTGAATTTTCTACCTATTTTTTGGTGGTTGTTTGGTCAATTGGGGGAAATGGAGACCGATCAACCCAGCCAGTTTTCTTTTATGTTTCTAAGTTTGTAATTTTCCAGTCTTTCCAAGGAAAAAAAAAAGGGGTCAAGTTTGGATAAGTAGTCATGTTCGAGGAAGGAAACAATTTTGATGAGAATTATTATATGTCGCCCTCCTATCCTGTCCAAATAACATCTGATGATTTCCAGGCATTTATAAATAAATAAAGGCGGATGAAAGGATCTCGAGCTTGACCAGAGTTGACTATGTAGCATTGAGCAAGAAACTATAAATGTAAAATATAGAGATAAAATTCAAGCTTTACAAAGCAGTTTACCATTAATGATCTCTATGTACAACAATCAAAGAAAAACAAACTCACACCATCTCCAAACAAGGACTATACACGCATAGTAACATGTCCTGACTGTTGTATTTATCACTGCAAGATCAGCATAACCGTGAACATTTGGTATTATTGTTAATTCTCCACATCTACAATGTTGAAGGAGAACTTGGACAGCAGCTGCGGTACTCCGGATATTATAGGTCCATATGTCTACAAAAAGAAAAGAGTGTGCTCTTTTAGTCCCAGAACATAGAAGAGCAAAAACCATGTTACTACTAACATATCCACCATATCATCAGAAGGCTAACTCCAAGACAACCGCTGTACAGACGTATCAATTCATAACACTTACCTTGTCGTTTTCATGAATTTGACTAAGGGGAACTGCAAGCATCTTAAAGTTTTTGGGCACTATGAACTTTTGAGTCTCAGGCAACGTAACAAGGAAGAGTTTTATGCACTCCTGCGAAGACAAAAGCTTTGTGCTTAAGCAGTTAAAATTCATAACTTAGGCCACAAAAGATCAACAGAATCAATACCTTTGGCCTTTTTATATTAGCTGGAATATAAGGATAAAGTAATGTCTCGAAATCAGGCCTCCACCACATACCAAGGCATTCTCCTACCTGAACATCAAGAATCAGTACACCCCCATAGCAAATAGCTAATCAAACTGACTTCAGAAGCTTCACTTACTCACCTGCCAATCAGGGGCATTCCCATCTCCAACATCTGAGAGCTTACTTGAAAGTTTTCTCTTCAAGCAATCCACATCTAGGGTGGAAAACAATTGCAAATTACAAATTGGTTACCCCTTACTAGGAAGAAAATACCACAAGCAAAAAGGACATCAGAAAGCAGCAAAACCTGATTCTAGTGGCCTTAGGCGACCCCCTGGAAGCTTAAACATGGAATTCCTAATCTGCAAAAGCAAGAGATGTGGGTGCTTGAAAAGCTCGACCTGTAACCACAATGTCTCCCATCGTCAAACAAAACAATAGCTCGCATATTCATCACGAACCATGGTCAGGTGAAGAAAAAGCAAAACTACTACATTTGATTAAAAGAGAAAAATTAAGTTGAATGAATTAATGTCTAAACAATGGAACACCGAATGGGTTATCCCAACAAATTAATCCACAATTTTCAAAACATAGGTAACACAAAAGTCATAAAAATTGCCACATGCTCTGGCTACTGTATGTGCTTTGCTATATGGCTGTGTGGTCTATGGTCGTCTTTGTCATGTTAAAGATGGATTTTTACGTCATCTCGCATTTCGAGTACACCATCTTATATCTCTAATGCACATTTTCACATTTTGAATATAAATGCTTACATCTTCAATGGAGAAACAAACCAAAGATATTGAATTAAAATGATTTGTAAGGAATCTGTGAATATGCACAGAAAAGTGGAAATGGAACGGAGGGAGTAATAACTTATTGCCTACTATTTGTGTCTTTAACTTTGAGCTGCATATGGGGAACAAATGAAGCTAGTATTTCAACTTACAAATAAATATGCGGAATTAGACGGAAGAACAATGGCCATTACACTCAAAATTAGTTCAGGAAATGCTGAATCAGATATTAATGAATCACAAGTAACAGAAGAATGCTACCTGCTTCACCCTAGAAATCATTTTTTTTTTTTTTTGGGTTTGTTTCCACAAAATAGAAAAAGTACTAAAAAGCAAGAGTAAAGAGAGAGTTTTACCAGCATAACCGCTTGAACGCAAGTCCTCAATCCGTGAGCATCATAACTGGAATTCGAGAAAACACAAGAATAATCACAAAATTAAGGCATAGAGAAACCGAATAAACGGGTCACAAAGTCACCGCAGTTGAGAAGGAACGCCAGTCCTACTTGGCTTTCATGCGGAGGAGATGATCGGAGACGGTTTCGTCTCTAAACGGAACAGCATCTCTGGAGCCAAAGTAGTAACAGCTGAGCGGATAAATATCCAACAAATTGCCGCTATTCTGATCGACGTCACCGTTACCGTTCATCTTTGCCGCCTAATCTCCGATTCAATAAACCAATGGAAAGAGTAGAATTTGATGAACGGAATTTCGATGGCAAAGGAATTGATTTGAATTGAATGAGGTTTTGAAAATTGGATGAAGAAAGTATTAATAAAATGAGACTCCGTGAAACTGTAGTGAGCGCAGTGAGAGTGTAAAAACTATGACGTGGCAGCTCTCCAGAGAAAGAAAATAATTCAAAAAGAAAAAAAAGCGAGGGTTGTGGAATACTGGAATGTACTAAAGTAATTTCCATAGTGGATTGTGGTTGGTCATTGGTCGTTCCACAAGTTTCCCGATTGTGTTCTTTCGGTTTGTCTACAGTTAATTATTAATTTCGGTTTAATGATCTCCCATACTAATTGTAATCCCCTAAAATAAACAAGGGGCGTCCGTTCGTTTTAGTCCCTAAATTATTTTTGTGTTCAATTTTCGTTCCTAATGTTTTTCACGCAAGGAAATTAGTCCTGATAATTTTTTTTTTTTGTTTAAAATTGGTCCTATTGGCCGGATCCAGCTACTATTCTGGCGACGTACAATTTTTATAATTACAGATTTTCTCCAAAATATTATAATTTATCAATTTTACCCCAATTTTTTTTAAATGTTATTATGTATTGATTTTTCCCATAATTTATCCATTTTATTTATTTATTATTTTCACAAATTTATTTTTTTTTAACTCTACCGGCCCTATGTTAAACCAAAAAACTAACACTTTACCATTTACTCCATTGGAACATACAAAATTATAAAATATAATTGGAAGGAAATAAATAAGTAAATATTTTAGGATACTTTTTAGTTTGTTTGTGATAAAAATGTGAGAGAATATGGTATATAATGTAATATTTTCATGTTTTTGGAAGTAAGATTTGTTTGGATTGCATATTTGATATTTTATGTTTTTATACTATTTTTTAATTCCCCTGGCCTGATACTAAACCAAATTTCAAATCTTTCACCATGTTATTTTTAAAAATAGAAAATCAATAAAATAATAATGTAACTAAAAAAAAAGTTATAGAATAATAAAAGAAATTCTAATAAATAATATAATATTAAATAAATTTTTTAAGTAAAATTTACATTCACCAAAATTTGTTCAAATTTCTTTTATGTTTTTCATTCTAATAATTTATTTTTACCCGACTAACCACCTTTTCATTTTAGAAAAGTTTGTATTTCTGAATATTCACGTTTTAATATTTTTATTTGACCTTTTTACCTGAAAGTTTTTTTTCCAAACCTTATTTTAGTTTATCTTATCTATATTTATTATGTCAAACAAAATTAAAGCAGTGAGGATATTCAAAAAATTAAAATTCCTTTGTTGTTTTATTTTTTTGTTGACGTAAAAAAATACGTAAGGTAAACCAAAATAGGGTTTGAATTTTATAAGGTGAATATATAAAATAACTAGTAAAAAAATGGCAATAAAATGTTAGAGTTTGAGAAAATGGTCCTCGGGAAGAAAGAATCGGATAGAAAAAAAGGGGAAAAAAATACAAATTTTCATTTTTTTAATTTTAACAATAATATCACAGAATATTTTATTAATTTAATATTATTTATCAAATTTCTTTTATTATTTTGGAGATATTTTATTTTATATTATTACTTCATTAATTTTATAATTTTTTGGAGATAATGTAGTGAAAATCGATAGTTCATTTAGTAGTAGTGGCTGGAAAAATAAATATTTGAGAATAATTTTTAGTTTGTTCATGGTAAATGTGATAGAGGATAGGAAAAATAATATGGTAAATTTTACATTTTAGTATAATAAGATTTGATTGTGATAAATAAAAGTGAATAGAGTAAAATTGAAAAAGTGATATGCAAAATTTAAAATTGGATTCAATTGAAATTTTTCTTAAACAATTAAAGTAAAAATGATAAATTATAAAATTTTGGAAAAAATCTGTAATTATAATTATCATATTTCGCCAGAATAGTGCTCGGATCCGGCCAATAAAACCAATTTTGACAAAAAGAAAACGAAAATTGAACTCGAAAATACTTTAGGAACTAAAAACATTTGGCGGCCATCGCACCTATTTGCTATTGACCTCCGTGGGATACTATCATAATTCTATACTAGATAGATCCCCTGTAATCACTGGCTTCTTATTAATTTTTTTGTGTATACAATCGGCGCTATTGATAAAAGTAATGGATTTAAATAACAAAAGTACAAAAATATATAGTTTTTGCTTAATGAGCAATGTTTATCAGTATTTACAATTATTATTTGTTATTTAATGTTAAAAATTAACACAAATTATTTATTATATCTTTATTACTATATGATGGATAAGAGGAGAAAAAAACGGGGGAGAGGAGTTAGGATTGGAAGAGAAAAGGCTAAAGTCTAAAAGGAAAATATATGTTGCGTAAAAGATTTTTTAAACACACCTTTTTTTATAAAGCAAGGAAATCGATGCGATACATTAAAAAATAATGTTGCATTCGTTGTTTAACTAAGAAAAAATGGTTTAAAAAAAATACTAAGGACAAAAGAAAAAGTTTGGCACATCAGCCATCCAATCCAAACTAAGGAAGTAATAGAAAAATAAAATTAATTCTAAATTATCAGAAAATGACACGTCAGATGGATGAGGTAAAATAGGCTGGAAAAAGGTATAATAGACTTTTTAAAGGGGTTCTGTTTTAGTATATAGAATGATGTATATCCCGTTTGGTGTGACTTGTTTGTGCTTTTAGTTCTCAAATTTTATAAAAGCGGTTGGTAAACCTAAGAACCCATAAATTTTATCTTGCTATAATCACTTTCCAACTGGCCGATAGGAGGACCAATGAAAATTATTATCCAGTATCACGTTTGATAAATAAATTTAAACGCACACAAGAAAAAGGGACTAATGGTCCATTGTGCGCCTAATTCGATTAAATTTGTAGGAATAACATATAGTATCCCCTTGCCAAAGGGAAGTCGGAGAAATTATTAACTCTCCCCTGAGGAGAAAAGAGAAGATATATCTCCCCGGTTCTAATTTTGACATTCATGTTAAAATTACTCCTTTTTTTTTAAAAAAAAATGATGACTGTACGAGTATTTTAAATTAAGTTTTCACATAGAAGACTTAGAAGCCAACCAAATTTTTGTGTTCGGTTAAGGTCACAAATAATCATTCGTGTAAGTGTATCTTCAAGGAACACACCAAAATACTAAATTTGGTATTTTGGTGTAAACTTTGCACTCTAACAAAGACACTAAATCAGTACATCATTTTAGTGCATTGAATAGTGTTATACCAAATATGGTGTAAATTGTCAACTACACTATCTTTTGTGCACTATATCTTGTTTTGATCTAATTATTATATATTTGCTATATAATTAAATTTATAAAATAAATTATGTTGTAAAAATTATATCTAAATATTTTCTCAAGATCTACACAATAAGACCTATATTGAATATAAAAATTTATTTTTAAAATAAAATTTATTTTTAGTCATTACTAGAATTGAATATGTAAAAAATAGAAAAACTTCATATTTCTATAATCAAATAAAAAATAATTTAGAAATAAACCGTACTAAATTGTAAGATTTTTATCAACCACTGAAATGAAATTTAAACAAAAAAAAAATTAATGTTTAGATCTTTTGGTGTATTGAGGTTGGAGTACAGAGAATTTTGGTGTACAAAGATATTTGAAATATTTTATTTTTACACCAAACTTAGTGTAAATTATAATGTAATGGTTGGAGATCTTCTGACATTCTTTAGTCAAAAAGGTTCCACCAAATCATTTCGTTGTTGGCTTTTTCTTTAATTTATTTTTCCTTTTGTTCCCATAACTACACAATACAACCATTAATCAAATGCTAGTGTATTTTTTCCTATTTGACAAATTATTGTGAAACAGCGAAGAATACATATAACATACAATAATTTATACTCTTTCGATTTTGAATACATATAAAATTATTTACCAGTTCAACCAGATGGCCATTTTTTTTAATGAACTAAATGTAGTGTTATAGTATATTTTATCATTATATAGTTAAATCATAAGGCTAATATATAATAGTTACTATCATTATGTAGCAGTATTACTCAAAAAAATGTCTTTGGAAAAGGAAAAAGGAAAAGTGACTCCGATCTTTTTAGTCGTGCCATCAAAAGTTTAAGATTGAAATGGATTTATTTTTATTAAAGAGATCAAAGGAAACTATCTCTCATAAATATCTTTATTTTTTACAGATGATCAAGCAAAATTGAAAATGACCCTCATTAACTCCCACACTCCTTCCCCATACTCCAAATAATGCCAAGTTCCTTTACCATCAAATCCCCCAAATTATCTAATACCTTCCTATTACACCCCAAATTTATGACAATATCATTGGATCGCCATCACTTACCAATCATTGCCAAACAAGAAACTACAAACACAACAGATCAACTCAAGAACTATTTATCAAATAAAATATTATTGTGTCCAACAATGAGCTTTAAAATATTTTAATCTCTACTACAAACACAAAAAAAAAAAAAAAGGCTGGTTAAATCTAATGCAATCAACATTATATGAAAACATCAGACCCTTGATATGAAATATTCCAAAACTTTTTGCTCAACCAACAACCAGGAGAAGAGTCAACTAACCATCAAAGTAATTTTACCTGTAGTGATCTTGGAAGTATATAATAGTCCAAGTTTTATTAGGATTGAAGGAAGCACCTTTCCGTCTTCTGTACTTAAATCTGTTCATACCTCCAAATTTAGCCACCATTTTCGTCTCATTCAATTCCGGGCTAATCACATAGTCCGCTTTTTTGGTCATATCATATTAATCCAATCTTAGACCCACATCTCCTCCACTGGCAATCAAGAACTCAACTTTATTGCCCCCAAGATCGTCATATCTGTAACTCAAACTTCATAAAGACAGGTACTTTAATAATTGAATTTCGTTTTTTCAAATTTCTTTGGGTTTGTGGAACATGGGTTTTTGTTTTTTCGGGTATGGATGAAGTGGAAGGTGGGTTTTAACTTTTATGTATGCTAACTTTCAGATGTTATGCTCAAGAATTTCTCGATTCTGTTCTAGGTAGTATATCTTTTGTTGGAATTTTAGTTTATGCATTTATGGGAAGAAAATTGCTTTGGAAGTAACCTGTTCCAGTCGGTTCGAATTGAAAATATCGAAGGGTCAGGCTGATTCCTTACTTTTGATATGGTCTTAATTGTAAACGGGGATATCGAATGGCATTGGATGTGTTAGGCTTCTTACTGAACAAACAGTCAGGGAGAGGATTCTGCTGGTTGTTTGCATATGAAACTTTTTTTTTTTATTTAATTTCTTGATTATAGAGTTTGAGTGTCATTTTCTTTTTAAAGATTTTCTCATCAGCGATTTTCAGTTGGATATCTGTCCTTATTCTTTGTCTAATGATAAAATGAATCTGAACTTCATATTTCTTTTTCCTTTTACAATGTTTCAGGAGTTCTGGAGGTGATAGCTGATTCTCTCGAGGCGATTCCGTTTTGAGAAACTACACATGGATCACAGTGAGTGCATCAATTCGACTTTTGTTATGATCAATTGATCATGGTTGGATAATAAGATTCTTGAGGGTGCTCAAATTCCTAGTTTGTGTTCATTCTGCCACCTCTAAAATTTATCTGCTAAATTGGGAATTTCATGTCTTTAGACATACGAAAACTGCTTGATTAAACATTTAAATCATTGACCAAGGGAAGCTTGGTTGATGTGAAGTGACATACTTGGGGGCCTTTGGGAAGGGTTGTTTGAAGGCAACAAGACATGGCATAAAACAAGAAAAGACGGGTCTTATTTGCTCCCTGGTCCCTGTTCATGTGCCATTGTTCTCATTGCTGTATTATATTTGAAAAAGTTGATAATTTGAAAGCGTCATTTGGTAGTTTGAAAATGTAATCAAATATACCTGTATTTGGTTTCGCAACTGATGATTTTATGTCGTGGGATATTGCATCAAGATAGACAACTTTTGCATCATTTTGATCAATAGTATTTTTTGATACCGTTGGGAAAAATGTCCGTCTTAGCTTTCTTATTTCTTGTTGAGGCTTGCCAAGCCGAAATCTAAAACTGTAGAACTTATGCATAATTGGCTTGATTAGATCAATCTATGAATGCTAACTGACAAACAAAATCAATGGTGATGGCCTCCTAATGACTGTTCTTTGGTTCTTACTGATACTTCAGATATTACTATTGAGGATGGTGAGGGAAAAAATGCCCTTGAATTGGCGAGATCATCTTCGGACAAGCATCTTGATCTCTTAAGACCATCAGCTCGATATTATTCAGTATTTAAAGGTATTTATACTGATCTTGAGTTTCATTGTCCCTTTTTGTTTCAATGTTGTCAATATGTTATCTTCAGACATATTTACTTTAATCCGTATCATCATCATTGAATTTACTAGAGGCTGCTTTTCAATTCATAATGTTAAATCTTTATGAGTGCTGATTGGCATAGATCGATCTTCCTTATATTATCTGATAGATGGATGTATCTTCTGATACTAGGACAAGGAACGGATACAACTGACCGTGAAAAAGGAAAGTATACTTTGATCAGAGATGCAGATGACTACCAACCAGGCATATTCGACAAGCCCTTACCATGCTTTGGTTGTGGAGTGGGATGGTTTTCGTAAGTTCCATACATTTTGCTGGTGCTAGTTAACTACATGTATTATTCCTGGGTATATCTTTAACTGATCTGCAACTCTTTTTCTTTAGTTTTCTCTTAGGGTTTGTTTTCCCACCAATGTGGTACTATGCCACAGTGCTATATTTTGGAAACTACTACAAAAGGGATCCTAGAGAGCGAGCGGGGCTTGCTGCTTCTGCCATTTCGGTATGTTGCTTATGTTTTATGTTTCTTCACAGCCGCTTAAACCCTGCTAATTCTTTTCGGTATGTATTCATAGAAGGATAGATCTCTGTCGGTGGCCCTGATAGTATCTCTCTCTGTAAAATGTTTTCTGACACAGGCATTGGGGTTTACTGTCGTGTTGTTGATCGTGCTGCTGATTCTACATTTCTAGCTCTGACGGCATTTTTCAAACTTGGATGTGTGGTGGTGCCAGATTCGCCAAGTGGCGTGCCGTGCTTAAGATTGGTTATAGATTGTAAATTTGTGTTACTACGGCTACATATTTCATTGTAGATAACGATTCACATCACTTCTGCAAAATTTCATTCTGCACTGTTGCAGGGGACGAAAATCTAAAGAAAAGAATGAGAGGATTCTAAAATGTCGACCCAAAATGCGGGAAAAGACCCGTGGGAAGACTAAAATGTCTAATTACAGTGAGAGGATTTCAAAAGGCATACGTTGTCTAGATTACTGTTTCTTTGTAGAAACAATAATAATACCATTTTCGTTATAAAATTGCAAAGGATTATGAATAATTTCTTGGTCTCCTGCACTATTTCTGTGTACTATGGTTACAGGATGATCTTACTAAAAGCATAAAACTTCTAACACAACTCGTTTTGCCATGCCCCAAGTGCATTACCTACAATGATCTTACTAAATTTCTTCTAACACGCCACATTGAATACCTATTCGAGGCAAATGAGATCATCTAAAATGATTTGGTGTATAATCATTTTACATTTTTTTGAAGTGCAGTAAAATTCATCTAACATCGTTATAGTAAGACGACTATTATTAAGTGACACATGGTTAAATTCTTTGCTCATTTTACTGTGCCGAGAAAGTGAAACATAATAGGAAAATCAAGTATCCCTTTGCAAGTTGTATCTCAGATTACAAAAAATTATGTACCATAAAGGCGACCTTGCAGAAAATTGAATGCTTTTACAAATTTGGCAATCGCAAAAGTAAACCCAATAATATAAGTAGAGTAATCGCTTTCACAAACAGTACAGTGCACCTCAATGGTACAAAGGTCTACACGTCCTCAAGAATCAGCAATATGTATACACCGGAAAACAACAATTGTAGGCTTCAAAATTTTTCTCATCCGATACTCCAGAAATATGCACCAGGAGTCTAGGATATCTTCTTATACCTATGGAGGTTCAATCTCAATGGGACTCGCAGTTTGTTCCAATTGAAATAATACAATGGAAAACGCATTCCCAACTCCTAATTTTTCACTGCTAGCTGGACATATTTGCCGTCAATATCAAATCTGGAACTCGAATTGATCTGCAGAATGTGAAAGGATGACAAACAGCTCTACAACAAGAAATATCTATCAAAGAAAAGAGAGTTTTGTGCAGCATCTAGTTACCTTTCGCTCGAGAATTTCCGAAACTTGGCTCTCGTCAATAGCATGGCCAGATTCCTTCAGAGAATTCAACACTAGCTTGATCAGCTTTTTTAGTTTCAAACGGCCATTTGAATTCTGTCAAAAATGGAGGGAAATGAAAGCATTATTTAATTTGTCATCAGAATTAACCCTGTAAGATGCTTTGCCATGGACTATAACAAACCAAGGCCAGAAGAGCTAGAGTGCAATAAAACATACAGATTGCAGGGATGACGTGATAAGCTTCTTCCACTTTATTTTCTTCTTCTTATCTTCCACTCTGGGGGTGCAATCTGCCTTTTCATCTTCAGATACAGTTCCTTTAACTTTCTTTCTAACCTGAATAACTTCACCATTGCCTAATTCAGTAGCTGTATCAACCCCTGGCTTTTGCCCATTTTCAGGTGCCTCGAGCTTTCTTTTCTTGTTTGACGGCAAATTACCATTTTCTGCCTGCTTGGTGGCAACATCAGAAGACTTCTCTTCATCTTGTTTCTCAATGGATTGAACAGCTTCAGTTTTTGCATCACCATCAATATTTAAAAGTGGTTCTTGTTCCTCTTTAAGCTGCTGCTTCGAAGCATGAAAAGCCTTCGCTTTTGCTATGTGCTTTTTCCCTTCTGCATGGAGAAGCAGTGTTTGCTGACTAGTAACTGTTGTATTACAGAGGCTGCAAAAATGACATAGTAACCACACAAAAGCTCAGACCATAAAAGTAAAGAGGTCAACAGGAAAAATACTTTAATGAGGAGAAGAAATACATTGCATCCAAGTACAACAATTAAATTAACTATCCAAATCCAATACACTATCCCTACAGTACACAGGCTACACAACTGCTGGGCGAAAAAACATATCAAAAATCATCCACAGTCAACCCGAAAATCATCAGTACCCAAAAATTCAAAGAGTACACAGGATAAAGAGTTCTCTGCATCGTGAAACAAAGTACAGCAGTACAACGAAGTATATACTTTCCCAACTGTAACCAAAAATTTGCTGCACAAAGTGTAAATTTATCCCTCAAAAACTTATACCACAAGTTTAGTCAGAAACCTGCATCTGGAGTCAGAAACAACATAAGACCGAGATGGTTCAACAAATCAGTTAAACTGCAAGCTAGCATTATACAGCCTGGCTATAGAACAGAGAGATACTAACATCACTATAGAGTACTTCTGTATGTATGATATCTAAATTTTTTTACTTGATAATATCATTTATAAGGTAAGTAAACGCCTGTTAACCTCAAGACAGAGCTTCAAATTGAGGCTTAATATTGGTCGTTGTTGGGTTTGAAATGCAAACACAGAGATACAGCATAACAATTTACCGAATCCAATCAAGGACCCATGCCAACAACTAATGCAGATCATATTAAAACATACACTTTACCGATGAAGAGACGTGGATCAAATCATGGGCAAACCTATTACGGTGTGCCTCTATCGGTATCTACACAATCAACGGAACTCACTTCTAGGCTTCTTTTCAATTTCCATGCTAGCGGCCAAATAGACTGGCAGCCACTGGCCTCCCACAGTTCTAAGTAATGTCAGAATGAAGACATCTTTGTATCACTAGTATTTTTAATAGTTAGAAAACCCTACTGAAGCCTTCAGGGACATAATGAAGACTATAATAGGGATTATGCACCTAGGACTCCACTACGGTTTCTATAAAAACCTAGAAATAATCAGCCATTATCATTCTAATGTGACATAAACGTTGATCGAGGGGAAACCCAAAAAGTGTGTTCCATTGATCGAGTGCATACCAATCGGGGTAAACGACATTGGTTCATCTCATGATTCAATCTATGTTCTTCCATCAATGAAAGGTATATTTAATGTAATTTCTCTTAGTAATTCATTCATTCCCAGCAGTCGTAGTAGCTTCTTTGACTCGATCAGTTCCAATATTCATAATTAGGTTATGACTTTGAAACTATATTTCCGATTTCAACCACTACAGGAATTCATTGAAAATATTAAACCTGACTGAATAATACCTGCAAGACCATGGAGCACGTTTTGATAATCCAACATTTAAGTCAATATCTGGTTTCTGCTTTGAAGCACTGTTAGCCTTAGAGTTTGAGTTACTTGTCGCCTTCCCTTGGCCCTTTGGGCCATATTTTTCCTGAAATCAAGAGAGTCACCAATCAATTCAACCAGCGAAATGATCTACCACGTGCCAAAATGAAAAACAAAAGAAGATATCTAAAGAACCTCATGACACAAGTTCAGAAACAAAAAAAAAAAAAAACAAAAAATGGCAAGTAAAACCAATCATCCATATCCAATAGCCATAGGTCCCTAGTTGCAAAATCTTCGCCCACCCATTTCCAATTCAATATAGACTCCCCAAGGTTGCCTATCGACATCGCACTTTTTCAATATGTTTCAACATTCCGACACATTCAAGAGTGATCCATTACTCAGCTCATAGTTAACGCAGGCCAAAATGTTAAACATTTTAGGGCATCTCACTTTATCTCCAATAATAATGAGGTAATAGACCAATTGTACAATTATCACCTAAGCCTTTGACAAAGGTTCATCAGAAACCCCCACATATTGTTATTTATGGAAAACCAACTCCAGAACCTAATGAACCCCCACACACACACACACAACTATTATTACTAGTATTATTTATGAAACCAACTCCAGAACCTAATCCACTAGAGCTTCTTTTATCCCAAAACCTTAACCCCCACAGCTAAAAGTTAAAGCATCAATATTGAAGGCAAATGCCCAACAGAGTGACAGATAATCAATGACTCGTCAAAAGCTAAAAAGCGGAAATACATTCGTAGTTGCCCCCAAATGGGAAACGTGACCTACCGCTTCTGTGATGCACTGAGTGTGACTCTCAACATTGTGCTGCCCAAATACTTCCCCACAATCAATACACGACAGCTGCCAAGTAATAACATAAGAAATAACTCAGAACTTTCAGAGTGAAAAAAAAAAACAGAGCAATTCAAAATCATCTCAGCAATCATTAGCTCAAACGCAATTCAAAATCACGGAAAAGGAAAATAACCTTGGACGCAGAGCACATCCGAAAATGGCCGGGCAGCTTCGGTTTCTTCAAGTTGTCTCCACAGTCTTCACACTGAAACCACACCATTTTCGAGTGCGTTTGTGTGAGGGGGAAACAGGGTTTTGTCTGCCCGGCCCGGGAAGAAATTTCTGGATGCTGGGCAAATTTTCTGCAAAATTAGTTTACAGTTCTGTAATTTCAACGCTTTAATTTGAGGGGTTTTAGTCACTTTAGGGTTTTCGGAGTTGGGGCAGTAATGGCAAATTTAGTAAATTCAAGACGTTTGGTGAAATAGACTCCCAGATAAAATGGATTTTGTTCATGGAGGATAGGAGACCAAATTGGAACGGCCCAAAGTTTGTTTAATAATAAATGTTTATCCAAACCTTTTAGCCACCGATGTCGTGGATAGAATTTTATTTGTTTTTTTTTTTTTGGAAAATATTACGTATTTGGTGTCTGAAGTCATTGTTCAGTAATTCGAATTCGAGCTGGGTAAGTCTATTTCAAGAGACAAAACTCTCTCAACAAATATTTCAATCACTATTGTATGTCTATGCCCGAGTTTGAACCAGGGTCATAGTTAAACTGGCATAAAATCTTTATCACTTTGTCCAATACCTTTACCACAAGAATTTTATTTGTTTATTTGTTGTTGTATATTGAAATTTTGATGATTGTGTGGTTTATCGGTCATTTCAGGCATTTCTTCCTAAATTATATTTTAAGCTTCAATATTTTGTATTTCTCAATTATTATGCTAATTTAAATGTTCTTACAAAATTCGTTAATTTTTTGATAATTTTAGAAAAGTAAGTGCCACTATTTAGAAGAACAGTAATATTTGAGGATAAATAAATGCAATGCAACATTTCCTTTAAGTGGTAAAATTTTGATTTCTTCCATTTCCCTATCGAAGGTTGTGTACATAGGAAAGGATCCTCTGGTGAGGATCCAAAATTGTGTACTTATTATTTTTTTCCGTGTTTTCCTAATTATACTCGTTCCAAGACCTTACTAGTGAGACTATAAAACAAAGAGAGCGTTATGCAAGAAGTAATTCGAACAAAACAAGGAGACAAAACTATAGAAATTTTTAGTTATAAGATTGTAGTGGAATTAGGACATCAACGTAATAAATAACAAAGCCTTCATTTTTACCCCTCTATTACTTCACCACTTCACGTTCTTTTTTAAAAGATTATTTGTAGCCTTCGATGGTCGTATGAATGATTTTGACCTTGCAGTTTAATTTCACGCTAAGACTTTCTCAATCCCCCTCATCCCTATTTTGACACTTAACCTAAAGGCATTCATTTCGATAAATAAATCAATTAATTAACCAAAGATGACAAAATTAAAGTCACTTAACAAGCGTTTATTTTACGAATATCTGTTTAGTGGTTTCATTTTGTTCGCTAGATCATAGTTGACACTCAAGTTTCTATGAACCCCGTTTTGAAATTGATGCAATAACAAGTTTATACAGCCATAAGAAGAACATAGAACTTAAAAGAGTCAGTTAAATTCCTTGAATTAACTGACTCCATTCGATTTGAAATTTTATTTCGTAAACGTGCATATATGGGCAGGGGCGGGCGTACATACATCTGAAGTGGGCAATTGCCCCAACTAATAATTTTTTTTTTAGTTAACCCTTGAAATTTTAGATTTTTTTTTACAAAATATTAATTTTTGCCTCACCTAAATTTAAGATAATAAGGGGCAAGTGTATTAATTTACAAGTGTTGAAAATTTTGCCCCATCATATCTTAGGGGCTTGGTTCCGCCCCTGTATATAGGCCTTTCCTTAATCGTTTTTTTTTTTTTTTTTTTAAGCTGAGAACCTCATTAGATATGGGTAAAATACGCCCATTGCTAACAAATCACAATGGAAGAAGGGCTAATTAAATATTTCTTGTACCAATAAAAACTTCAACTAAAGTTTAACCAATTACTTTGATCACCGGATTGTAGGAGGAGGGTTAGTTGATTAAGCTCTGGGGTCATATCATACCACGTGTATCTCTAGTTATTCAAACAATTGTGTCACAGAATTGTCACATTCATAATTTGAGTATAGAACATATCGTAAAATAAAAAACCAAATTGTTTGGTATTACGTACATATTGTTGTCTTTGACTTGATGATTGATTAATAATGATACTACCATCACAATCTACTTAGAAATTAAAAATTGCCCAAGGGTGTTGAAATTCGGATGCATGGGAGAAAACTTGCAATTCAAGTTACCAACGGGAAAAAAAAAAAAAAAAGAGAATAAAAAATCACTTCAATTATTTAGATGTCTCTGTCTTTAACAAGATTTTAGATTGATGAAATCTAAAGGAGTACTTCTGTAACAAATTAGAGCTTTAATTTGACTTATGCGTCTTGAACCCAGCTTGGAATACTAGCTTTCCTGATTTTCAGTTTTGGTTCCCAATTGACCCGCTCTAATTGTATTTGGTTGCTTGCTCTTGCTTCACAGCACATCGTAGGTTGTCTTTTTTGTTTTTTTTTTTTTCTTTTCAATTGAAAAAAAATGATATAACACATGAATTATACTTTTTTTTGTTACAAAGAAAGGAGGTTAATGCCTGAATTAAAATACTTTTTGGAATATCAAACCCCTGTTAAAAGGAAAAAAGAAAAGGATGTAAATGACAGTGAGAAGCTTCCAGCTGCTTTGCATATTGAAAATTAAACTAAGGTTGGTTGTTGATCTTAATATATATGGCTTCCATACCGACAATTGTGATGTATCTTATTTGATTAACCTGTTCAAGAGATTAAATATGCCCGAATGAAATTTATTAAATTAAAAAAATGATTTTTTTTTTTTTTTTTTTGCATTTGTTTTTTGGAGCATAATAGTATGTTGCAGGGAAGGGTCATAATGCACATATCGGAAAATCAAATTAGATATGACTTGTTACATGTTATGGATCCGTCATATTCTAATCATTGCATATCCTTAGTAATTTAACAATCATTAACATTTCAGATTTTGACAAATTGCAAGCTTTAAAAAAAGTTGCAGATCAGCACCACAAATTAATCGATGTATGATCGAAATGATTGACTAATCATTTAGCTCGCGGTGAGTTCCAAAACGAAACTTGTCAAAAAGGAATAAATTAAACTATGGAATTGACTAAGTTGATACATAAATACAAAATCCTACCAAATTCATCATGGCACATAATTGAAGATTGGCTCAATTATTCAATTCAATCAATATCTCATTAAGTAGTACTACGTACGTAAGGCAAAAACCATAAATTATATGTACATATCAAAGCTAGCACATATTGAAAAAGACAAGGCAGAAGAAAACACGTAGTACGCAATTTCATATTTGCCTATATGTCCCAGCAATATCTCGTAAATGTGTCTTTCTTCTGTTTTAAGCTAATTTTAATTTTTTTTTTTCCCAAACTTGGTTCCTCCTGATTTTCTCAATCTAAATCTAGCCTACTGGCCTCCAGTTTTGAGCATTATTCTATTGCTGGTTTTAAGGGGAACTTCTCAACAAAGTTTATGCCTATATATGGAGGTTAATAGAGAGAGGTCCATCATTAAAAAAAATAAAAAAAAATAAAAATGTACATTAGACAGATAGAGACGGGAAATAATAACAGTGATTTTGTTATAATGACTAACTAGATGCTTGGCCCGGGCAGATGTCCGGGCGCCCCTCTACTTTAATTTTATGTTAATAGATAAATGAATTATTGATTTGGAAAAAATAAAATAGTTACACATTTAGTTTTTTCCCCTTTTTTAGCCAAAAATAAAAATAAAAATAAAAAAATCATTTGCCAAATGAAAAAAAAATATTGAAAAGTACAACGATGCAGAAATCATACAAAAGAATGTGAAATAATAAAAGGGATAAGTTTATGGAAAAATTTAAATGCTAATTTAATTTGATTGATAAATGATACTCCCTCCCTCCCATAATTATTGTCCACTTTGTCCAAAAAATTTTATCCCAAAATTATTGTCCAATTTGACTTTTTATGGATCAAGTTACACATTTGTCCTTAGTAAAAAATATTATCCATAAAATCTTAGTGGTTAAACAATTACTTATATAGGGGTATATCCGGTTGTTTAAGGTAAAATATAGTTAAGTTTGACCAAAAATAAAATCTTTCATTTTAGTAAAATTGGACAATAATTATGGGACGGATGGAGTAAATTTTAGGAGTTAAAATTGTGTAGTTATTTTTGTAAAGTAGCTTTTATTTTTTTGGATAAGAATTTTTTTATTTTAAAAAAAGGATGATACGTGGCAGAATGGTTAATGCAATATGGTTCATTTGGAGCTAAAAAATTTTAATAAGAATTTGACACATCAATATCCTGTATTCTGCTTTAATAGAGTAAAAGGGATGTGTAAATCATTTATCTCCTACATTTGTAAAAGTTAGTTACTATTATTAGTATGCGCGCGATCATCACTCAAATATAGGTATAGGTGACAACGTACATATTGAAACGATAAATGAGATATGCAATATATTGTAATCGATTACATCGCCCTTATTGTACTCCCTCCGTCCCATAATTATTGTCCAGTTTTACTAAAATGAAAGATTTTATTTTTAGTCAAACTTAACTATATTTTACCTTGAATAACCGGATACACCCTTACATAAGTAATTGTTTAACCATAAAGATTTTATGGATAATGTTTTTTACTAAGGACAAATGTGTAATTTGGTCCATAAAAAGTCAAATTGGACAATAATTTTGGGACAAAATTTTTTGGGCAAAGTGGACAATAATTATGGGATGGAAGGAGTATTAATTTTTGCTCAATTTATTTAACCTTTTCTTTTTAATTAAAAACTAAGCTAATTATTCATAATATTAACTTAATTCGTGGTCATGATATTAGAATGAGTAGGTTTTTTGGATCACAAGTTAAGGAGCAGGTTATAATTAAAGAGAATAATATATAGGCTGTCTACCCGAATGAAAAACATGGAAAAAATTGGCGTCCGACAAAGACAGACCATCATTTTTTTTTCCCTCTTAATACGATCAGTTCGTTGACAAAACAAACAATTATGCTGGAATAAACTAAGTTTAAGTCTTGAAACACATGCTTCTGGAGTTCTAGTTATAGCAATATGTAGAGAGAGATTCCGGAATTTGTCAAACGTAGTTTATAATTAAATAATTAATCTGTTTTCTCCCACTCAATAATTGAACAGCTTATCCAGCCATGAATTTCTTAACCACCTGACGGCTTACAATCTTACAGTTGTCTTATTTTCATTTATATAATTAATACTATTTGTTCAAAATATTTTTTCTGTATCAAAAAAATAATATATGGTACTCTTAATTCAATAAAGTGAATTATTTATTTTAGAGCAA